TATGGTACAATACAAAGGGAAATAGTGCCTGGCATTGCCAATAATCTGCTCGGACATAAATATAATAACATTTTAGGGACGTTTCGAAACTTCCCTTAATATCGTTTCTACATAAACATATTAAGGCCCTCGAATATAACTTAGAATGCGAAAATAAAAGAAGACTGTAGAAACCGAGAGAGGTGTACGGGAATAAATGAAATTTATATGAATGCCAAAGAATCAGCCCTATGTAAAAACCGTACCTTTGGCACCAGTACTTTCTTTCTATCATTCTTGTTATCTACTCTTATCTCAAAAGGGAACATTGTAAATATGAATAAATTATTAATTGTTAATTAACTTATTATTAAACCCGGAAGAGATGTGACATGAAGATATCCGTAGCATAGGATTTTGTACAAAAAATCTTAATCTGTCATTTATTGTGTATTGATGTGTGAACGTAGTTATATTTTATTGTAATATAATGCTTCATGTATAGTTTTGTAAATATATACTCGTATTATGCGAATATACATATAGCATTGTATGTTTTATAATTACTATAATATGATTATATCACTAAGTATGCATTCTTTTTTATTTGATTTGACCCAAGTAGTGCCAGTAGTAGTGTCACCACCTAAGGGGGCCAACTGAAAAACAGAGCTGCATTTAACTGCAGCATATGTCGAGTTGGCACCTTTAGGAAACCACATTGGATGCACTCTTTGTTATCTATTAAAAATGCATATGTGTGTGTTCAATAAATGATTTTTCTTTCTTTCTATTAGGTATTAATTGATAAGAATACTATATTTTTTTACAAGACTATTACTGAATTAATAACTAGCATACTTTTTAATAACTCTCGTTCATCAATATGTATTTATAATTATTAGCAATCCTGTGTCTGTTCTGTGCCTGAGATGTGTTCACAATGAAATGCAAAGATTAGTACACAAACGCGCACGCACACGCACGCTCACACACGCGCACGCACTCAGGATTATAACATATATGACTGTTCAGTGAAAAAATGATAATAAAACTTATGATTAAAATAATGATTCACTAACATGTGTTGTCTTTTACTGGTACCAATCGTAACTCACTGTAAAGAAAAATAAAAACCCAAAAAGTACGACATAATTCTTAAGATTAATATTTTTGTAACCATGATAAATAGGTATAGAAGTACCTATAAAAGAAAGTCGTTTCATGCTTTGCACGCTGCAAGTACGCTGAGACTACGACACAACGGTTTTATCACACTATACAGACTGATTCAAGATAAACTTTTATGTCTATAACAGGACCACATAGGCGAACCGCTGGCGGAAAGCTAGTTATAAATAAATAAATAACAAACATTATCACACAGTGGTGGATTTGTCAAAATTTACCCTTAGGCCACAATCGGCCCGGACTTGGGACCATAATAAAAACAAACGATAAATAATGGATGGCCAACAATAGCATAAAATATACGAGGGTCAAACTGAAAGTTCTTAGAAAATCAAAAACTGATTACATTAGCCAGTTATTAGTTTTATTATATCTTTTCAAAATATTGTCCATTCACGTCAATACACCGCTGCATGCGATGGAACCACTGGGAAAAGCACTTTGCCCACTCGTCCTTAGGGGTCTCTTCAATGGCATCGCGATACGCAGCCACCGCTTCTTCAGCATTCATAAACCGCTTTCCTTTAAGTTTTTCTTTAATTTTTGGAAATAAATAAAAATCACAAGGCGCGAGGTCGGGGCTATACGGCGGGTGACCCAGTAATTCAACGTTTGATGTCGCCAAATAGTCGATCGTTCGCTTGGCGGTGTGCGACGAGGCGTTGTCGTGGTGAAGGAGGATCCTACTGCGAGGTCGTTTCTCTCGAACTTTTTCCAAGACAAGTGGCAAACAATTGGTAGTGTACCATTCTGCAGAAACTGTTTTTTGATCCTCTAACACAATTGTTGCAAAATGACCTATCCTTCCAAAGAACGAGGCCACCATTTTTTTTCCCGCACTTCGATCTCTCTTCACTTTAGTTGGCAACTCCTCGAAAGGAAACACCCACTGAGCAGATTGTCTTTTGGTTTTAGGATCATAACAGTAAATCCAGCTTTCGTCACCTGTTAGTATGTCGAACACAGCATTTGAGTCACCTCCGTTAAATCTTTCAATCATTTTACGACACCAATCCACACGATGGAGTTTTTGAGCCTCAGTCAAATTATGAGGTATCCACCGGGCGCAAAGCTTCCTGACCGCTAAATGTTCGTGGAGGATTTTGTGCACTTGACTCATACCGATGCCTAAGCTTGTCCGAATCTGTTGATAGGTCACTCTTTTGTCAGTCTCTATCATACGCCGCACAACACAGATGTTATCTTCAGTCGTCGCCGTAGAAGGCCGTCCCTCACGTAAATCATCAGTGAGATTAGTGCGACCACGTTTAAACTCATTAAACCAGTTGTAAACAGTCGCACGAGATGGGGCTTCATCGTGAAAGGCCAATCGTAGTCTATCATAACTTTCTTGTTGACTTAAATGACATCGAAAGTCATAAAAAATCATTGCACGAAAATTTTCTCGTGTTAAATTCATGATGACGTGACACAGACGATTTTCAATTTGCCGCCAAATCGTAAAACAAATGACAAATGAATGAAATATATACTCAGTAATATTGGCAAAGAGTTATATTTTCAAATTTTAGAATTATTTTTTTATTATATTGTTTATAAGTGGCCAGTTCTAAGAACTTTCAGTTTGACCCTCGTAGTGTGCCAAAAGCTGAGTGAGATGACATATCGGATGATAATCGTATGTTTATCAATGACAAACTTTTTGAATAATACAGGTAGGTAAACTTATTGTTAGTTGAAATAATATTATTAATAAAACAGCATTTCTTATAAGTATGTATGTCGTTGCCAGGTCGTAGGATTTACCAATTCATGACGCAGTCTCATGATGTGCCCTGACCAGGTCGATGAATAATTTGCGTTTAACGATATAGCAAAAATACTTGATCAGATTGATCGCTAATACTTAGCCACGTTTTAAAGCGTAAAATATTTACATTAGTCTCAGTAAGAGGATCAGATATCGCATTTTTTGTGATACATGGTGGATTTTCATTTTTAGGTTTTTATAAATTAAAGAGAGTAGGGTGACCAAGCAACGGAAAACAATTACCTACTTGATTATGTTTAGTGATATGATTGTAGTGCGAAGGTGCGGCGGGAAAGGATATTCCATAGTTTTATGGATCCTAAAGATATGAACAAAATTAAATTTCATCTTCCTATATGATTCACTACTGTAGGTCAGGTAAGAGGTTAGAGGTCGAGGTTATTTTTTTCATACCACAAAATTACAACGCTACCGTATAAATAAGCTATTTCAGCAAATGTTTAATTTAACAGTTTTTGGACACCTTACATTAATAATATTACCAAACATGGATAATACCAACAACATACTAAACCATAAAAAAATGTGCACTGGATAACAAATATCCCTTTTTCTTCAAAAAAAGGAGGAGATTCTCAATTCGACTGTATTCTTGTTTGTTTATTTTTCTTTTTTCTCATAATTTTTGACTGGGTGGACCGATTTTGATGATTCTTTCTTTATTCTAAAGCTAGTGTGCCATGTGGTCCCTTTTTAATTTGGTCCAGATCTGGCAATGGATTCTATCAGAAAACCATATAAGTCTTAAATATGCATGATGTTTGATTCCCTAAAACTCAAAATATCACCAAAATGCATAAAATAAAAACTAAAAAAAATGGAACCGTCTTCACAATAATAAAAATAAAAAATAATACTCGTACTCTTCTTAAAAGCGGTTAAATATCTTAAGAAACACTGAAGTCGGGCGGTTAATATTTAATTAACTACAGAAAACCTCAGCCCGACTTTAATGTTTCTTAAAACATTTAACCGCTTTGAAGATAGGTATTAATTTTCACTCCTTTAAATTTGAAGTCGGTTCCATTTTCTATTTTCTCAAAGCACCCCAGCCGTAGAGCTGTATGTAAAGGAACGTCAGATGCCTTGAAAGGCAACATTGCTGGATTAATTTTTACAACTGCAACACTCGCATTAAGAATGCCAGTGTCAGTAATATTGCCATTACAAAGATAAATGCTGTATTCTACGGAAATTAGAATCATGTAAGAGAAGGAAAAGAATGGCAGTTGTGATTCCATTATCATAGTAAATTATACAGCAATTGTAGAAATTATAATTATATGCAATCGGGTCTTGTTCGTGCATTTTTTAAAACAATTAATTTACCTCGACGTTTCGGCTACGTTACAGCAGCCGTGGTCACGAGGAGACTGGAGAACTGGCGGGTGTCGTCTTCTGATTTTAGTTGAGGGTAATCCGGTAATAATGTTTTTAACTGATATAAACTCTCACCAACGTGGAATCCGGTTATAAAAATGTATAAGTGTTGCGATCGCAAACAACCACGAACAATATTCTCAGATACCGTAAGTGCAGTGTGTCGCCACCTTTACGTATAATAAAATCAAGTGGAGGGTACATCTGAAAATCAGTTAAAAACATTATTACCGGATTACCCTCAACTAAAATCAAAAGACGACACCCGCCAGTTCTCCAGTCTCCTCGTGACCACGGCTGCTGTAACGTAGCCGAAACGTCGAGGTAAATTAATTGTTTTAAAAAATGCACGAACAAGACCCGATTGCATATAATTATAATGTATACAAATCGTGTGAGTTTAAAAATTGTAGAAATCTTTTTTAATATTATTGACTAAAAAGTTTAGAAATTATTCGTTGCACGTTAATGGTTTCATGATATCACAGTCTCTAAATTTCAGATTTTGCGTCTAATAACAGGGTTCCTGTCAGCTTCCCTTTTAGAATTTGAAAAATTACGTACGGATTTTATATTTACCTTTATCTCTTTATGCACATTACATCTATTGCTAAATAATAAATAACTATTACCAGTTATTTTTGCCGAAAACCACCTTTCTAAGTAAATATACGGCAATCTAAAATTAGATGCTATCAACACTGCCTATGATTTATGTCATTCACACCTTACGCAAAGTTACATGAGTGAATGTGTCGAGCGCACAAAGAATTGAATTTTATCTATTATTTAATCACAGTAACAATGCTATTGTAGTGGGTGCAAGTGTGAACCCGCGTGTGCCGCGACCATGGGCTACGACATCGGCTGGATAATCCCGCGCTTGCGGAATCCAGGCAGGCTCTGGTACTGTGCGAGCTCCATCACAGTTGCTGTCGTCGGTTTATTTAGCAAAATTATCATAGGTGCGTCGAATACTTCCTTCTAATAGATTTACTATTGATATAGAAATTCCCTGTCCATTTGATATTAATAAATTAAATTATATATGATAAAACGTACTATTGAGAAGTTTACTTAATTATACACGAAACAAGTTATTCTTGCATCGTCAACTTGTTTTTGTACTTCAGCGGAATTTGAACTAGTTGCTTACGGTGCATATACTATAAAGTGCTGTGTAATACACTGTTCAAGTAATATTAAGTGTGTTAATATTGCTTTTCCATTTAAAGGAAATTATATAAACCTTCATTGATGTATATCTGGGAACTGTTTATTTTCTTTCTCCGGGCCAATTGTCAAGGTTAATAGCATTGCAATTATTCAATATGTTAAACTAACTGTCTTATAATAACAATAAATGTAAAATCATTTTCATTCTAACAGTATTCGCCTTTACTTCAGTAATGATTTATAAACATTAATGTTTACTAAACTAAATTTAGACAGAAGTTTCATTAATCATTAAGTTTATTAGTGTTTAATAACACATTATTATACAAATAAGTTGTTATAAAGTATAGAATTTCAGAAGTGAACACAGAATTTGATGATTTTGTTTTATGAATCTGTATAATTATGATATTCCACTTCTATTAAGAATATATAATTCAATAAAATATTGCAACAATACCTTCTTTGAAAGTCTTTTTTTTTTGGTTGTTTTTCGTAATTTTGATAAAAGATATTCCTACCAATTATTAAATTTGAAAACTAAGTAGTATATGCATATGTTATATATTGGTGCATGCAAAATGAGCACCTGTTGTTGAATTGCAAATATAACCCACCATTAAGAAGTACTGGTATACTAAAAATACCAAACATTTTCTTCGTATACATTGTTTCATAAGTTCATCTAGGTCAAAATTATAATTAGTAGGCTGATTCCCAAGGTTTCTAAAATGTTATACTGGTACAGCAGTTGTAGGTGTTAAGAATACTATTTATTTTCTTATTGAATGCACGTTTTACTACTGACTGATTCCTACTTCGTGAATATATAATGCAAATAGCAAATATTTTAAAGAATACCACGACCACAATTCTGCTAACATTACCATAATTGTGGCATGCCAACGGTGTTACAATAATAATTCTTTTCAGCACAATTCTGTAAATAATACATAAGAGTGATAAGTAACAATCACAACCTAACTTAAGCATTAATAGTTTCAAAAATTATGAGTTAGTTGCACCAACTTATTTTAACAATAACAAAATTAAAGTACTGCAAATAAAAATTAGTTCTCATTTAGCAATGGTTGGATAATGTCATAACTTTAACTGAAAACTATAACCGTCTAAGTTTTGTTGGTTAAAGTTATTGTTTTACTTTACCAAGACAAGCCAACATTTTATATTAAAGTCAAGGTAACAGACGTAGTCAAATAATTATGATAATTTAATTATGATGCATCAGAAACTAACAGCCGGTTTCTGAATTGAAAAAAGCACAAAATCTCAACAGATTATTCTCAATAACTTAAGTTTTTTTACATTTCATATGGCAAAAAGTCCTAGTTTTATCAAATTGCTATTAACTGATCATTAAAAAATTATAAATCAGTAATGAAAATCTGTTTAATTGACATTTAAAATGGCTTAAGCACGGTTTGAGATGTGCTCAACTTCAAATTCTCCATTCAGAATCCGGGTGTAAGTTATTAAAAAATGTTTATTTAGGAATTTAACAGACCAAAAAACAATACACTCTTAATCCTAATGAAAAGTAACTTGTAGAGACCCAAATTAAAACCTTTCAAGCCACTTCTTCACACCATCTTTTTTTAACATACAAAATATTATGTGTCCACACATTCTAGACATTGTATGATAACCAACCATAGATGCTACCCCCAGGCACCCCCATAGGTTATTGTGGTGGCTATGATAAGAAAATATTTGCATGAATAAAAAAAGCTTATAAGCATGATTGTTGGGAGCATTGTGTTATGGATAAAAAAAAACATGAATGGTCAGATGTCGCCTCATCAAGAAATATGGAAGAATAATACATATATATCATGAACTACTACTAAAACAATTGTTACAAGATCAAGCAAATGATAATAAATGTTTCTCATAGTGTTCCTTAACAAAACAACGGTGTACAACCGTGAGACGCTGCAGCGCGCCGTGGGCCGGGCCACTGGAGTTCCGCTCCTCACCGTCTCCAACCACCACTCCTGCTTCGACGATCCTGGCCTCTGGGGTGAGACATATTACATATCTTTTTTAAGTTACGCCACTTACCATCAGGTGATCCGTCTGCTCGACTGCCCCCTAACCCATAAAACAAAAGTTATCCTTGTTTACATTTTTACTCATCTTTTTTTTCGAACCGAACACAATTTAGATAGAATCGCATCGCATGAGCAAGGGTAATAATAAAATTTATATATGGAGATAGTTGGAACTCTTAGGGTAACTTAAAATATATCTTTAGAAAAATAGAATTATCCGAATATGTTCGATTTGTGTCGTCGTAATGACATCATCGTTTAAAATTGTGTTTCGGAGTTACAGAAAACAAAATGAATTAATGAATTAACTCGAAAAGATTAAGGCGCTTGGTTTTCTACAGTCGTCGCTGTCGGTTAAATCAGTTAAAAGTTGCCGGAGAGGCAGAGATGTACACTAACATTTCGGGGACAATCCCGACCTCTTGCCTCGTTGTGTACGCTCGGAGCCGGTCAGTGTATTTAGACACGGACGTAATCATCTCCGTAAGTGGACGTTGACCGTCGACTGCGGCTATCGAAGCTAACAATATTGATAGTATACTTTACTTATTTGGGATTTATATAAAATTTCTTATAAGCTTTCATAATGTTTTAAGCGTACATATTAAGGTTCGCTCTCGTTGAATGCCGTGCGATCTGACGGACTATCGGAAAACACCTAACATATTTAACTCCTGAAATAACTATGATATAAATAATAGCGTTTTATGAATTTGGGTAAACACCCACAAATGCATATAATCTGCTGACATATATTAGTCCTGCGCACAAACATTTTCATGTAAAGTGTTGCCTGGTGTTGTCAAGCCGAGAACCATATGACTCGCATAAAATTTATAAGATCTCGTAGAGCCAATATTCAAAACATGTGGCTCGGCAGTTCACTACCGTCAAATTGACATAAGGTGAAAAATTAATCACCGTTCATTTTAATCAATTATTTGTAATATAGTTCTTTCTTGTAGAGACGAAACGTTCAAGCCACATGTTTTGAATAAGATATATAGAAGATAACACGTGTACATTATCGATATTGATGTTATGGACCGGCTTTAGATTTACGAAACAAAAGAATACAAATTTTCGAACGGGGTTGACAATGATAAAACATTGCTAAATCAGTCATACTGATAAATATCATTATCGCTTTGCTATATATCTATCTAGTTCAACTCATAATTAAGTGTAAGTTATGTATTTAAATTCATCAATTTTAGAGTCTCATTAACTCCTATAATAGACGCAATAGGGATGATGACTAATTTTTGTTTGTTTGTCCGTCAGGTAGAGTGTTAAAAAATATTAAACACATAATTTTTTATTTTTTTCGTAATCATAAAATTACGGCGTTACATTGAGTTGAAATTTCGCATGACGTCACGTTAGAGTATGTTTTCTACTCAACTGTGACGTAGCGAGCCCCCACTCCTCAACTTTAATGCCTGTTATCTAAGCTATTTCTTGTTAAATTGAAGTAAAAAAAAATACGTATTTTTCTATTATCTGACTGACGGACTAAATAGAATTGCTTTTTTTTTACCCAGTCATCATCCCTATTCAATTAATATTATTATCCTATATAGAATCCATCAGAAAATAAACTGAGAAATGAAAATTAATTTTAAATGATTGAAGTAGAGATTGTAATCGAATGTAATCTAATTTATATCTTACTGATATTCGTTAATCGATAAAACCGCTAACCAATTATCGACTCATTATTCTTAATCCAAACCTGTCTGGTTATAGAGCATTATACACGTTTTCGTTTTACATATTAATGTCATGAATACTTAGTGAATTCCAGAGAAAATGAGCAAAGCGATAACATTGAAAAGGTAGACATCGATTTAGTCGGATAATTGTATAATTTTAAAATTTACCACAATCCCTTTCAAAGGTGTATTCATTGTGTAGCGATTTATGGAGTCTTGTTACTTTTAAAGCCGCAATCACTAATGAGACGAATGATGATTTGAATGATTACTTAGTTAAACTCATCGAAAGAGCGTTCAACTCTTTCGTTCGACATTTTTCAAAAATTTTCAAGCATTTTTCGCTTTGCTTAGACAATATTGTTATCCTCATCACATATTAATTAATTGTAGTATGAAGTTCGTGAATATGTTTTAAATGTCAAATTGAACTAGATTATACTTACATTTTACCATTGACCACCTCTACCAGTAACCTGAAGTCCAATATTATTATATATCTGTCACTATTGATGAAAATTAATGGTAAGGTTTGAATTTGGAATTCCCAACCAAGGAGGAGAAATTTGTGATTAAAGTGGCCAGTACGACAAAAGGCCAATTTCATATATAAGGACCTAATATGTAAGGAAGAGATTACACTTAATAGGAATCCAGATAGATAGCACAATGGCATAATGCAAATAAATGACATTCTATTTAAATGCGATTATTACGTAAGCCTTAACATAATTGGTCTACTGCTCCCTTGCGGGTTAAACAAATAGGACTAATAATAATGAATGTGTATTATGATCGAGAACGAGATAACTTTATCATTAATCTATTTTTAGTTTCCTCACCAAAGCTGTATCATTATAATTACTTGGATAAAAATAGAATCTGTTTGCGCCATTACAATTACCAAATGATGACCCGGTCTAGCGAGTTGCTAGTCTCGAATAACCGGTGAATGCACAGACGGTGTTGTTTTGAAGTAGCCAGGAGCATAATAGTGGTTATAACCGCTTCGCATTTGAATGTCATCTGCCCAGCACGTAGTAGTGGAGTTTTTGGACGAACTCAATCAAAATTCTTACACAAAATTTACAGATGAACCATATCAAAATCGATTATACCGATTACCTCGATTCAAATGAGGAAGTATTTAAAAAAAAATACATTAGTTCCCGAAATCAAACTAGATGTCGCTACTGTACGTTCTTGATTTCTCCATGACAACCCTTCCGGTTTTATTTCATGTTTAAAAGTAAATTAGTTTTATAAACTAAATAAACAACTCCTATTCTCTTTGTACTTATTCGTATTTCTTTTGATATCTAAGTTTCGAACTTTACAAATTTCAGTTTTTTAATATATTAGTTAAAAGGGACGGAAATGACTGTCTTTGGTCCATTCGTTTCCTGCAAAAATCAACTTTTGCTAGAGTCACCATCTAGTTTTTTAGTGCCTTCGTTTTTTTTTAAATACATCCACATTATCCTGCGAGCCGATGGCGTAGCTTGTCGAATTTCAAAGTGCTTCTTAACAGACTTTTATATTTGTTAGGCCTAATCTGGTTTACTACATTAACTTTTAATTCATAGGTTTAGTTCATATATGAAACTGTTTACGATTCCATTCTATCAGTGTAGCCGCACATAAGGGTCAGGCCTACAATAATACCGTGTAGTCAGACGCCTGTTTATACCCCTCGTTTTATAATCAGGTTCAATTAATTATCTGGCGTGAGATTTCCTTTTGTGAGTGGTATTACATCAATAACTAAAATGAATTTCATTATAATACACGTAAATGACAGTGCCTTTTTTCGGGTCAAAAGTGAGATACTGGATTAAGTTACATTTGGGTGGTTACAATTCCACTAATTTCAACAGTCCAGTGGTGTTTGATTAATCTATTTTTTTTTACCAAGATCTTGTTACTAGATCACAAAATGACAGTAATATTTGTTATTATTGACTTACCACTACGGCTATACCAAAAAATTTGGCCAGGTATATGGCCGGGATAATACTGCAATAATTAATACACAACCTGGCTGACATTTCTTGCAATATTGCCGGGCCACGGTGTTGCAGCCGCTAATCGCAGTAAATATTTCCGGTCCGCCGCTTTAAAACGATAATTTAAAATAGTATTATTTATTACATTCTTACGTTTTATTATTTCTAAGTATTTTGTATGGCAGCCAAAGGTCGTTGCACTCCAATGTAAGAGATATCACACACGGTCGACCGTGAACCTAAGCTTTTAACATTTATTTATTCATTTGAGTTTTTATAAAAGCTGCACCGAGTTAGCCGATCAACAATATTATCATAGGTCAAATTATTCTATTTATACGTCTTAGAATAATGCGGGAGGCGATTTTGTTTTGTTAGATTGGTATCATCTACACATAGTGTCTTCACGCTGAGATCTTTAAGCTACACAATGCATTTTAATGCTGTTAACAGACAGCTGGAAACAACTTGCAGCCATGCGATTCTGTAAAACTTCAAACCCGAATTCGAATACACTCAGGTGTCCGAATCATCTTCAAAAAGCAGCATACGCTCAACCTTGAATTGGTAATAACGTTTGTAAATTAAAAAGACACGTTTAATCAATCAATTTTGTTTAGTATTTTTATACAATAAATGGAATCAATAGGATTTCTATACTAAATGACGTGAATTCGAATTCGGGTCTGGATTTTTACAGTATCGCAGGGTTGAAAGTTTAAACTCGATTATCCAATATAATGGCAACCTTTATTACCGGTCATATTTCTTACTAGTGACCGCCAGCGACTTCGTCCGCGTCATCCATTATTTCTTCGCTCCTAATAGTTGCAGTGTGATGTTATATAACCTAAAGTCTTCCTCGATAAATGGTCTATTCAACACAAAAAAAATTTTTCAATTCGAACCAGTAGTTCATGCGCGTTCAAACAAACAAACTCTTCAGCTTTATAATATAAGTAAAGATATTAAATTAATGTACACGGTGTGTAATTATATTAAACTACTGCAAATTGATTAAACCAATTTTATCATGCTGACCATTTCTTTTCCTTTTCAATAATTTATTGTCAATTCGGTAACTTTTAAAATTTCATTAACATATTACTGCTTAATCAACTTCTGTTGAATTACAATTTCAGTGTAATTGTATACGTAAGTAATGCACATAATTAAACTGATAAAGCGATGTTTACAAACAGGAAATGTGTATTGTAGGCGGTGATATATATGTCAATATACCTACACTTGGGAGTTGATATAAAATTTTAATCAATTATTTTGTTTTTGACATTTTGTAACTTTACTAGCTTTAGCTTACCGCCAGCAGGTCCTGTATTTTATACATATAAATATTACTCTCGAGTCACTTAATCTGTATATTGACGAACACCCCATTAAATTATTTGCTTTGGCTTTGTATTAAAGAGAGAATGTAAACCAATAAGTTTATCTGATAGATATGAAAACTATTTTTTTTATTATTTCTCACAAAATATTACGATTATTATAAAAGTGTTGCATAAAGCTCTCAGCTACAGTGACTGACTTTTATCTAGACAAAAAATATTTGTATAATTTTCTGATATGTAATACAAATATTATAAATGGGAAAAAATCGGTTGATGCATCGAATAGGCTCCGTAACTAGTAGACCGGTTTTAAAAATTCTTTCACCTACGGCTAGCTTCATCATACATACCCTATTTATTAAAGCAGCTTGGATAATTAGTTGGAGACCTGAAAAAATGTGTACATTTACTTTATTGTTTTATCATTTTCATCTAATAAACAATGAATAAGTAATTGTTTAACAAAGCTAGTTCAATATAATATTTATTTTGTGGTCAGTGAAAATGTCTTCGGAGTACGTATAAAGTAGGTAATCTAGTCACATCGATGTCATAACGGCGTCGCAGTAAACACCAATCACGTAATGCCAGCAATCAAGAGCCATCTAGTTCACGGACCATCTATTCACTTAAATAAACTTTAATTTAAAAATGTACACGTCCTCGCAAGACAGAACAGAACAGTGGCTCTCACTTTTGAACTTGTACATTTGTTTTCTTTAATACCAATCAACATTTAACTGTTTTATAACTTTCATATTATCATATATCAAAAATATTTTACAAATTAAAACGATAATCAATACCAGAAACACAAATATACAGGTTGTTACAAAAGTATACTTCGTGGACTATAAATAAAATTTTGATATTAGAGCCTTTATTTATATAGCACGATATCTTGAAATAAAAAAAGAAAATCTCGATGTTGTTTCCGTAAAAATGTCAACATTACAATAGGCTTGTAAAAAAATGTCTTTCAATTATTGACCACCGATAAATGAAGCCTTTTATAAGAAGTATTATATACCGGTATAGGATATATTTGTAATGTAATTTTATGTTATTTAATTTCACAATTAAAATGAAACTGTTATTTTGTAATAGTCTCAATAGTTGTACTAATGTTTAGATATCGACAGGGGGGTGGCGATCAGGGCAAACACCCCCGAAATCACCTCTTGCAGGGGCCTTGCGCATTAACCCGATAAGAAAAATAGTTGACATTTAAAACTTTAAATAAGTATAGTATAAATTAAAACAATAAAATTAATTTGAAGTAAAAAGTAATATAAGTAACATTATAATCCAATCATCATAAGCACCTCAATTCAATTTATTTTTTACAATGAACAACTTCATCGTATGGTTATGGCCGTCACTGAAGTTGTTCATGGTTTTCTATTTTGATATATTATCTATAGAACATTTGAAAATGATAAAAGTATCTCATATCACCGGTACAGTTGTACTAGCATAATGAACAATTGTATAATAACAGCGAAGAAGATTATTAGGTAGGTATGTAAAATATAAATTGATAATATTGAAATGAACGTTGCATCTTAGCACAGTGATGGTAGGTATACATATAGTTCCGACTATAAAAGAATTTAGACTAGGGCAAGCATATGATCAACTAAATAAAAGCATATTGGACAATATCACATTGCTCAGTTACAAGATGAGTTGCTAAACCGTGACAATATAGAAAAGTTCATTTTCTACATTGCTCCGACGGGTATTCGAACCCAATATTACAGATGGCGATATTGAAGCGTTGCTATGGGCGAATTTACGTTGTGTTTTATGAGAATATCATAACATCCAAACATCCACCGTCATATAGATAAAGAATTCGTGACAAAAATTACAAGAGCTTTCGAAAGCATTGATATTTCAGTATGTTGGAACCGAAAAATATATTAGAATGTTAATTACAGAATCCTCTTAGACTATGGGGTGTGTGTGACTTGTCGTGTTGTTTGTAGGTGTGTTGGACTGGACATCGCTGGCGCGCGGTTATCGCATGCGGTGGTCGCTGGCAGCTCACGACATATGCTTCACTAACGCGCTGCACTCGTATTTTTTTTCGTTGGGCAAGTGCGTGCCTGTGGTGCGCGGTGCAGGCGTATACCAGGTAACTATTTCAGATACACACGCGTGAGACATTTGATACTATATAACTATCCGACGTACTCGCAAGTTGGCACTCATCGCTTGGTTACATACATCAGTTTATTATACTTCCCTTTCAAAAGCTCAAAAGCTTATATAACTCAATGAATATCATCGTTATTATTGTTTAAAATTCACTTAGAATATATTTTAACATTTAGGTATGAACTTGGAATATTATTTAACTGACATACTATTAGTAATTTGGGGTATACTGTTTTTATTATTTATCACTAAAATATTATGAGTTAATTAATTATTGAATACATTGGTCACAAACAGTAAACATTCGTTTTGTTAAGGACTAGTTGACAGCGTGTAGTCTCAATAAGTTAGAATTTCATCATCATCTTCAGCTTTTTAATCCACAACGGGGACCCAGTGCGGATTGATGCAAGTTAACGCAGATACAGACGAGACCAAAGGCATAACGTGGAGAAGCTCGAGTTTCAAGTTTTTGATTACCCATGTTATAATCGGCCGTTGTGAAAGTTGCTGCACCCTCGAATCTTAGACCGAAAACCAACGAGCTAATAGACGCCTATGTATGATAGCATTTGTCGTCACCTAACTATATTGTTTTCACCAGCCCGCGATAGACTTCTGCATAGAACGTCTGTCGGCAGGCGAGTGGGTGCATATATTCCCCGAGGGTCGTGTCAACGTAGAAAAGGAGCATATAAGGTTCAAGTGGGGCGTGGGCAGGATAGTTGCGGACGCGCCCTGCATGCCGCTCGTGCTGCCCATATGGCACGAGGGATTCGACAAAGTGCTGCCCAACCAGGCAAGTATCACCCACGTAACCCATCTACCAATGTAGCTGTTTAAAGACTTCATAAAACATTTTTAACATACCCATACAAATTCGACATTCATTAGAGCTTAAAGGCGTCATTAAACCTAAATGGAGTTTGTGCAACTGACCATTATATAGTATTGATTGAACTGACCATTATATTGTATAGAAGACTGCACTCATAATATTGGACTTTGTCATATTGAGAAGTCATTATTACGTAGTAATAAACTTTAGCAGAATCGGCTTTAGAGTCTGTTTTAGGTACATTAGTTTGGTTATATTTATGAATAAGTTTAATCATAACTAGCTTTCCGCCAGCGACTTGGTCCTGTATTATACATATAGCCTTCCTCTTGAATCACTCTGTATATTGATGAAAAACGCATTAAAATCTGTTATGTAGTTTAAAAAAAAATGTTTCTAATGTTTTAACTTACTTTATTATATCAGATTTACTGAGAAAATATGAATGTACGTTCGTTGCAGGAACCGTACTTGTTGAAGTTCCGCAAGCACGTGTACATGAACGTGGGCGAGCCCATACAGCTGGAACACCTCCTCGACAGGTCGGTACACGTTATATTGCGTCACTGACATATCAAAAATGTAGGCCAATCGTCTAATTCTAAAATCTATCCAATCCTCTTCAAGAGTATAGTGATTGTTATAGCGATTTGTGTCATTCTGTAACGTTTAATTAAAGTCACAATCGCTTTTGTAACGAATGATGATTTGATCAAGAAACATAAAAATATTACCTAAAGTAACCGGTCGAAAGATGTCAGATAATATTACATTTGGCATTCCTTAAAAGCTTTCAAAGATATTTTCTTTAATGCTTGCCTGAGACAATCCCAATTAATGATATCTATATGTTCACAATGCGGGATAGACAGAAAACCGAACGCTACAATTATATCATTCGCTCAATGTATTTCAAAAAACGTCCGTTCAAAATTGCTATAACATGTCTAATAGTTGTAGTGTAAAGGTCGTGAATAATACCTCGAATGTCAAATTAAATTGCGATAGATTTTAGATTAGTCGATTCGGCCCCAGAGACCCGTTCAACGTGTTTTCGGCTTGATCAATTTCACTAAACTAATTTCCTCGGTCACTCCATCACACGTGAACGGTTGGACCGATTTCACTAATTATTTCGTTTTTGTATGTATTTATTATTGGCAGAAAAGGTGCTTTTTAAAGAAAAAAAAATCAAATCAAAATCATTCATTCAGTCTAGGCTGTTATAAAGCACTTGTGAAACTATATGCCATCGATTCGTAAATGTATGACGACAAGGTCTCCTTGTACCGAGAACCAACAAGAAATTCAGCAAGAGCTGCTTATTTCTTTTTTAATGAAAGAAACCACATGGAATTGGCGTTATAAATTAGTCAGTTTCTATTACTTCGAAGAAGCGAAAAAGGATTTATTGTTTAAACGGAGACTGCAATATCAATGTAAATCATAATATCAATGATTTACCAACATTTAATACATTAGGTATTACATTCGATGATAACTTAATTTAGAACATAATTAAAACGTATTAAACAATCACAGGTATATACCAGATGACAAGCTGCTCGCAGTTTAAAAAATACAACTTTAAATAAAATAGTTTTTGATTTTCATTACTTTTTAACTCCCGGATTTCTGATCAACTGAGTTGGCAACCCTATTTACACCGCACAATGTACTGACCAAAGTTCAAGAACTAGACTAATATAATTTATTCTTTGTAAATGCATTCACCTGGTAAAGTAATAATATTTATTAACAATGTTATGTTCGCTAGCGTGCCGGTGCACAGGTTCACACCTTAATAAAGTCGCATCGGCACGCGAGATTATCATATAAACTCACATTTAAAGTGACAGCTTGCGGGCTTTTACTTAGCATAATAATTCAACCCACCGAATAGAGTCTGGTAGTGTTGTTGCAATATTGTTTTAAAAAGATAGTCGTAAAGTATCTTCTTAAGTAGGATTTTAATTTTGAAATTTTTGTCGTAGTCCACAGAAGGTTGAAACTAAGCTGCATAAGAAATTCAATACAAAAGTTTCAGTATTTATAAATGATTAAAGAGACAAAGTCATGTGAACAAACCTGAAAAATGCAAACAACATAATTATAAGTGAGCATGAGTTCCCTTATGACCGCAATATGTTAATCGACCGGAATTATATTTATTATCTTCCTATTCCTATTTATTATCTCTGAAAATCAGGAACTAGATGAGTCAAGAATTTTAAAAATGAAGAGTGTTTATGCTAAGCTGTCGGCCGTCTAAAATAATCACTAGCTAGATTTTATAAATTATATTTTAACTCGTTTCATTGGCAATGTTTTGAACTAATGTTTTTGTCGACATATGACCAACAACCACACGAAGCGCTGTTCTAGAGTATGCCGTACCTAATTTTTAAGAGAGAACTAAAGATCATGCATTGGTTAGAAAACTAAACCCCATTTTGATTTGGTTCGAGATGAATATTTGGAGGTTTGTTTCAGGTTACGAAAGGCTAATGCAACGGAAGAGGAGACCCGTAAAGCGATCACGGACCGCATACAAGAGGAGCTGCTGCGGCTGCGCGACCGCACGCACGCACTCATGCGCAGGCACACGCACGCACACACGCACGAAACGTGCACCCACACGCACGCGCACAATACAGCCACGCACATGAACAACAGAACGCACACTAACGAGAAAAAGGTGAGTAATGACTGTACCGTATTCACAGCTCTCAAACAGACCCGAAACTACACAATTAACTAATTTATTCAAATTAACAATATGATACTAAGAAAAAAATAGAAAACAGTAAATAATAGACAATAATAATTAAAAATAGGCTCAATTCAACATTTAATCAAACACATGTTTGAACTAGCGACTATACAGATATTTTGTATATTCAGTACATTAATTATTAATTCAATTTGTTAACACTAACCTTTTAGTTATGACATAGTTTATGTAAATGTCGTTACACATCCACACACCTATTGTCAAGAAGTGATAACGTGTGCGTAGTGCCTTTTACGTAAACCTATTACCAAGTCTACGTTAGTATTAAAATGTATTATTCACGCCTATTTTTTTTTTACATAAAAATATCTTTAGATGTCCAAATGAATATTATTTTATGAACATTCAAAAATAATGTTAATAGGATCACTTCATCACTTGAATAGTGTTGACTTCATCCTTGACGTAAGTCCTTATTTGAATGTGGCCCCTATTCATTTAGAGAGAAGTTCCGATGGTTATGGAATTTATCGCTCCGTTTCATTTGTAAAAAAGTTTGTGGAATACATATTTTAATTTCCCGAACTTTTGTTATTGCGGGTAATTAGGCTTCGAGTCTCGAAACCGCTTGCAATGCAAGGTACAGCCCACGCTTTACGCAACCTCTGCATGCAGTATGCTGATTTTTAAATAAAAAGAAATAGATAAGTACCTCGGTGGCGTAGAGGATAATTGCCGCGGCCCGCAATTGTTGTTGTTAAGTAACTTTCTCCAGGGTCAGTCACGGGATGGGTGACAAAAAAATCATCTCTCGCTAATCCGCGCTTTGGAAGGCACGTTAAACACATTAGTCCAGCGTGGAAGATCATGACCCATCCTCCTTCACCATCCATAAGGAAGGCCTGAGCCCCTGCAGGGGACGTAAAATGGGCTAATGATAAGACTCGTAGTATGTTTATGTAAATGTTTATTTTTACCAGGAACAGAATGAAACCGACACGAAGGCGGGTGGCGACGCGCCATCCCTGGTGCCCAACGGGCGAGACAAGGGCTGCGAGAAAGAGAAGGAACTATAGGCGGCACCGTTCTCATCCCCGATCCCGGGCTTTCAGTGATCAGTGTACAGCCCTCTGTGGACCAGTTTTAATGTGCGAACAATCCACAGTCTATATTTGTCGATCAAGATGAAGCGAACACTTCAGTGTGACTACAATCTTAACTGGATGACGTGAAACCGGACAGTCACCAGATCCTCCTCTACCTCCATAATAAATAGTACTCCGAGCGAGTCGGAGTACGATACCTCGTCAGTTAGACGGGTAATCAAGTCGATTACATACATTTTGTGAAACTGTGACATCAGTATGAGCAGCTCTATATTCTATATTTTTAAGAATATAGCATTAAATATTTTCTAAAAAAAAACTTCTAAAATATCATATTTTCGCCAAAAAGTAAAATTCTAAATCTGACATATTTTCTATCGATACTTTTGCGCTACGGCGGTGACTTTTTCTGGACTCTTTACAGCGGCGTCTCGCGACGCCCACATATCAATCGACTGGCGTCGTGCCTCATCCGATACCTTATTTACAATATACATTTTATATGAGCGTTTATAGTGTTACCGTTTGTACTAACTTTACCGTTAACTCCAGATCCAGGCCATCCTTTACGCCAGACAATTCAATAGATATCAAATAAACAAACAAATACATCATAACTGAAAGTAGTATTCATTTATGACATCAAACCGATATCCATAACACTTTGTCTGGCGTGAAGGGTTACTTTACCTGTGATAGTGACGTAACGCGCACAAGTGGCCCCGAGGAGGTGTTATCCCGCATTTATTCCGCGATCCATAGGAAAGATATATACATTGCATTGCCTTTAAGTATTATTATGTGGTGAAGGGCCCGCAGGCCGCTGGCGCCCAACGTGGGGTACCAGATGGAACTTTATAATCTGAAAAGGTTTATGTCACCTAATATAGTATATCTGATACCCGGTTCCGTCAGGTGCCGACGGCCATCTTCCTGTCAGTGTATGTGTAAGGTGTACTGTGTGCGTGTCTCGCTAGTGTCGTGTGCTGTTCCTCTTTCCCTCTCCTATACATCCTGTCTTCCCTTTCTTTCCCTAGCGTCTCGACACACGCTCCATGTATATCGCCGTTCTCGACGTTGCGCTCCTTCCAAATCTTACAAGTATTCGTGAGTCCCGTGTACAGTATAATATTCCAGGAGCTTCTATTCCGAGTGCCCACTGATAATTTTTATATCGAGTTTATATCTATTTTTTACACAGTTTTTATATAAACTATCGTTTACACCTAGTAGGGTGTTCGTTGTCGTTGTAAAGTCCATCCTTGTTGTTGCGTGTTTGTGTGTGTGTTGTTGTGATGAGTGTTGACGTTACCGACGCGTGTGTGCGTGCTCGTTCCCGATGTGTCATGTACATTTTGTTACGTTGTGTAGATATAATCTAGTTTACGGAGGCTGTATGTGTGTTAGTTTGTTACTTGCCTGTTCGTAGTTCTGCTTGTATGCAGCTGCTGTGTTAAGGTTCATGTGCCATTACGGTACAGTACATATCCCATCACTGCATAATTTTGGGAGTTTGAATATTTTTATATTGTTTCAACTCCTCCGTAATGTACACGAACCTTGAGGAGACTACTACATTGTTATACCGTTATCCTTTTATGTATATCAAGTCTTCCAATAATTTTCCGAGTTTACTTCTTCCAATAATTTTACAATTACTACTCGTATCCTGCGTCTGTTTTTCTGAAAAACATCATATGATATTCTATTTACGCCATATCGGCAGGGCTGTTCGTGGCTCTATAATGTAAATCGGCATATGAACCGTTGAAAAATGATCATATTTAAAAAAAATGTATATTACAAATGAATTAATTTTCCTAGCCAAGCGAGTTCTCCACCAGTTATGTGAATACTTTTCATTGTGAAACAAACGCAAGGATCGCGTATACGAAGTCGGTACATTATTCAATGTTTCTTTATAATTCTGAACGAGTGCCATTTGTATGGAATAACTTGATTGTAAACTGAATTCAACAGTTTGTGCATCGGTTCAGTATTTGTAACATAACTGTGTTGTGTCAACTCCTTCCTACGTACACTAGACACACTCGCTATCTATAGTCGAGAGAAGTAATTTCTTCAGAAAATGGCATGACTCAAGCAGGTATGAATAGAATGAAATAAGTACTGTAATTATAGTATCCTTACTAATAACAGTTCTTACTTCATTCAAATTCTTGTTTATTTGTCAAATTTGTTTTCTTAAATAATATTTCACTCACATAAATTTGAATTAACTATAGATACGGGTGTTAATTACTTTAAATATTTTTTCTTAGTTAATATAAATTTGATATATTTAATAAACGTTTGTATCTATACTCGTAGAATTTACCAATTCATGATACGTCCGACCATTTCATGAAACGGAGTATGACCGCTTCATGATGTAGCCAAACAAATATCATTAAACGTTGACGCTTAAACGATATGATCAATTTTAGGTAACCGTTTCATGAAATAACCGGTCGGATCATGAAATTATCAATTCTACGATATGGCCACGACATATACATATCTTAAATGCACCTTATACCGCCTTACATAGAGATATCTTACATAGAGGTATAAGATTTATCTATATACTAATTTTCCGCTAGCGGCTACGCCCGCGTGGTTCTGTATTATGCATGTAAAATTTCCAGAAGCACTGTCTATAGTGATGAAAACCGCATTAAAAAATCCGTTGTGTATTTTAAAACAGCGTTCAGACAACAGGAAGCGTCTATACTATGTATAGATTGAATCTCGTTAACACAACACAGTTGTGACAGAGTATGGGAATCTGTACACGATTTATGTAATGTAAAATATATCAGTGTAAATATAAGAGGCGATTGGCCGCTCCTACGACATGCTGTGTGCTTGTATATGTGTGCGGTGTCGTGTGTGAAGGGTCGAGGTTTTGTATATAATAATGAAGCGGTTACATATTTTATTTATTGTGGCTTTGTCGTCTGAATTAACGTCGTGAGGAATGCTTTTTGAGTATCTAAGTCTACTTTATTTTTAATTAAATTGATGGACCTTGTGTTGTTTGTATTATTTAAATGAATTTACTCGGTTAAAACACAGTATTACAGCTCCTATAGAGATATCACGTAATTTGATTTTAGGTCTAAGTTTTTATAAAGGTTTTACTAAATGAAAATGCAATGTTTAATAGTCGATTCGAGATTTTATTACAAAATAATTAACCATTTACATATCTATGTCCAAATTCTCGTATACAAAATAAAATATTGTATGTATAATCGGCGGACGAGGCCGCGGTCGTTCCGATCAATACAATTTATTTAAGCCGCGATCGGTTGTTCGACGTAAAAATTTCCGGAAAAATACTCTGGGATACTTATATCTATATATTTTAATCGATCTGAAATCGATCGAACTATTTATGAATTATATTAGGAAGTTCATAAATAAACGTCGCGCACAGCAAACGACATTCGATCGGATCTTAAAATAAAAATTCGATATACCGTGGAAACATCATCACCTATACTATCCGAACTAGAGACGCGCCGAATATTCGTTTGGTATTTTTTTTTTCACTTCGGATGTTCGGCCGATTTATTCGGTTTTGGTGCCTTATATATTAGGTTTGAGTGTTTCTATATTCTAGATTACACAACACAGTATAGAACTAAAAACACAAAACTTCTTTGTAATATTTATGTTAGTTTTAATTATAATTCAATGAAGAATGAGTTCAATACAACTAATGAAAAGCTATTAAACTTCAATTCGACATTAAACTTTGAGTCGGTTTACGCGGCAAAACAATAAATGGTAAATCGAATAACTCGGCTGAATACCCAATCCGGTAAAAGTTAAACCGTATAATATTCAGTAATTTGGTGAAACCACTATTCGGCGCATCTCTAATCCGAACTTATATTTCAATGTAAAGTAAAACAGATCACAATAAAGTCGACGATAGATTAACGTTTGATTACAAGGAAACATTCCCTGTGCTGGTGTAGCTTCTTCGTTTGGGCCGATATAAAACTTAAAATATAAAATTGAACAAAATACAATCGAATGTCAGATGATCCATTATTTTTTTATACCAACACTAACTGACCGAGTGGGCCGTACTACACAGGAAGTACTAAATGGAAGAAAAATTGCGAACACTCATCTTCACACTAGCCTCTGACAACGACCGAGCGTCGATTTTGGTCCGGCCTAAAAATGTGACCCTTCACGACGACTTCCACGGTTGTTGTCCTAAGACGGTCATCAGTCATCCGGTCTGTCGGCGGGATGCAGCGCGAGCACGGAGGCGGCGCCGAAGGGCGGGCGGTAGGCGAGGCGGAGGTCCCGCAGCAGACGGGCGGGCGGCGCCACCGCGGCGAGGTACAGGCGGCCGAGGGAGGCGTCCGCGGCCGGTGGCAGCGCGCCCGCGACTGCCGCGCGACAATTGACACCCCACGCCCCCCACCCCGCGCCCGGCGGCTCTATACCCACGCACGCCGCGCGCGCCACCCGCGCCCACGACAACATCGACCTACCCCACGTAAAGATTCTATTTAAAATGTAGTTTCAATTTAAAAAAAATGCATCGTCAGTTTACAACCTCCTGAATAATATCCTTTATAAACTTAACAAGGCCGATTATAAATAGAATTTATAGCGAATAGGGTATTCTACTCTGTTTGAAATAATACTTGTTATTGTTTATTTTAATTTAAAAAAGTAATAAAGCAAATTATTTCGGGAAAATAAAATTAAATCAAAATTTAAACTAATTTTATATCCGCGAAAACGCTGTCCTTCATATTCATGACGTAATTATGATATGTACACAATGTACAAAACACATGCGTAGAGTAGAAATTAAAAGATGTCAATAAAACAAGAACAATGTCATCTAATAATCGGTACGAAGTAAAAATATATATAAATAAACTAAGAACAGCGCCATCTAGGAATTCGATATATAATTAATAGATAAATCTCTAGACTAATCTGACAGTTTTGTGGTCACAAGATCTTAAGAGCTCAGACGAGCGACTTCCTATCGTTATAGTTTATTTCAAATTAATAAACTAATAGTAGTCAGTCAGTGAGTGTGTAAAGTTACAGGGAAAAGATCGACTACTACCGGCAGCACTCACTGTCGATTTTACTAAGGGCATCCCTATATGTCAGTTTGACCTTTGCTCCGGGTTATAAAACTATTGGAATCGACATTGTAATTTTAAATATATCAATTATAAATAGTATTATATTAGTAAGTACTTGTATCTATCCTGATCGTGGTCGGCGCGCAGGTCGTAGAGGGCGAGCAGTATGATGTCGGGCGAGGGCAGCTGCTCGAGCGGCACGTGCTGCACGCCGTCCAGCGCGAGCGCATCTAGCTCCTGCTGCAGCGCGCCCCCGCCGCCGCCCCCCGCGCCCCCGCACACGTGCAGCGCCCCCCGCGCGCCGTGAGACATCAGCAGCCGCAGGCACCGCGCACCCACCGCGCCCCACTCGTGGGCACCTTCTCATCACGCACTCATTAGTGGCTCGGTGAGGAGACCAGTGGCCTAATTGTCTAATTTTAAAATCTTACACAATCCCATTCAAACGTTTAGCGGTTGTGACGATGACTTTTAAAGTCACAATCGCTTTTGGAACGAATGATGATTTGAATGATATAAAAAGTTATAGACAATTAATTTCGTTTGACATTTCGCAATAGCTTCAAATTCCGTATCTATCAAAATATATCATCAAAATCCGTGCAACGGTTCTCGAGCTATAAATGGTGTAGCTAACACAACTTTCTTTTATATATATATAAATTTGTGTGTTTACACTTACTTAATCGCTTAAAATTAAGTTGAAAATCTAATTAATCACATGTAAACCAGCCATATGATTGTATAGTTGAGTGAGTGAGTGTTTACCTATCACAACTTTCTTTTATATATATATAAATTTGTGTGTTTACACTTAATCACTTCAAATTAAGTTGAAAATCTAATTAATCACATGTAAACCAGCCATAAGATTGTATAGTTGCGTGAGTGAGTGTTTACCTATGAGTGCGACGGCATATGGAGCCTGATGGGCGTTCCTGGGCTCTAGTCTCCGCCCCCCGCCCACTAGCCGGAGCGCCACGTCGCCCGCCGCGCGAGCCAGTAACGTACGCGACACTTCCGCCAAGCCCAGTCTGATACACACATCACATACATCGTTAGCCTTACAGCGAATATGCACATTTGATACATTGATATAATAATTTATATAACTGTAAAAAATATGTGAACGAAATTACATAACATTGAATATTTTGGATTTAACACATTTTAATTAGCTATTATATTTTATCAATTTTGCATTCACAATGCTGTACTAAAAAAAAGTTTTTCATTAAGAATATTTACCAATTAGTCCGTCAGACAGATAATAGAAAAAAACTTGATACTTATTTTTTTTTTCTTTTTTTTGCTTCATTTTAACAATAAATAGCTTAGATATAGACATAAAAGTAGGGGGGTTCGCTACGTCATAGTTTTCTATAAAATGTTTTTCATTTCAACTCAATATATTTCCGTAATTTATCGATTACGCAAAAAATTAAAAAAATACGCGTTTAATATTCTTAAAAAAACAAAAAAATAGTCTTCTTTCCTATTACTTCCTGACTAAAGCGACTACGAAACTGACGAAGATGATGAAAAAAAATATTTGCATAGACATTATTCTAAAGCAATAATGTTCGTAATAAGATATATTTTACCCTTTATCAAACCAGACACATATTCCCTATTGTAACACCCGTTTTTCAAATTTAATTTAATAAAATTTAGAAGTATCGTATCTCGAAAATTCAAATGCTATTATTAAATATCTATCTCGTCAACGCTCTTCCCGGAACATACATTAAACGTGTCCCAAACGAAAGGTAATAATGCGGTGAACCTGTCATATGTCTGCCTCATGAGAGCAGGTGCCACTATCCCGTCGTTGGTGACGTAGTCGAAGGGGTCGAGAGTGCGATATCTTATAGGTGCAACCGAGAAAAGTGACATTTGAGTGTTGAAAAAACGTTTGTAACATGATAATGTAAGTGGACCTGTCGAGTCCGTCGTATATCTGCCTCCTGAGGGCGGGCACCACGGACGGCACCACTATCCCGTCGTCGGTGACGTAGTCGAGGGGTCCGCGCAACTCGTCGGGCACGCGGATGGCGCGCCGCCCGCTGCCACCGCTCCCGCCCCCGCCTAGTACGTTCTCGTCGTGTCTCAGCTTCGCGCCCGCCTCGTCTGCCTGATGATAGATATACGATTATTAATTTTAAATTATATCAATATGAATGTCTTCTATGTGATAAATCAAAAATCACATCGACGCTGGAAAGCAAACACGTAGTAACCCGCAAAACCAAATTTGGTTGAACCAAAGTTTTATTACACTAGATTTCTAATTATATGTATGTATCTCCAAAAGAATCATATTATGCATATTGTGAATTATTGCTGTTAAGTAACTAACAAGATCGTCAATTTTATAGTTGATCTATATTAAAATTTATGTAGATCTTGTATATTATAATCTATGTAGATTATTATTCTATAATTATGGTGTTATTTCATTGATGTTTCCTAACATATTAGGAAAACAACAAAGTTCTTATCGACAATGGAAAGCAAACACGTAGTAACCTACAAAACCAAAATGGATATGTAGAGCGGAAAATCTTTATATAAAAAAAAAACTAAGCTAACTAAGGAACACCTTATTTGTTACCATGAATGTTTACAGGAATTATTTATCGAAAAAAATAAAAATTTTTCTTCTCTAAAGAACAATTTTGGTTTTGCAGGTTACTACGTCTTGCCAGCGTCGTTATATCTTCTTATATATAAAAATGAATCGCAAAATGTGTTGGTAAGCGCATAACTCAACAACGCCTCGACCAATTTGGCCAAATCTTTTTTAAAATGTTCGTTGAAGTTCAAGGATGGTTTTTACGGCGAGAAAAATTAGAATTATTGCTGGAAAAACCCTAAAAATAGCCCTTTTCTTTTTCCCATACAAATGATTTGTAACTAAAACGTAGTCAATTTGAGCTTTATTGCTATGGTATAAAGTTCATATTAAATTACAAGCACTCACTGTTGTCTAAGCAATGTAGGCTTTTTGACAGGACGAAGTCTGTCGGGTCAGCTAGTTTATTTATAAATTTGATTATAGAATGACCTGCCGAACCAGATCCGGCTTGTGTGCATGCCGCATGCGCTCCCACAGTGCGCGTTTGTCGAACAGCGCGAGGTTTCCCTCAAAATCAAAGTCGTCGTCGAGGGCGGGGTCGGCGGCGTCACCAAAGCATGCCTCGTTCCGTCGCCGAGCCTTATCGTAACCCCCTCGCCCTTTAGGCGTCGTTCCACTGTTGCCATAACTTCCTGCTGATATTGTATATCAGATATTATTAATTTATTTAATAAAAAACGCTGAATACACGATACTGAATACACAACCTGTAAAATAATTAACACATATTGTTAAATTAGTTTGTTTAAAATCAGATACTGGTACGATTTCAGCAACTTCTAATAAAGGTAATTTTTATTTCTAATTTTAATTGCAATAAAGTAAATTGTCATCTGTACCCATTACAACCGTACCAACCGAAAAATAATCTTTTCAAATATTTTTTACTTGTAATTCATCATAGGAAAAAAAACAAAGAAAAATGAGCTTTCTTTTAATGTTACTTGAGTGTAAAATGCTCTTTAATGCTATAATGCAAAAGTTCATATACCAAAGATTCAAAACATTCATATACAGAGAAAAATAATATACCACAAATAAACATGACACATGTGATATACATGACAGTAAAAGTGGATGATTATTTAATTGCAATTCAACTTGATGGAATTTCCAATTTCACAAGCAAAACTCTCTTTTATATGTCAGTTTATCTGTTATGGATTAGTTGTCACTTTTACAATTCCTCTGCGTTCTGATTGAAAAAAAAAAATAATCAGGCTATTGATACATATTATTTCTAGAGTTGATACATATTATGTCTACTCTATTTAAAAAAGCTTTTATGTTTTTAGTCACAAAAAAATCACCTTATAAAACAATAAATTCGAAAATACAAAGGAAGTGGATGTGTAACCTGTATTATTGTTGCTCCTGTTATTTGGCCGGTTGCCTTGGATATCAATGGGTTTACTACGCGTGGGTGCTGGGCCAGAACCTGCACTCCGGGAGTTTGAGCTCTTAGTGTTGCTTGCTGGGTTCACATTTGTCTGATTACCTGCTGGTAATAAATGTAACTAAATGGTTTTTATACCATAAAGATATAAAATAATTTAAAGAAAAACAACAAACCCGACTGCGTAAAAACGAATTTAAGTTTTTATTAGAGTCAATTTTTCATGTATTTTTTAAAATTCGTTTTTATGGGGTCCGGTTATTATTATTATTTAAATTATTTATTTTATACTTTTTAGTCACAATTCGTTAATTTCGTTATAAGATGGTAAATTTCGCAATCTAGTCATTTCATTGAGGGAGTTAATATAGTGGGGATTATTAAGTAACTTGCGGTGGTCTAAACTACTGACGATTTGTCCCTCTAGAGATCTAACTCTGCTCAAAGCTACATATGCTTGTTCACTGTTTTTTTTTTTGTTTCTACAGCGTGTTTGGTAATACCTGTATAATCCCGAATATGGCACATACGGTATGATGAATAGAACCCAGAAAAATGATCACTAAGACTGAAACCCAGCACATGACCTAGATATTCAGCTTTTTTTCTTCGAAGTAAAACTGTACGCTGACAACCCTAAAAACAGCTGTTGTGTTGTATTTGGTCATCGACTCCATGTGCCGAACTAGTTTAAAAAATAACAGAAGTTAAATAAATCTAAAGATAAATGCCTAGAATAAATATGCATCTGAGAGGAATTTATTATTTCCAAACAAAGAAAAAGTTAGTAGTAAATGACTTTTAACTATAAAAAAATACTAATCTTGTGATTAACGGTGTTTCAAAAACTATTAATATGAAAACTTCTGTAATAATACAGTCAAAATAAAAAAGAAATTGCAAATACTTTGATTGAAGTTCAATATCTGCACCATTGCTCACATTAGTCTATGCAAGAAGGAGCGAGAGAGACATAAAATCGACGACGATGTGTATTGAGAAACTCGGGTTTCTGATGTGTCAGTAAGGTTCTGTAGATTATTTGCTTTGAAGTTTTGTTATTTTTTTCATAAAGCCGTGTTATTTTCACGAAACAATAAAATACGGACTTATACAATGATATTAATAATCTAAGTATCTCTCTTATTCTTAGTTTAAATGATAATTAAATAAAGGTTAGTTGTAATGGAAAGGTCTAATAATAAATAATATTTCTTGACGCGGAACCCCAAAATCGGTACACTTTTGATTTAGGTACATTGGTGTTCGAGTTGCAATAATAATAACCTATGTAGTTTTGGTCATCGCGTCAGTCGCGTCCGTGACTTTCATCGGCGTACTTGTGAGTTTTCAGAATTTAGAAGGTCAACTTACGTTTTCGTTCTTTCGGGACTTTTGGTTTGTTTTTCATTCTCGTTCTGTTTACCTGTGTATTATGTTTGTGTGCGGTCAGTGCAATGAATTCGTACTCAAATGCCTAATATTACGAGATGATAATGTGTGGCGGTGCTTGTGACGGTAATCTTGCTGCGGCTCGGCGGCGTTATGACGAGCGTCACGTGTCAGGAAGACCTGAAAACCATCGACGTCTTCCTTCTTACCGGTGATTCGCGGCATTTGTGAATTGGTTACATACAACTGGTTCATTTCATAGTGTGCCACAGGTAGGCCGGCCGATCACCTATTCCATCGAGACAGAGGATATGACTTTACGTCGAGAGTAACACGACACGGTCTGTGTCGAGTCGAATGGAGATGTGTGTTTTATGCGGTGGCCGGCATATCGAGACCCTGGACTGATAAAGTGGAGGTGAAGTGTAGGTAATGTTGACAAGTGAAAGCTGAAAGAGTGATTAGAACGCTATAGATATGTACCTATTTAATCTTAAATTGTTTTAATTACAAGTAAACTCATACGTAGTCGAGTGCGCGCGTCGGCAACATCAAAATGTATTCAAGGAAACGAGAGAGTGAGAGGTAATGAGAGAGAGAGAGAGAGAGAGAGAGAGAGAGAGAGAGAGAGAGAGAGAGAGAGAAGAGCGAGTGCGGCGGGACGGCACGTATAAGCTTACAGGGTTGTAGCATAGTAATTGAAAACAAATTGTTCAAATATTTGTATGAAAATATCAATTTACATGAAATTGTTTTTTGACCTATCAATTGTGTTCTTTGTGCTAGGTTGTATGGCCATGTTTCGGGATTATACAGGTATTACCAAACACGCTGTATATTGGTTATACTTTAAATAAAAAATTAAATCAATAAGTAAGAAAATTAGCGAGAATGATTGTTTTGTTAAACAGCTTTAAATTGTTATATATCCTAAACTATTATTTAAAATGAAAAATGATAAAAGGAACCTAAAGATGATTTTAAAATACCCATTCAACGACACCCCACTTGACATAGATCATCGATTTTTATTTTTTTCATTTAGACAATATGGCGTCTGGTTGTCATAGTGGTGAATTTTGATTACTGTCATGTCTTTAGAGACACTCGCAAGGTTAAGACGAATTGATTGACGTAAGAATCATCTAAATCGGCCTACGCATTTGTTCTCTAGAACGCCACATAGAAACAAACATACACAAACATACATACATAGACTGATAAATACATTACCTTCCTTTGCGTCGCGCAGTCGGGTAAAAAAAATCACAGTATGTATGCATACTAACCTGAACTTGTAGGATTTGCTTGCAAATTTTCACAGACAGTGGCTCGTTGACATTTTTTATTATTCTTTGTTACAGATACAGTACTATGAGTCTGCTCAGCGCGTTCATGTTTTACTTCAATTATTTTCAATTCTTTAATGTCAGCAGCACTGTCAACAATAATGTATAAGATTGCACAACCTTTTAATTGGTTATATGACTGTTGTCTGGGAAAGTAAAACTTTCTTATAATCTTTTTTAAACCAATGTCACATTTATTTTACTCCAAATGGTAATTAAATAAAAGATAAACACATTTTTATTCATTAATTTAAATTCCCCCATGAAAACAATAATTAAGTTCGCCAATGCATATCTTTTGTGGATGAAGAATTAAATAAATCAGTCACATGACTATTTGAGCCATGACTTCATCTTACTTAAGTTATAATAAGAATAATATCTGTAGTATAAACAGATATATATTATTCTTAGTAAAAATAAGAATAATATAAATACAAAATGGATTGTACATTTACTTTTTACAAATTATATTATGAAATGCTATATATAATGAAAGTAAGAGGTTTTTAATCCATTATGAATGAAAAAACGACTTTGTTTTCTAATACTTATATTAAGTAACAGGAGATATAAACACTGGAAAATGTTTAATTTTCTGTGAATTTTTTTGTAACTCACAATACTTACACTTCATATTTTAGTTTTAAAAACAATTCTACAATAAGCAGAATCAAGAACATTTGACTAACTTTGAATACTAAATTGCTGTATCTACCAAAAAACAAGTGAAATATTAACTTTAGAACATTTTTTTTTTTTTAAATCTTTAAATAGACTTTGAAATCACATACAATTATTCCAACGCCAAACTTTCTAACTTTTTAATATACTAGTTGAGAAACTTTTCAAACATTTTTGGTTTTGAAGTACAATTATCATATACAAATTATCATAATATATAATAATACCTACATTTTCTACATTCAAAATTATTGGTTTTATACTTCATATGTTCATAAGTATTTAAACAAACTTCCTGAAAAAAATTGAGAAATTTCCTGATTTAGCTTTTCACCACATATAATTAAGTTTGACAAAATAAGTTTTCCCAATGGGGCAATGGAGCATTCCACAAATCCAGGCTTCAGTTATAGATGATTTTCCATTGTATTATATAAACTGACAAGACTATGAATTAAGAAAGAACTGTTAATATTAATATTATTCTAACTAAATAACAGTTCTTCCTTGATGCAAATTCTTGTATAATTGGTAAGAATGTCTACTAAGTTGTGACATAAAGCGTAAGAGCTTGTAGACAAGTGATGTCATTCTTAATGAACATAAAATATAAATATCATCACTACATAGTATAAATCAAAGTCGCTTTCTCCGTCCCTATGTCCCTTTGTATACTTAAATCTTTAAAACTATGGATCGGATTTTGATGCGGTTTTTTTTCATAGATAAGGTGATTCAAAAGGAAGGTTTTTATAATACAAGGTCACGCGGGCTAGGCCGCTGGCGGAAAGCTAGTTATCATTATAACGATAATATGTATATTGCTAGTTATTAAAAATTTGGTCTTTTATTACGTCTCATAGCTTAACAAAAAACACGATGTAAATAGTGAACAAATTTACTTTAAATCGTTTATAAATTTCGGCTGATGTTCACTTACTTGAGCGTAACTTGAGATTTAGGATAAGGAAAACCATTTCTAAAAGCCTTGGTGAGGGTAATTGTATTTCCATCTGCTTCTAATATAGTTCCTTGGTAACAACCTAAAGGTTCACCACAGTTAACAGAAACCGCGTAGCCGACCCACTTTGACATGTTTTTATGAACTAGACATTCAATTAAATGCACTGAAATCTGATAATTAAAAAGCTTACTCTCTAAATAAATTAAAATCGGCGTCAACAAACAAACCAATAGAAAAATACACCTCAAACGAAATCAACCATAACCACACACCATAGAACAAAACAAAGTAAGAAGCACAGACTGTAAGAAGTATAGTACAGCTTAGGATATTCAATCCGAATTAATCGGTTGATGAACGATTTACCAAATTCGATCTATTCGATTTTTAACGATTTAAAAGAATATGATCTATGGTTAAATTGATTCGTATGCCTGAAATTTATTATATAATAATGTGTTATAATTAAATGTATTTCACTTAAATGTGAAATACAGTCAGTTGTGATTATTATAAGCATTTTATTAAACAAAGTTTTTATTAAAATACAGTATGAATTAATTAAACAAAAAAAATTATATCGTTGGGCACAGAGTGAGTATCTCAAGCAAAGTATGATCCTACCTACTTCTATTTATTGTTTCTTATAAATTCTGCCCCCTAATTGTCTAATTTTAAATCTATTGCAATCGCTTTCAGTTTGAAAGGTGTTGCACAACCATTGCTGCATAATACAAATAATTTTTTTTTCAACTGTCTTCAGAAACAAGCAATGGTTGTGCAACACCTTTCAAACTGAAAGCGATTGCAATAGATTTAAAATTAGACAATTAGGGGGCTGTATAGCCTAAGATTGCGACTAGTATGAAATGAAGATACGCATTAATATTTTGTTTTTATTATGTCACCTCTTTATATATATTTATATAAGGGTTGATCTTGATACCCGATGGTAAAAGCGGTATAGAGAAAGACCAGGGAGCTTTTAGATCACATGAGTTTATTTACCACCAAAAATATATAATTTATAAAAAAACAAACAGCACCGACAATAGCTTGATGAAGAGTGACTTTTTTTATTAAAACAATAGACACGCATGTGTATAAGAGATTGCCAAATGTCAATATTTAAATTTAAATTAGTTAAAAATCCCTTAAACCAAGAAGGTCGGGAGCAAAGCAGTCTCCCTCAACAGATCCAATATATCCAAAATAATTATTCTGTTTTGTATAGGTAGTTTCAAATTATATTACTTTTTATAAACACAATAGAAAAATAGCTTAGTAGCTTGGATATTATGAAGACACGGTAGGAATGAAATAAATAAATAAACATAAGTATTAATTTTATTACATATTTCATTAGCATTCATATACATACCCCTTAAGACAGAACTTATCATGCCATAATGTTAGTAATATGGTATAAATATGGAAAATAAATACCTATATATTGCTGGAAACGTAGGGTTATCATGTCAGACTTTTGTTTTGTTACCTAGATATAGATACTTACTGATTGCTTAAATAATGGTATCATTTACATAAAATAGTTTATCAGTATTCAAGTAATCTCTATTTATCTAGTCGTATCTAGATACTTCAAAAATATGTCACATTAGTATATTTTTTTTAATTATTAATACATATTTAGGTACTTTAAGATTGAGTTTCTTTTATCATTTTTTACTTTTTAAAGGCAACTTAGGTTTTTATGTCGGGGCTTCATGATACAATTCTTTATTTTAAACTTTTTATAGGTATATATTGATTATAATGTAGATTCTTACTATATATTTTTTTTTTTCCTATTTTCATTAAACATATTAAGAAGACTTATATATACGTCATCTTTAATACAATAAAAACTAATTTGATATCGCCTCATCCATTCGGGAGCTATAATGCCACAGACAGACAAACACACATGTCAATCTTATAACACCCCTCTTTTTGCGTCGGGGGTTAAAAATAAAAGTATCATTATGGACCCTATTGGGCATAGCTGGATTTTTTTCTTTATTATAATTTTTAATGAGTTTGGCAAATCATTGTATATTTTTATTGATATTCTTAATGAAGCCATACCAGAAAGAATTACATAGTTGTTTCTTCACGTTTTTTTTTCACATCGGGTATTTTCGGACGACTTACATACTTCTGAAATATATGCAGGGTAATATATTTAAGAATTTTATATTAATTATAAAAAATATGGTTTACAGCTGTCTGCATATTATAGGTTAAAGATGATGCAAATTATTTTTTTCTGAAATGTAAATAAAAATAGAAAGTCTGTACTGTTTCACCAAATGATACAAATCGCAGCAGAGCCATGAATACGCATCGGCGTAGTAATTAGTTAATACTGTATCTATATCTGTAGTTCTTTTTTTATCTCTTGTAAGGCATATGCAAAGCTAGAAGATTTACTTTTTAGTTTTTGAATATGTAACTTCCAATTTATGTGTTAAACCTAATAAAGTGACTTCATTAACAGCTTATGATAACAGCTATGAATAATACATTATTTATTTGCAATATAATCAATATTTAGTTCATTCCTTTTAATATAAAAAAAAAATCGATTTCTTTAAGATCTATGTACATCCCTATTGTTTATTCTATAACAAAACCATCATTGGCAAATCACTAATAGAGTTGAGATATATTTCTGTTCCAGTAAATATATTAGAAAAGATCCATGTATTAGATATTTTTTGCAATTTTCGGCGGCATCTAGTCCCAATTTCTAAATACATGATCGACTTTGTATTATAAAACACTCATAAAAATTATAGAGATCATATTTGCATGTAATATTCTGCCCAGGTGGGAAAAAATTGTCAATACGTGTGTAAAGGACATCGAGCCACGTCGTGACAACAGCGCCACCAGCGGGAAAACAGCGAAACCTTCCCCTCCCCGCGCGGTGCGGGGTAGCGTACTCCCACTCTAAGAAATCTTATAAGATAGCTGATTTGTATATGAGATAAGTGCGAGCAACCAAATTGTACTTAAGTAAGCGATATTTCGCAATGAAGCATGTTCTGCCTTCGAACGTTCTCCGAGTTTCTCCGAACCTAGTGTTTTACTCTGCTACCTGCCCGCTTTTAAAATCCAGCCTACAGTCCATCTGCTACAACGTGCCTGTTGCTGCCCCGGGCCTCCATGGGGTTAGACGGGTTTAGTCCGCTACTGATAATAGGTAAATAAAATAAACAATATGGATTTTCATATATCGATATAAATATAAATTATTGACAACTGTCAAGTCAGTGTAAAGCAAATTGTTGTGAATTTATATGAAAATCTTAATTTATTTTGTGAAAATGCCCACAATGCTATTTATATCTCAAGCGAGAAATATTGTCCTTTATGTTTATAGCAATGCAAAATATGTGAAAAGAAGCTGAAAATTAACGATGGTTTTTTATTTAAAAGTGTTTTTGTGGATTAACCGGTAACTAGCAATAACTTATCTCGATAACTCTTATTAAAATTGAATTACATGACCATTACTGTAAAACGTTGATCTCTTATAGATATCTATGGATTGCTAGGAACTGTAATCGCTGCTTCTTGGAGGATATTGTAAAACAAGTCGGTCAAACATCAACATTATTTGATTTACGTAACAGTGAATTCAACTTTACTTAAAAGCTTAGTGGAAAATAGATAATTACTACATATTAAGATAGTGATCGTGGTTCAGGCAAATAATTAGTTGTAGAAGTTCTGAAATCGAAATTCGTTAAATTAAGAAAAACGTTTCACATCCGCCTATCAAGGTGTAGATGTAGTGAGCGTGAATATTGTACGTTCAAAGTCACCTCTAAAATTTTAAGTATCGCCTATAACTGTAAAATACTTTATACGTGGATTTATAGTAAATATGTCTCACCTCTAAATTCATAGATTCTTCGTAGTGTCATGCTGTTAAGGGTTGAGGCGCCTATTACACTACCCAATCTATTCGGCCCGATCCATCGGGTACACTGTAAATTGGGTAGTCTAATCGCAGTTAGAGAGTTAGGGTCCCGATATCGGGTGAACGTGGGCGCCCGATCGCCCGATGAGAGTTAGGGCCGATTTATCGGGTAATGTGATCGCTGTTAGGGTGTTAGAGCGCTCAGTCGGTTGTTGCGCAGCGTGCGTGTGAGACGTCAGTGAACGACAACGAAATTTGCGAACAGACAAAAATTCTTCTCAAAAGAAAAGAAATAATATTAAGTGTAATTTAATATTATTACTTTTTCTTATATATATATATATATATATATATATATATATATATATATCAATATGATATAATGTTTTAAACATTTCTAGATAGCCTTTGCATGTGTCTAAATTACAATAATAAAAACTAATGCTATAATAAACTTTATATTATTGTTGTGCCCGATAGGGTCCATATTGAGACTAACTTAATTATGTAATATTATTTTAAATTACGTATGGAAACAATAAACTTATTGAGTATTTATATTTTAAGTCATGATATGCATTTCCCGTTGCTAAAAATTTTAAGGTTCTCACATCTAACCGCTGTTTTGCGCTATATAAGGTATGACTAAGTTTAATATATGATCAAATTGTGCAGAACTCATTCTGTAGTAGTTCAAACTGCATAGTTGGTCATTTAGAAGCAAATATTTTTCACCCAACATTTTGTTTTATTATTTACGCCCGCAATTAAAGTATGGGCTATGCCAATTTTTTTGGTACTTTGTGAGCGAAGGAGCCATCCTTTCAACGCTACGTTTGCATGCCAACTGAGTTAGGGAGGCGATCTAGTGCAGTGTAATCACAACGACACCAACCGCCCTAAATCGCGGCCGATATATCGTGCCCGATAGATTGGGTAGTGTAATAGGCGCCTAAGTTTGACATTGACATTTAGTATTTTTGTTGTCATGTTGTGTGGTCGCGTTCGGTCGGATTGTCGGATTGGATTGGATTTTTGGCGCAGTAGTGCAAAGAGAATTTAAACTTGTACCTTTGTTTTTTACAGAATACAAAGAGAATAGAAGTTCAAATGTTCAAATAAACAAGAGCGAACAAAGTTGCCGTAATTGTCTTAATATGGTAGGGAATAGTTTATATTATTGTAATAGTTTTTCAATTAATTTATTTTTGTAACTTTAAGATTTCTGATCGCTCTGATAACTGGTTTATTCAATTACTTATAGGCAATGGAATATGTGAAAGAGAATGTGCCTGCCCGACCTCCGGTGCCGGTATGGGTGGTTGTATGCGGTCTATTGGCGACGATGGTGGCTTTGGTCGGCGTGACCACTCTTGTCGACCACACGCTGCCGCCACCACTCACCCGTCGCGATGCGCCACCAGACAGATTCATTGCAGAGATTGCATATGAACACCTTGTTAACATTACCAACATCGGTCCCAGGGTATGTTCTGATCTAGTTAGTCATAGATTTTGCACAATATTTACAAGAGTGATAACCTACTGCGCACATCTGTAGTAAGTCTACAAATGTATACTATAATGTATGTGTGTGTACTATAAATATAATATATATTTTGGAAAATAATAATTACATAATTTTGCACCATATGAGTGATTAATAAATTTACCAAAAAATCTAAGTGAGTTCTCTTCAAAATAAATCTACAGACCAGATAACTTCTTCACAAAATAAATCTACAGACTGAAAATTTGGGTATCCAATAGTTTATATTTAGTGATGATGAATTAGTCAGAATAAATATTATATTTTGGTTAATTTTGCATTCACAATGCCATATTGAAAATTATTCTTAATACAAATGCTTAAAAAATCCACTGCCTCAAAATCCAATCCCTGGCACCCTGAGATGGGAATCGAACCCACTATCTTTTGCAATCCGGGCGACTTTGTATTGAGAATAATAGTCAGAATAAATTCTTATAAATATATATTTAAGGAATATTTGTAAAACACCTTTGTTTTGATCTTAAAGGTTAATTATTGCAAAAAATCTTAATTTGCAGCAAATAGTAACAACATAGTTATTCTAGTAACTGTGAAATTAAAGTACTCCAATAAATGTGGATAAAGTATGTAAAATGTATCTTTGTAAGCACATAGTACAAAATGTCAGATGAGAATAAATTGACATAAAAACAATAAACACTATAAAACTTAGATTCAAAAAGTAAACAAATAATTGCCACTAGCTAATTAACATAGAAAACAGGTTTCATCAGTTATTAAGTACATTGTTTGTAATAAAATGGTCCTCTTAATTAGTATACTTAGCATTTTTTTTATTTAATATAAAAATAAGACACAAATTGCACAAAAACTTGAATTTACATTGTAATAAACACAGATATTCTTATTTTAAAGTTCTATACCACCAGTTGCACAAACATCCATTAAAATTGTCATTAGTTTAAAGCAATGTTACCCATACAAATTAGACATTCATTAGAGCTTAAAGGCATCATTAAATCTTAATAGATGTTTACCCTATTTTAAGCAGCTGTAAAAAAGGTTTATCAACCATGTTTTAGGACTGCCTCTTCTCTGCAACTGATACCCTCGTTCAGTTAAAGATAAATAATATTTTACAATACACATTTGTGAAGCAAGTTGTTTTAATTCTATATTTCATTATGATTTTGGCATGCCCTAGAATGCCCCCTACCCTTTGGCCACTGGCTCGTAGCTCCTAGTCACTGCAATATGTCATATAGTTTTTCTTACAAATGTCAATGATATAGGTGGCAGGCACATATGAGAATGAGGTAGCGGCAGTGTCTGTGCTGGTAGCAGCAGCGAAGGAGATAGCACGCGCTGCGTCACCGCACAATGTCGTCGACATAGATCTGCAGCGTGCCAGTGGCGGCTTTAGCCTCAGTTTCTTTGATGGTGGGTCAACTATTCACTTATCCCACAATTGTTGGCAGTATGAAACAGCTGGTTATTTTTTTGTGAATTCGGTGTTCAGTATACTATATAAAAGTTGTTCAGTATACTTAACTAATCCACCCTATGAAGCCCTGACATAAAATAATATTACACCTTATAGACAGGCTTTATAGAAAGGTGTTTATTAATTCAGATTTCAATTGATTTTACAATTTATTTAAGCTTCAACATCTATTTAATTTCAAATATATTGTAGGAAGGTAGCTCCTTCACTAGTCCTTTTCACGATCACAGTTGGCAACATTGATTAAGGACGTGTACGCGCCATTTTTTTTTATTATAAACAATGATCGTAAGTATGTGAATGTTGATCAGGCATGAACAACATATACAGTGACGTGCAGAACGTGGTGGTCCGCGCGCGCAGCGTGGGCGGGCGTCCCACTGCCACCAAGCGCACGGCGATCCTGCTCAACTGTCACTTCGATACCGTGCCCGACACACCAGGTCAGTGACTACTGCCCGCCACCCCCACACAGTTTTGCTGCTCCTTCTTTTAAGAGTATGTATTATGAGGAATACACTTTTATGCTTATTATATTTATAATTCTGCTGAAATTAATTTTAACGATGTCGCGATATCATAGCGACGCCATGACAGAAGTGGGGTTTACGCGGAAAATTAAATTTATTTTCAGATTTTTACTTATGATTTGAATTTTATATTTTAAGACGTATTTCATGTATATCCATAAAGTAAAAATATAAAGAAAGTTGTCTACAACCCTATTCATATAATGACATATAACATACAAGTAAAATAAACAATTTAATATTTAAAAAATGGTTGGCATAATCAATCTAATAATAAAGAAACAATTTGCACAGTGGATTTTTTTTAATGAGGAGTTAATTACACCTTATATTTGATACCTTTATTGCTGTAATTAAAATTTTTTTTTTGTTAAGTGGTGTCATACATCCACCATTTTGAATATTTTTTCTAAATACTTATACAGCCTGTGCAGGATGACGTTACGTTTTTAATGATAATAAATGCATATTCTTGAAGTCTTTCAAAAGTTATGTTGAAATAAGGAAACTCACATACATACATTTACATTAACATAAACAAAATGCACTCTTTTTGGGCATTACTGTGATTAAAATTAATTTATCTCTCTAATTTGTCTTTAAAATTAAAATGGTATTTGCATTGATTGTAAAACATGTTCCATAGTTCGCGATTATATGGCACCTTCAACCTTCATTAGATATTGATTGACGCACGTGGTATGTCAAAGTTGTACCTTGTACCCTATGACAGGAGACATAATCAAACGTTAATATATCATTTCACTAAGACGAATATTCAAATTTACATTTACCAAGTAACGTTAGACAAATTTATACTTAATAATAAAGTTCTCAATTGATAAATAAACATTTGGCGAAATTACATTACTACATCAATTATTAATTTGAAAAACTAAAACCTATTTTTATCATAAATATAATCCCAATTAGGTTAATATAATTTCTAAAAGAATAGACGAAAACGAATATATACTTAATAAAGAAGTACATAATTAAAGTTCTACTATGAAAGAAGAGATACTTGTTAAATGATTAGTCATTGATTCATAATATACATACATGTTGCCAACCACAAATCTTGATCTTTGTCACTAGGCAATGAATTATTTTTAACTATTGCATCTTGGTCGTATTACTTACGCTAACCTTCTCGATGTATGTTAGGAATTAACATTTATTTACAACATAAGAACAGGGTCGCAACCCGTCCTGAATTTTCTGGGACAGTCCTGATTTCAATGATCTTGTCCAGCGCCCCGATTTCTTATTCATTTTGCCCTGATTTTTAATAAAATTCGACAAAGATATTCTTAAAAAGTTGTTAACTAAAATAAAGATGCCATAATTACATAGTAATTGCCGAAGTGACCGCTTTTCACCGGGCGGGTCTTATGTATTTTTGTCACATCAATTAAATTAAAAATAAATAATACGGAAAAGACTGGATTGATGTCCGATCTTTTGATCACCGTAAGAATATGCATAATTTTGTTTCCCAAAAGGTGGCAACCGTGCATAAGATATACAGATAACAAACGCGGCTAGATATTGACAAATATAATCCTTTGGTTAGCAAAACATTTAAAAAGTAAAACAAACTAATGAGTTCGACAACTGATATGATTTTGATATCATTGAACGCCCGATTTCTGCGTCCTTCAAGGTAGGAACTTGATAAATTCTTAATGTCTTGTTTAGTATTGGAAAGGTCGCATCGACTACCATCATTCAACTTTGTAATTAATTCATTTATCAAATTACTAATTCTAATTAATATATTGTTACTCCTAAATTTCGTACGTTCATTAAAATAGATAAAGTTGTAATATAGTTATATCCCTTTAGTATATAAATATTTTTCAAAATTGTTATAAATCTACCATAGAATCCATATCCATACTAATCTTGTTGAGATATGGTAAATCGATTGTTAAAACCTAGACCCGATTAGTTTTACTGTTAATATCACATGTTACTTTTTATCTAAAAAAAATAAATGAAAATAATATAAAAGATAGTTATCGTTATCTGAGAGTGTGGTCTAAAAAAATAATAATCATATGGGAAGTTTAGTTCAGTTCATATCTCAAAAAGTTTAATATCCCCAAATAATATTGTGAATTATATTTGAAATATTTTAAATTCACAACATGAGTAACCTTAACTTATTGCTTGTGATTGTTTCGTGACCAGTCATTATTCCCTTTTGATTTGATTCAGTGATCAACTTCGAGAGTTTTGTGGGGACTATTTCACCGCCTTGCTTTTGTTATTTTTATTTCTTCTTGTTAAATGAACAATACTGACTTTGAGTTATTATAAAACACTGATTGTCGGTATTATAAATAAACAAAAAATTACCTGATTACTACCTGCACCTTACTGTTTTTACTTCTAAGGTTGGTTTTACAGTGACACTTGTTGGTTTTGCATTACATAACTCTTTCACTCGTTCGCAAACATCGCATAGATGTGTCTACCCAATTTTGTCATAGTAAAGTAAAACTAAAATGTTTACGATATCTGTCTGTAGGCATAAAGGTTAACGTGGGTAATTCTTTTTGTTCGGCAACCGTTCTATACCGACACTGTGAGTCTTCGCTTGAAAAGCACAGCCGAACTGCCGTAAGTAACAACTTTCCGCGCCGCCGGTAGGTTTACAATGTAACGATGCAATCACAGACTAAAATGATAAAATTACCTCCAATCGGAACTCATCAACGACCATCTTTTCTAAAGTTCCTCAATTAAAATATTTTACATTGCATAAATATGGTAATAAATAAGTTCAAAAATAAAACCCGATTACAGATAAAATATGACGATTTAAAAAGTTTATAACAAGATATTTATTTTATAGCAATAGCCATATTATAGTTGCGATGACCAAAGGACAACGTAGTCGTACGCCACCGATCACATGATAAATGATCTCACAGGTATGATAAATGTCGTCGCTTAAAAATGATATAATTCGCATTAAAAGCGTAAGAACATTGCTTTTTATGAACCAAACGAATTAACCGGTTTTTATTCCATCCGAATTTCACTCCGCATTCAGCACTCCAACGTTTTCCCGGGAACTCATTTGTTGTAGATTTTTGTTATCGCATGTATGATTGTTACATGTGTCTAATCGATTATAATGTTTACGGTAAAATATCACACGATACGTCAAGATTAATTCGTTATCTGACAAAGCACTTACTAACTCTGTACCGTATTATTGATGATAATGTCTTAAATCAACATAACTCTTTAGTACGTATATTACGATGAAGAGTGAAAGAAAATCCGTTAAAGTGTTTGAACAAAACAAACAGAATATTTTGAAAATTTACATAACAGTGACGCAGCTCCTTCATTCGACAAAGAAACATATTGATCAGCTAGAACGAACGCTGTGACGAAACCATATCAGAAATTTGTTAGTACAATATAGCTAATAAACTCGAATAACGAGAGCAGAGCGGTGTGGTATCGATCAGATGCCTGTCGGCAGGTCAACTGAGATTGATTACATCACCATTGCCACTAATTGAAATGGCAGTGAACTCCATCTACTGTGCAGCCTGAAGATTGCTCGGTTGTTAGTCATTTACAGAGATTGTTCTTTCGAAACATCATTTATCCATAAAATTTTGGGCTATTAAGAATAAATTTGGGTATCGGGTAGTAAATGTATACAGAAACTGTTATTATTCATACATATAAATAAACAGCACTGTTTGATCCCACTGGGTTGATCAGACCAATAAAAGGATTCTATAGCTCAAAGGAATTCCATGGATCAGGTGCAAATCCAGTTGAGTAGATACAACTTTAATAGACTTGTGATTGGTCCAAGATTCTTTCTTTTTACACGACTACAGCGATGTAAAAAGGAGGGTTATAGTTTTGATCTTTATATGTCTATTCATTAGCTCCGTTTAAACTTTTAAATTACTTGTCAATGACAATTCTGATAGAAGGGTCATGTCCATTCGTTACTAATAGGCATGTGAAGTATGAAAACCAAGTAGGGTAAAGAGATGCATCGTGACACATTGGTTCAGATGTAAATACTGAATTATAAATGAACTGAAGTGTCGATGTATCGAGTGGCACTTTAACCGTTGTATGGTTGTGATGGACAGGCGCGAGTGACGACGCGGCTGGATGCGCGGTGGGTCTGGAGACGTTGCGCGCGCTGGTGGCGGCGCCGCGGCCCCTGCGGCATGACGTCATCCTGCTGCTCAACGGCGCCGAGGAGAATATCATGCAGGCCTCACACGCTTTCATCACCCAACACAAGTACGTGCATACACCTCACACACACCAACACAACCATTATCTGAAAATACGTACGTACTGGGAAGCGTCACCGCTTTACTGTGGAGATTCCACAAACTCGCACCAAGCGATTCGCCTCTACATTCATCGTACGAACTGCGAAGCTGTGGATTTCGCTACCGGACTCGCTGTTTCCTGACAAATATAATCTGGGACTCTTCAAGTCAAGAATGAATCGGTTCCTTCTAGGCAAGCACGCTCCTTAGACGCACGCTTCTTAGACCACTGCATTGCTTACCATCAGGTGATCTGTGGTCAAGTACTTGCCTATCTAGAATAATAATAAAAAACATGAATAGAAATGTTAAGTTATAAAAAAATTAGCTATATTCTTGGGCCTTCGACCGTGTAAATTATAGCCCATGTCACTCGCATATGATGTAGCTTCCCATGGGTGAATTTTCATGATCGGATAATACATTTCATTTCAAATCAATAAAAAATGTTTTATTATTTATTTAATAATAGTTTTCCGCCAACGGCTTCGCCCGCGTGGTCCCTAGGTAACTGTTCATTTGTATATCGATTCATATCATGACACGGATATAGTTACAATGACAAATTTAATAGTAAATAATGGTTACCGTGGTAACGTTTTAATTCCTTATACAAACTTCCACTCACATTTTCTTCCCTATATTTGCTGTTTCAGGATTAAATTTAGCCTATGTTCATAGCATAAGATATAGCTTCCCGTAGGTGAAAGAATTTTTAAAATCGGTCCAGTAGTTTCAGAGCTTATTCGTTGCAAATAAACAAACAAACAATAAAAACTTTCCTCTTTATCATATTAGTCCTCTTTATAATACGATCATATGAACAGTTTAAAATACTTTTGTCACTGCAGTCAGGTAGTCAGGTATTAATCGTGTTAATTAAAGTACTCAATGTTATTAATATTTGAATATGATTATTATACCAGATGGGCGGGGTCAGTGCGTGCGTTCATTAACATGGAGGCGTGCGGCGCCGGCGGTAGGGAGGTTCTGTTCCAAGCCGGACCATACGATCCGTGGATTGTAGAGGTAAACTGAATATATACATACATGCCTGGTACACATCACTAGCACTCATGTAACTAAATTAAAAATTACACATATAATCGAGTTAAAATTAGTTACACTTATTTAATAGCTGCATTCATTGTACAAACATTATGTCAGATACCGTTCCGTAGAAAGAACACACTATTGATGATGTATGATAGATTAAAAATAAACATGTTTTTCAGTTAATCAAAGCATATTAAAGATCTTAACTAAAATCTATCCTGTATTATTAATATTATGTTTTCGACCGTCCGTCCGTTCTCCGTTCCGTTCCTTCGTTCCGTTTTTCTTAATATGGAATGTTTTTTTTTAATCTTGACTCCCCATACAGTTACAGGCCTTTTTTGTTAAATTTTTATATATTTTAGTAAAAATTTTAGTGGTTTATCGCCCCTCTGCTTTCTGTGTCGGTCATTATATATTATATATATTTATTTATACTTCGGTATGTTTACGACTTACGCACAAGTGTATAATTTAAGTTCATAGTTGCATAATTGTTGTGTGTGTGTTTGTTTAGTAATTGCTATCTGGAAGATAGTGAGTATATATAACATATGTATAGTGATGTGGCAGGTGTACGCGCACGCGGTACCGCATCCGTTCGCGTCCTCGGTCGCGCAGGAGATGTTCCAGGGCGGCTTCATACCCTCCGACACAGACTTCCGCATATTCAGAGACTTCGGCAAGCTATCGGGTGAGCTATCGTATATTTATTGTCTATTCTTTATACAGAATCTATACATAGTATAAAACAAAGTAGCTTCTCGCTGTCTGTATGCTAAGATCAACTACACGATGGATTTAAATGCGGTTTTCATTAATATACAGAGTGATTCAAGAGGAAGGTATATATGGATAACATAAGACCACGCGGGCGAAGCCGCTGCATAATTACTAAACTATTGCCTAGGTCAGGCGCTCTCAAACTTATTTTGTTTACTGCCCCGGTTTTTTCACCTACTTAAAACCCTTGTAACTTCAAATTAGATTCATTATCCTGAGCTACATTAGCGGAGATTAAATATACATTATAAACGAGACTTACTATAACCCACAAAAGTTAACTTGAAATCTGAGCACAGTAGGTAGTATTTTTGTTAACGCTAAGCTTCTACGCCCCACCGTACCATTAATTTTTTGAGTCTCTTACCGCCACATTTAAGCCTGCAGCGCCTACAATGGGGCGTTATCGCCCACTTTGGGAAAAGCTGGTCTAGGTGAAGGAGGCGGATTTCAAAGTGAATATGTTTAAGAGTATACCTATTTTTTTCAATTAATTACATAATATCTATTATATTTGTTCAATTTTGCATTCACAATGTTATACTGGAAAATATTCTTAACGAAAAATGCTTAATAAGTACCACCCCAGATACTCCAAGTCGGATCTTCGAATAGTAATTTACAAAATTTCTGGTGCCAAATAATCAGTGCAACAACAAAACCGTGAGAAGCTATATAGCCACTCGTCTCCGTTTCGTCGACATTCGTTGTCTTTGTCCCTCTTTGATGATAAACGGGACGTTTGTCGTTCGCAGGTTTGGATCTGGCGTGGAACGCGGACGGGTACGTGTACCACACGCGGCTGGACGCTCCGGACAGAGTACCGCCAGCCGCCATACAGCGGACCGGGGACAATGTGCTCGCGTTAGTCAACGGTGCGTATCATTAACACGGAGAAGGTTCATTGTAAAGTATACATACACTCTAGCCACTTCCGGAATGGTCCGGCACTTGAAAGACGATCAAAATTGGCTATTTGACAGTTACAACAATAAATTAATAATAATAATAATTAATTATTTAACCGTTATGTCTTGTTTTGACAAAATTACTTTTTATCAAAGTATATGCCTGTGATATTTTGATAAAAAGCAATCTGATAGTGGTATATGATCATGTGAACAATGTCAATTACTATTCCAGAAAACAGTCGAGTAACTAATTATATTTTTTCTTATATTTTCACGCGTAAAACTGTTTTAAATAGGAGTAACGCATTTCAGGAGTTTCGGAACCTTTACATGTTCCTTGTGAAATATTTCACCGGGTCGTAGGGCACTTTGAGTGGTCCGTCTCGGCTCCGCGTTTACGCAGGGGACACATGATTGAAGTGACGAGGTGTTGCAGGCATGCTATCGAGTGCCGAGCTGGAGAGCGTGTCGGGGGTGGGTGCGGGGGCGGGTGTGGGCGGTCAACCTGTGTTCTTCGACGTGGTGGGCGTGTGGGTGGTGGTGGCGCGCGGCGGGGCGGCGCTCGCGGCTGCGATGCTCACGTGCGCTCTGGTGGTACTGCGCCTGCACATATCCGCTGCCCACGCGCAACAACAATGTGAGTGGGGGACATGTCGCTCGTGTTCTATCACTCGCTACGTTACTTTATGGGTGTATGGTCTAAGCTCTCTTCGCCTTTCCTTTACGGAAAAATCTACCAAAAAAACACTTTATGGCTGGTTCCCACTGTTAAGTTGATAAGTAACTAAATTTTAAAAGAAGAATTTTAATTACTTAATTATTATAACTTATTGGAAGTTAAATCATGTCAACTATATTCTTATGAACTTGATTAGAATTTTGTTAATTTTTTGATTAAGTCTATAAGCAAACTAATTACATCCTTAGTGATAAGGAGGGTTCTATTGGCTGTTTTACGGCTGAAAAGGAATGAAAAGTTTATGGAATACTCAGATTTTGTTTAAATATATACCGGGTGTTATATGTTAACGGAAATTAGCATCTCTTTTATTTTTATAATAGTATTTTCGGGAATCAAACGATGGCACGAAATGTGGAAAATAGGAAATAAAGAAAACTATAATGTGTAGTGTATATGCCTCGCGGGGCGTGGATGCGGGCGGTGTGCCGGGCGGGGATGACGCAGGCGGTGGCGAGTGGGGCGGGGGTGGCGGCGGGCGCGGGCGCGAGTGTTCTACTGCACGCGTGCGGCGTACACTTGCTGTACTACAGCACGCCCGCGTTGCTGGGCCCGTTGTACGCCGCGCCCGCGTTAGCTGCCGCGCTGGAAGTGTTGAGCCGCGCGCGCACGTCCCCCCCACTAGTGCGCGGGTGGTGGGCGGGACGCGCGCACGCGGACGCGCTGGCGGCCGGCGCGGCGCTGCTGGTGGCGGCGTGCGCGCTGCTACGCCTCCGCTCCGGGTACGTGCCGCTGCTGTGGGCGCTACTCCCCACCGTAGCGGACCTCGCTGCCACCACCACAAGAGCCACCGGTAAATAACCCTCACAGGAGAGGGGGGCCACTCCTTTCCCGTGATCCATCACATTCAGTTGGTTACTGACTATAATTGAATGCTATCTTATCCTTATATTTTTTTATTTATAAGATTTTTTTAATAGAGTAAATAAATATGAGACAACATCACATGCATTGTTCAGATTCCAATGAGTAACAAAAGCGTCCATATTATAGAGTATACCACACGAACGTATAACGAAGGTACTACGACGCTCAGACCATGTCAATATAGAAAAGACTTTTTTCTATATTGACCCAACTAGGAGTCGAACATCGGACCTCAGAAATGGCAACACCTTGAAACCGGCGTGCTACCACTCGGCTACGGAGGTATCTACAAATCTTGCCGGTTCAACTTTTCCGAGTGTTCCCTACCTTACGCCGTTAGTACACCGTAAATAAATGATTTAAATTTACCCGTATCGTGTTCCAGACGTTGGGCGGGCATGGTGGTGGGCGGGCGGTTACATGGTCCCGGTCCTGCAGACCGGGTACCTTTGCCGGGATTTCCTCGCCACTCTTGTACCGCTCGCCGGCCGCGCTGGCTCCTCACCCGTCCCTATAGACGTCAGTACACACCGTATATACTTATAATTTTATCACCGAATATTACTCGAATCACTAGGCTTTTGGTTGTTGTATTGAGATTATTTGAAACCTTGTAAGTACGTCTATCCCATGTAATCACAAGGACATAAATAAATACAGGTAAATTGTATTGAAGAATATTTTATAAATACATCGAAGTCGATCGATCGAGTCGAAGCTTTTATTTATTATTAAGAATAAAATATCTGAAATGACAGTCCTTCAGATTATAACTGTATAATTATTATAATAACAATTTTATTAAAAATAGGTTATGAAAATTTTATTGACCCTAATTTTGGTATATTTTTATTTTAAAGGAAAACTTCGAAAACTTAAGTCGTTGTGTTAACTAAGTTTCAGTTTCATGCCTTTTTGTCATATTGAATGCTTATTTATTACTAATTTTATTAGAAATGAAAATATATAAATAAAACATGGTAATGTATGTCAGGTGGTGATGGCGTGCGTGGTGTCCTGTATGGTGTTATGGGTGTTCAGCTGGCTCGTGCCGCTCATGGTGGCCTCCAGACATCTGCGGTATATCGTATGTACTATACCTATACAGTGCTATTAATAAACAAGATTTTGCGTCAGAGTAAATTTCTTATTTTACGGAGTATAATCCAACCTACCCACCTTCTAAGAGTAAATATTACTCTTGTAGAACCTCGCAGTATGTTAACCTTTGCTAAGTCTCTGTTTAATAATATGAATTTTAAATAATACTAAATGAAGTCTCAGCGTAAATTTACTCCAACGCTAAACCTTGTATATTAATAACACTGATACAGTCTGTGACATAATTAATGCACATCACATATGGCTGGCTATTACACGTGATTAAGTAGATTTTTAACTTATGTGATTAAATACGTGTAGACATACAAATAAGCAATTAATAGGAGTTAAAATATAATTATTATGAGCTTAGTTAGAAGTTAATTCTAACTGTCGTAGAAAATCGAATATTTGGTCAAACGTTTGCCACGTTGGCTGAGAACAAAAACTGTTATTTTATCGAAAATACTTTGATTATTAATTATAGATATTTGTTAAATGACATTAACAACCCGAAAATATGATATTCCAACAGATTCATTTTTATTCCGATAGTTAATTTTGCAGTTTTAATTCGCACTGTGGTATCATAACACGTCCGAAAGTTAGCGCTTAAACAAACTCAAATCCAGTGAGACCTCACTTTGAAGTGAGGTGTTATTTCTTCTGTCATTTTTAAGACTGAACGAACATCTAGTTATTTGTTTATCGAAGGATTACAATTATAATTTTCTATTACGTGCAATATTTTTGACATTTAGATTTACAATTGGCAACCTGTATAGCCTATACCAATCAAACTAATATACCCCCTAGCGCGCCCGATTTTTCGAAATGACACATACATATGATTAGTGGCGGGTAACATCATATCAACATCGTTTTATAAAATTCTGAATCCGTGTACTAAATAAAGAAATTAGTTTCTGATATTAATTCGAATCAATTAAAAATTTCCCATAATTTTAATTTTATCTCGACTGGCAGAAGTGGTTGGATGGGGAGTGACGTGTTATGTATTCCGCAGGCGTGGGCGGCGGGCCTGTGTGGGGCGGCGGCATGCGCGTGGGCTGTGTGGGGGGCGGGGGAGGGGGGCGGTTACTCCCCGCGCGCCCCGCAGCGACTCATGACCTTCCACGTGCGGAGAGACCACCACCACCACAACAACCACACACGCACTGAGACTTACTTCTGGGTGCCACAGCTGGACGACAACACTCTACACACGCTCAACAAACTAGGTCACATATCAAATGATATATCTTTGGAACACCGTAGTCTCTTTTATAGTTAAAAATTTAAAATTTGGCATTATACGCTCTGATCGACAGCATTATATAAGAGATGCACCGAATATTCCTTTGTTATTCAATATTCAACAGCTTTTTTCACTATTTCTATTAGGCTGAATTACTCCATTTGAGTTTTTCTATTTTCTTGGCTACTCTACGCGGTATAGAACTAAACTAAAAAACTTCTTTAAAGAAATCCAATTAAGAATGTGTTCAATAAAGCTAATAAAAAACCATTAAACTTCAATTCAACATTGAAATGGTAAACCTAATTATTCGGCCGAATATCCATGAAGGTTCAGCTGAATAGGATTCGGTTATTCGGTGAAACCACAATCCGGCGCATTTCTAGTTTTTAACCTTAATTGGACTTATCTTTTTCAAGTAGAAATGTCTAACGAAATGCTGTCTCCAATCTTTCGACCGGTTAAAATAAGTTTTAATTATGATTATTGGTCCTTCAAATCATCAGTCGTTAGAATCAAAAATCGCTACATATTTTAAAAGGATTGCGATAGAGTTTAAATTTATTTTAAGCCGCAGATCCTTATTTGGCTCGTATAATAATGTATAGTGCGTATTCAGGGCCGGGTTGGGTACCGTCGAACACAGTGGAGGAGTGTGAACGGTGGATGTACTGCGGGGCGCCATACTTCCTGCCCGTGCTGGGCCTCGTCCACCACGCGCACGCCCGCCCCGCCCCGCCCCACGCACACGCAACTCTAATGCTCGCACACAACGCCACGCACGTGCACGGCTCGCTATACCGCCTCACGCTCCACGTCACTGGTATGTATAGTCAATAGCACGTCTGGTTACGTATACAAATTTTAAAATTTCCCTACTCTATTTTCAACCACAGCACGTCTGGTTATACAAATTTAAAAAATTCCCCACTCTATTTTCAACCTTAATACATATTTGTTAGGTGTGAAAATCCTTTAGGAAAATTTGACATATTGTTGTAACCTGACGTGCAGCTCCATGTACCGCCAACACACGTGTTGTGTATATTGGCCGAAGACTGCTCTTAGGAACCGCTGTCATTGTTGAAAGAAAAATTGCATTGATACATTAAAAAAAAGTCTTCTCGTTTCGAACTCTGTCGGAGTTTTGGAAAATAAAAGTTTCGTTATTGCTATTAACATAAATAAAATGCTTTGTTTGTCATATCCTTTAATTTTTTTTTAGTAGGTGTTCGAAATTATAACCATTTTAGACATCATGTTTCATAGTAACAATAACAGCTTAAACCCCACACAATCGGTATCTACTGACTGACTGAGAACTAGTATTTTTAATGTATGAATGCAGTTTATCTTTTATCCATAAAGTTTCAAACTTTGCCATACTGACCGTTCTGTATGGCACAGCCTGTATATTTAAAGAACATAACTGAACGTGCATATGTGTATAGGTCCCCCGCACGTGGTGGTGATAGTGTCGCCGGGTGCGGGCGGAGTGGTGGAGGGCATGGAGGGCGTGGAGGGGGGAGCGGTGGAGGGGGCGCGGTGGGGTGAGCGGCGTACGTACTTCGTGTCACTGTACGCGGCGCGCGCGCACACGCAACCGCGCCGCACGCTCCACATGACGATAACACTGCCGGTAACTATGCGTAGCTTTTTGTAATATGCAAGGAGTTTGGAAAAGTTTTAAATTTGAACTCCATGAACTATGGTAGTTTTATAACAAGCTTTTATTTAACTTGCCATGTTAGTGCGCAAATCCGATAGATTGGCATTCGGTTTTTAGGACGATAGATTATTTAGATGCAATATACTTTTCATATTGAAAAATTAAATGGGTGGTCGACGATAGGTGTCGGATGATCCGGAGCTGTGTCAGATCTCAGTTTCCGGTCATGGGATGGGTGGTCCGCTGAGCGTGGAGCAGGAGGCGCTGAAGCAGTCGCTGCCAGATACGGTTGCTCACTCGGGCTGGCCCGTACACCACCATCTCTACACCATAAACAAACCCACAGCTACTGCCACCTAGTATCTACATGCGGTACAGTACAACATACATATAGTACAGTACACACGCGTATAACTCGTACAAATAACCATGACACCTGAGGGCATATCCTATTTGTCTTTAAAAGAAAATTCGGAAAATTCCGAATCGAACATATAGTTTTTTTTTTAAATCATATCGGTAATGTTTATTTGTGCATCAGAGACAGAGTCAAGTCCTACGTCGTTAATAAACGTAATTTGAAGTAACAGAATAAGCATTCAGGCGACATGATATTTCGTACGAGTAGTACTTACCGATTTATAACGTCCAGCGAGTGAGCGGCTTAAATTATATCCTAGAACATGGGTTTATTTGGTTTTACATTTGTTACGATGCATAATAAGTTGTGATTATTGATTTATGTTATATTATTATTTTTACATATTTTTTAATTATTGTTATGTTTAAAAAAATGACAAATAATATAGCATCTACAAAATTGTAGCATATAAGACTTCGATGTCAATTTTGATGAAATGAATGAATGTGTCTACAATCGAATGCATTATTAGTACTCCGGTTATCGAGTGTTCACGGTGATTTCTATATAGTAATCGAAAAATACATGACAAGCTCGCGGATTAATTATAACTTATATAGGTAATTAATATATTTATTTATTGTCATAGTCAATTTTAACAAAATACATAAGGTAGACTAATGTATTACGGGTTTAAAGCGACAGCTCTTATTCTCAATGTAGATACTAGTTCCTACTATGAACTGGACCTATTCATAATATAAGATGCATAGATTTTTATGCACTCTATATTCATTCGTGGTGTATACCTCTGTCCTCTTTGTTCGATCTCTTATTTTTGAATCATTCGTCTCGCAGTTTTTTTTTTATTTACGTTCAACATAGGAACAAGCCATTTTGAATCCACCGGTGTAACGATAGAAATGAGTGACATACGAGGGTCAAACTGAAAGTTCTTAGAACTGGCCACTTATAAACAATATAATAAAAAAATAATTCTAAAATTTGAAAATATAACTCTTTGCCAATATTACTGAGTATATATTTCATTCATTTGTCATTTGTTTTACGATTTGGCGGCAAATTGAAAATTGTCTGTGTCACGTCATCATGAATTTAACACGAGAAAATTTTCGTGCAATGATTTTTTATGACTTTCGATGTCATTTAAGTCAACAAGAAAGTTATGATAGACTACGATTGGCCTTTCACGATGAAGCCCCATCTCGTGCGACTGTTTACAACTGGTTTAATGAGCTTAAACGTGGTCGCACTATTCTCACTGATGATTTACGTGAGGGACGGCCTTCTACGGCGACGACTGAAGATAACATCTGTGTTGTGCGGCGTATGATAGAGACTGACAAAAGAGTGACCTATCAACAGATTCGGACAAGCTTAGGCATCGGTATGAGTCAAGTGCACAAAATCCTCCACGAACATTTAGCGGTCAGGAAGCTTTGCGCCCGGTGGATACCTCATAATTTGACTGAGGCTCAAAAACTCCATCGTGTGGATTGGTGTCGTAAAATGATTGAAAGATTTAACGGAGGTGACTCAAATGCTGTGTTCGACATACTAACAGGTGACGAAAGCTGGATTTACTGTTATGATCCTAAAACCAAAAGACAATCTGCTCAGTGGGTGTTTCCTTTCGAGGAGTTGCCAACTAAAGTGAAGAGAGATCGAAGTGCGGGAAAAAAAATGGTGGCCTCGTTCTTTGGAAGGATAGGTCATTTTGCAACAATTGTGTTAGAGGATCAAAAAACAGTTTCTGCAGAATGGTACACTACCAATTGTTTGCCACTTGTCTTGGAAAAAGTTCGAGAGAAACGACCTCGCAGTAGGATCCTCCTTCACCACGACAACGCCTCGTCGCACACCGCCCAGCGAACGATCGACTATTTGGCGACATCAAACGTTGAATTACTGGGTCACCCGCCGTATAGCCCCGACCTCGCGCCTTGTGATTTTTATTTATTTCCAAAAATTAAAGAAAAACTTAAAGGAAAGCGGTTTATGAATGCTGAAGAAGCGGTGGCTGCGTATCGCGATGCCATTGAAGAGACCCCTAAGGACGAGTGGGCAAAGTGCTTTTCCCAGTGGTTCCATCGCATGCAGCGGTGTATTGACGTGAATGGACAATATTTTGAAAAGATATAATAAAACTAATAACTGGCTAATGTAATCAGTTTTTGATTTTCTAAGAACTTTCAGTTTGACCCTCGTATCAATAAACAAACTCCAAAATTGCAATTTTTATACTTCGATTTGCAAATGAAGGATACATTTTGCGAGGCCCTCTAATAGATAAATGTAAAGGTTTTTCAATAAAAACGAAAAACTAACCTATTTTAGCAGTTTACTCTTTTAAATTTTCCATACTACTAAAATACACAGTTTTTATTACGATAAATGATCTATTCAAAAACGAAGAATTCTAACGTGCAAATAAATTAGCGTAATCGCAGGCACAGATGATTTCAAATAAGTGATTCAAAAATGGGATCAAGAATTGGATATTTAAAACTACAATGAATTGAATGACTATCTCCCTTGCCGAGTTCGTATACTGGTTTCAAGGTGTCGCTATCTTTGAGGTCCCGGGCTCGATTCCAGGTCGATTCGATGTAGAATGTGACCTTTTCTATATTGTCTGGTTGTGGTGCCTTCATTGTTACAGATATTCCATAATAAGAGGGCTTTAACTATTGTGCGTAAAATTATGTAATTTTGTAACAAAGAACAAATTACGATTACCTACAAATAAGTTTTAAATAAAATTACGCTAAATACATTATGTGTTCATGCGTTCGAGATTGTCATTCCTAATGTGACGTAATAAGTATGTATTAGCGGTGTAATTATTAAGGTAGAATTGTAAGCCTTCGACTGATAGTTTTTCTTGTATGAGAGACAGGTGAAAAACTGTACATTGTACGGATGCGAATGTATTTTTAAATATTTATTATGGTGCCGGTATTCATTTTTGACATTTTGCGGTTAGTCTGTGTCCGTAGCTAATAATAGACTTCAAGCGATTTCAAGACTATCAGTTTACAGTTTTAAGCCCAATATTGATTACACGGTGGCCTGTTACATGATGTGCTGGTGTGTGTGCATCACCGTTATATCCTAGACTAAATTATTGTTAAATATGGGATTAAATTATGACCTGCAAGTTTTTTGCAGTTCTAGCTGTGATGCTGCCAGACTGACTCAGCACGGCAGTGACACAAAAACTTATCTACTAACTCTGAACTTTGTTATTTGCCATTATTTCGGAACGGTCTGATAAATAAGGGACTAGGGGCAGTCCATTAATCACGTGATGTTTTTTTCAATATTTTTTGATCCCCCCCCTCCCCTTGGTGATATATGGTGAGGTATAAGACTACCCCCTCCCTCCTTCAAACAATACACGTGATATATTACTACAACCCCTCCCCACACCCCTTGTGATATTTCGTGATTTTTGACTAATCCCTCTCCCATCTTTCGAGCTTCACGTGATTATTGGATGGCCCCCTAGATGGATCAAGAATTCAATTCTTAATCCAAGAATGTGGCGCTGTCAGCCTGACGAACATTTAGTCCATCTATTGCGCCTAAATTATTTACCTCAGAGGCAATACTTATCCCGAGTCTTTCTAGTATACTATTTAAATACGTGTGGTTAGAAATATATTTACACTTTTATTTCATATAAAGTCAATTACAATATACTTGTTAATTTAAATATATATTTCAGGTGTAATAAATGTATAACCGCAATTTTGGTATTACGTGTCCCTTAATTCTTTTGACAATAAGTGACCATCAAAAATGTATACACATTTCTACGTTTGGCGCTCGCTTTCGGTCAATATATTGTGGCAGCTCTCAACTGTAGTGTATTTGAGCTATTAAATGCAAATGTGAGCCATTCCAGTGGGCGAAGCCCTTAGTGTGGGTACTTAATTTGTTTTGTCAGTTAATGATCTAAGTATGGAACATAATGTCAAATATCGGGTTGGCACAAAAGTAATGAGACACTTGGTTTAAGTTTTTACTTTTTTATTATTATTACAATAAAAAAAGTTTAGTCTATGATGTAATTACCATTAGTATCTAAGACTTCTTGCCAACGATCCGGCAAAGTTTGGATGCCTTTTGCCCAGCACTCTGATGACTGTGCCTCGAAAAAGTTGTTCAACTCCGCCTCTACGTCAGAGAAATCATTAAATTGTTTACCCCGCAAATGCTGTTTCAGGGCTCTAAACAAATGATAGTCTGATGGGGCGAGGTCTGGGGAATAAGGTGGGTGGGGTATCGTCTCCCAGCCCAAGTTCTCCAACTGCCGGCGAAACACAGATGCGACGTGAGGTCGAGCGTTATCGTGCAGTAAAACTACATTGACTCGTCTTCGTCGTTTTTTCTTGATAGCGGCAGATAATTTGGTAAGCTGGGTTGAATATTTGTCAGCGTTTATAGTTTCATTGTGTAATAGCTCATAAAACAGTATGCCTTGCGCATCCCAGAAACAGCAAAGCAGAATTTTTCGGCGGTTCTTTTGACTCGGCTTCGGTTGAGTTGGTGGCGTTTCTTCTCGAGGCAGCCAAAAAGCACGACGTGTATCGTTCTCGTAATAAATCCATGATTCATCTCCAGTAACCAGATCTGACAAAAACTCTTTACGTCGGGGGTCGCAGCAAAAGTGACTGACAGATAGCGACACGGACTGCCCGACTGGCGTCTGTAAGGATGTGCGGTACCCACCGAGCCAAAACTTTTCGATAACCAAGCTCATGCAGATGGTGTTCCACGGCGTGGTGACTGCATTTAAGTGCTTGCTAATTCACGAGTGGTAGCATCCGGATTCAACTGCAGTTCGCGGCGCAAATCGTCATCATTCACTGCGGGTGGTCGCCCTGAGCGTGGCTGACTTTCAAGGCTCCTGTCTCCTGATTTAAAACGGTCAAACCATCGGGACACCGGCGCATGGCTTGTACTTCCAGCGCCTAATGCATTGTTGATATTGTCAGCCGCAGCCCGCGCACTGTGGCCTAACAAGTACTCGTATAAGTATAGTGTTCGAACTTATCGCTCGTCCATTTTTCTTCAAACTGACTAAACAAATCGCGAGCACCGCTTTATATGCCCTACACCAGAAGTACCTAGAATGTTCTACAACATTCTAGAATATTATCGAAAAAATTGATTATAAAAAGGAAATGTTATAGATTTTTCTAGTGTGTCTCATTACTTTTGTGCCAACCCAATAACATAGTGTTACAAGTATGTTTTGGCACGTGGTGAAGTTCGGAAGCTATCTCGCCATCTTGTATAATGTCAATCGTTGAGAAATGCTCGAAAGTATTATTTGTAGACAATGTTGCCAGATGCACTGCAACTGACGTCTTTTTAAGACACTCTGTTTTAGTAAAATATAAATTCGACATATTATGGTAACCTTACAGCATAGACAGCACTGGAATGTTTAACGTGCATTAAAATATTTTTTTATAAAAATGAACGCAATATAAAAATGATATTTCAAATTATGTAATATAATTATTTTAAAATATAGGAAAAGCAAAGCAATGCCAAAAATCTTCATCCAATCTTCATGAAAAAAAAGATATTTTTTGTAGTGGCAACTCCCAATTTCACACCCACTTCCTCCTGACAATGTCATCCAAGTGCCAAAGGATCCTTGTAGTACTGTAAACTGTACAATACGATCAGAGAGATATTACTAGAGGATAAAACTGCAACGCGCCTCACATATCATTTAGAACGCTGACCGACTGTGGTCGTATCCTTTAAATATAAACAGTGTAGAAACAAATAAGTAAATTGACTTTATAAAAACAGTTCATATGTGAGCATGTCCGTGCGTATGCGTTGTTACACGCTCGCCCTGACAAAATTCTTTTAAAAAGTGCAACATACAACAGAAAAATTCTTTTGTCATGATATTAAAAAGTGCACATTTGAAGTACCTTCATAGTGGGGTATTAGACATTTTCTGAAAACTATTATAAATGGTTATTGGATACATTTTAAACACACTGTCAATATATTTCATGGCAATCTGTTCTATTTTCAGTGAAAATTATTGTTAAAGTTTGAATAGTCAAAATCGCGCTAAAAACGCTGCTCTGTGTGGCTGGCAGTGCCATTAAATCACGTGGTATTTGTGACGTCACAAGCCGATAAATATGTTAAGGCGGCATAACATATTACAGAAGATAAAGAAAAATAGTATTACAGAAGAGAAATTGACATGACAACTTCCTGTGTGTCACATGTCGATAAACAGAACCTGTTATTGGTTACGACAACAGTCAATGACAGGGCGTTTTCGTCGTTCATTAAATTCCTAAAAATAGCGCATTTTTCTTTTCGTTAATTTACTAAAGCTAAACATATTTGTCTGCAGATTCTAAGAAATAAACTATATTAGATACAGGTGACCATAACAAAACTTATTTTTTATACAGTCAAATATCTTATTATCTCGAGTTTGACAGCTGTTATAACCTCAAAACATATGAAAATATTATATTAGCCTCCAGATGAAAATATTATACTATTTTAAACATAAACTAAATTAAATTATCAATCAATGGGGGTTAAACACGAACTTTAAAAAAACATGTTACACGTCAATCAATGTATGGAAAGTGGGCATTATTCTTTGACTTTGTATAGCAATAAACTACGCATTTCCGATGATTAAATGACTATACGTGTTATAATTTTGCGTGTTTAGGCTATTTGGGCTCGAGTCAGCCTACTCATTTGTTTCTACTCTGATATAACACTTGCAGCGAGGCATGTGTACGTGTGTGTAGTATCATGTGCCGCTCTGTAGTGAGCGTGCACCATACGCCCTGAACGACATCGTTTTACTGTGATCATAGTTTAATGGTTTTGTTAATAAATGAGTCTGGTTACATAGTACTTGTATTTCATTTAATCATCATCTTCAGCCCTTTTACGTCTCCACTACAGGTGCTCTGGGGCTCTATTTTTGAATCATTCGTCTCGCGTCGAGCGCTCGTTTTCTACTGATTTTCGTTCGACTTAACAAATTCGCCATTTCTAAATCGCTCGACTGCAACGAGTGGTATGAACCACTCGTCGCTTAGCGAACGTTGTATGCGAGTGATAGAAGAAAACGAGCGCTCGACGCGAGACGAATGATTCAAAAATAGAGCCCCAGGCCTTATTTATGGATGGTTATGGAGGATGGGCCATGACCACTACGCTGGCCCAATGCGGATTGAAGGATTAACGACTGCAAATGCAGCCAGGACCAACGGCTTTACCCATCCCGTAACTGACCCTTGTGAAAGTTGCTTAACAACGTACGTGACCCGCGGCGCTCATTCACTACGGCACCGATCTATTCCTAATAGCATTCATTTAATATTATTTATCAAGCCGTTTGTCCTGAACATATTGTAGATTTAACCAGGATCACGCCTCCTTGTGCACACGGCTGCACGTCATGTTACCACAATGTCAGACTTCGCCAGTTGGTTTTAAACTCTAACCTCAAAACACAAAGGTTTAAAATCAAGTGGAGAAATTTGACAAAGTTGTATAATCTGATGTGCTACCTGTGCTGTAAATTGGCGCCAGACTCTTCAGTCCTGGATTTTCAATTATTTGGTTCCGTTCCTGTAGATATTTGTCAACATTGGACCACTAATGTGGATAGAGGATGTGGATACAGATTATTTATAGATTCAATTCGTAAATTTTTGAAATAAAAGAAAATGAAACTCTGTTTAACATTCATTTTTATTTGGTATAGAATAGAAGTGGCTCGACACTGAGGTGGCGTATTACACGCCGCGGACTGCGGTGCTTCACGAAACCAAACTAACTATAGAACAAATCGCCTGATGTCAGTAGTTCCATTATAGGATTGCCGGGATTTTTCTTCCCAGTAGTTCCATGGAACCGCGAATGCTGTTTATTCAAGACAAAATTAGTCCCATTAGATCCAGTATAATCACGGATCTTTATATACGATCAGCAGTCGTATTCGCTCACTCAACTCACAATCTTAAATCGTAATCACCGAAAAAAGGTTAGCAATTTTTTAATATCAATAGGCGATCTTCACTGAACTCCATTTGACACTTGATTTTGTATCCGTCTGAAGGATTACCAATTTATTAAAAACTAGTTAAAGAATACCAGAACCAATAGTTAATATTTGGTAAAAGACTCATGGTGATTGTACTGGATCTGATGTGAATAATTTTGTGTTACATAAACAGCATTCGTTGTTCCATGGAACTACTGGGAGAAAAAAAAACCCAGCAGTCCTATAATTGAACTACTGCAATCAGGCGAACAAAACAACGTCCTCCATGAACACGCTACGTCGTCTACTGCTACTGCTGACCATATATATACGACTTAGTGTGTAATATAGATGTTCACCAGAGGACAAACAAATACAGAACTAAATAAGATTCATATGACCAGTTTTAACGTTCTTAATATTATTATTTACACGTAGGAGTGAAGACCGCGGAGGCGACATATCGTCCGTGCCCGCACATCCTACCACCGCCTTCTCGTCCATTTACTGAACCTTACGTGTATATATTTAAGTTGCATATTGCAACAGTCGAATGCTGTATATACATAATATATAACTACTGCACAAATCTATCGAACTAATTACAAATTACCACACGACATCTTTGGAAATCACAAATATTTATATTCCATTTATTGGCAGTTGTTCCGTCCTCGCATCGTATACGGGACGGGTCGCACGCACACGCGCGGTTCCAATGTTGGGAATCACATAATAATACTAAATTCTCCACTTACATATTCATGTACTTATCAACTATTTATTGAAGATGCTACGAGAGCCAGATCACATTTCCGCTGGCTTTTGGAATGAGTCACGAACGTTATAAACGAACAGATAGCTCGCTCGGAATAAATTTAAAAGTTACTAATACTCATAGTCGACACGATGTAGTTATCGGCAACAGTGATAACGAGGAACTCCTTTTCTGACCGCACCCCGCATCTATCTATTTCGACGTTCGCTTCGACATAAATAATATATACTATTATTTGTATATAAATACTATCAACTGACCGTGCACATCATCCAATTTCATCATTAAAATTGCAGTTAAATTTCATATAATACATCCCTCGCCAGACAATCCGTGGCGGAAACGATAATATTCTTTCGAAAGTTACATTTAACAAAATATTGTCTGTGCTTACAACGATAAGTAAGATTTATTTACAAATTTTCACATCACGGCATCGACGATCAGATAACACGAACTTCATGACATTCGTGAAAGTGTTTTGGAATAAAACGACGAGCGTGAGTTAGAGTCGAGCGGCGGCTCAGATGTGTCTGACACGTTCACATCCGCCCGACCCCCCCACTCTATTACACTTAATTATAACGACGGAATGAAATCAACAAATACAGATCTGGACCGGCTCGGCGCCGTATTTTTTCTACTTTCAGCTTCTTCGCCCTTTTTCGACAGCAGTTTTGGCTTCGTATATTTACGCCCAGATCTGAAATAAAAATTGATAAGTTTAGTATCAATTTTTTGTATTAGTCCTTGTCGTGTTATGAGACACTAGTCTTTTAAAGTGTTACCGATCGTAAACTAAAGGAACAATATTAATGTGCTTTTAAAGATATCTAGTACGGGACAAGAGCACGAGATGACAGATTCAGTTAAAATAAACAGACTTAACACGTTGTTAGCAAATTTTATAAGTAACAAATTAATACTTGAATGATGATCCGAAACGTAATATAGGAAGACTGCCGAGGTGACACGGTATTGTGTCCACACAGTACACGCGTGTGTACTGACCGTCAGTGTGGCGTCCCAAGAGGCGGTGGCGAGCGCGGTGCCGTCTGGTGCGAGCTGTACTGTGTAACGCGGTGTTGTGTCTACACTGTACACGCGTGTGTACTGACCGTCAGTGTGGCGTCCCAAGAGGCGGTGGCGAGCGCGGTGCCGTCTGGTGCGAGTTGTACTGTGTAACGCGGTGTTGTGTCCACACTGTACACGTGTGTGTAGACACGCGTGTGTACTGACCGTCAGTGTGGCGTCCCAAGAGGCGGTGGCGAGCGCGGTGCTGTCTGGTGCGAGTTGTACTGTGTAACGCGGTGTTGTGTCCACACTGTACACGTGTGTGTAGACACGCGTGTGTACTGACCCTCAGTGTGGCGTCCCATGAGGCGGTGGCGAGCGCGGTGCCGTCTGGTGCGAGTTGTACTGTAGTGACGCGATGCTCGTGTCCACACAGCACGCACACACGCGCGGCCCGCAACGCGTCCCACACACACGCGGTATAGTCGCTGTACCCCGCGAACAGTAACCGCCCGCTCACCGACCAGTCCACCGAATTCACGCCGAATATTATGCTCTCCTTCGTATAGCGCGCCACCTGACAAAACACCGTCATATGTTTACAGATTTTCAATAAACAGGTAAGTACATAAAGACCCATTCTATGGGTGCGCGATGACAGCACCAACTAGCGGTTATAATTACCTCGAACTTTGAAATGTTAAATGACTGGTATTCAGTATGAAGTGTAAATAAACAAACAATAACTTCAATGAAATATCATAATTGATTTTGATTTGATCAGAATCTAGTGTCGATAGTTATTAGATAAAATTACACTCTTTCTAATTATAAATTTGAAAAATAAAAAATTCTTAATATGTTTATAAAAAACTGTTTACTACATGTATTGAACGACGACTGCAATCTGACGACAAAAATTTGCAATATATTGTCTTTTTCCATGAAAGATCATTCATTAAAAAATCTTGTTTTTTGAAAATAGGGAATAATATTAACATATAGGGAAGCCTACAAAGAAAAACTCACCTCTCTATCGGCGCGCAGATCGAACAATCTGCAGCAGGAGTCATCGGAGCCCGAGGCCACTGAGTCTCCGGAAGGATGGAACTTGACGCTGTTGACGTCAGAGTCGTGCGTGTCGAATGCTTGCACCGCCGCCCCCGACCGCATGTCCCACACGAGCACCGCCCGGTCACAACCCCCAGACACAAACGTGTCGCCCATATCCGACGCAGCCAGGTCCAGCGACATTACGTCCGCCGAGTGAGCCTGTCACACATCACGCAAACGTCATAACCCCGAGACACGAACGTATCGCCCATATCCAACGCGGCCAAATCCAGCGACATCATGTCCGTCAATTGAGCCTGTCACACATTCCGCCAATCGCCGGGCACAAACGTGTCGTCCATGTCCAACGCGAGCGTACGTCACACAACACGCACATTACTTCACTACACTTACGTTCTGATACGAGGGTCAAACTGAAAGTTCTTAGAACTGGCCACTTATAAACAATATAATAAAAAAATAATTCTAAAATTTGAAAATATAACTCTTTGCCAATATTACTGAGTATATATTTCATTCATTTGTCATTTGTTTTACGATTTGGCGGCAAATTGAAAATTGTCTGTGTCACGTCATCATGAATTTAACACGAGAAAATTTTCGTGCAATGATTTTTTATGACTTTCGATGTCATTTAAGTCAACAAGAAAGTTATGATAGACTACGATTGGCCTTTCACGATGAAGCCCCATCTCGTGCGACTGTTTACAACTGGTTTAATGAGTTTAAACGTGGTCGCACTAATCTCACTGATGATTTACGTGAGGGACGGCCTTCTACGGCGACGACTGAAGATAACATCTGTGTTGTGCGGCGTATGATAGAGACTGACAAAAGAATGACCTATCAACAGATTCGGACAAGCTTAGGCATCGGTATGAGTCAAGTGCACAAAATCCTCCACGAACATTTAGCGGTCAGGAAGCTTTGCGCCCGGTGGATACCTCATAATTTGACTGAGGCTCAAAAACTCCATCGTGTGGATTGGTGTCGTAAAATGATTAAAAGATTTAACGGAGGTGACTCAAATGCTGTGTTCGACATACTAACAGGTGACGAAAGCTGGATTTACTGTTATGATCCTAAAACCAAAAGACAATCTGCTCAGTGGGTGTTTCCTTTCGAGGAGTTGCCAACTAAAGTGAAGAGAGATCGAAGTGCGGGAAAAAAAATGGTGGCCTCGTTCTTTGGAAGGATAGGTCATTTTGCAACAATTGTGTTAGAGGATCAAAAAACAGTTTCTGCAGAATGGTACACTACCAATTGTTTGCCACTTGTCTTGGAAAAAGTTCGAGAGAAACGACCTCGCAGTAGGATCCTCCTTCACCACGACAACGCCTCGTCGCACACCGCCCAGCGAACGATCGACTATTTGGCGACATCAAACGTTGAATTACTGGGTCACCCGCCGTATAGCCCCGACCTCGCGCCTTGTGATTTTTATTTATTTCCAAAAATTAAAGAAAAACTTAAAGGAAAGCGGTTTATGAATGCTGAAGAAGCGGTGGCTGCGTATCGCGATGCCATTGAAGAGACCCCTAAGGACGAGTGGGCAAAGTGCTTTTCCCAGTGGTTCCATCGCATGCAGCGGTGTATTGACGTGAATGGACAATATTTTGAAAAGATATAATAAAACTAACAACTGGCTAATGTAATCAGTTTTTGATTTTCTAAGAACTTTCAGTTTGACCCTCGTATTACAAATGGTATGGTTACAACGCGACTATATCGAAACAATTAGTAATTAGTAAATAAACACACTCTCTTCAGTTTGTAATAATAATATACGTATTAAAAAACTAAATAAAGATATAATAATGAAGTTTGATAATGGATGGAACTCGGAATATATTCTAGGACATCTGGGTTTTGATTTAATTCTTGATTATTTTTTTATTTTGATTTATCATTACGCCCTTTGTCTCTCATCGATCCCTTGAATAAATTACTATCAAACAAGTAAATAAAGGTGTTGAAATATAAGTGAGTTTAGGCAGTACCTGGAAACTCTGCAGCAGCTGTCCGGACTCGACGTCCCAGAGCGCGCAGGAGCCGTCGCCGCCGCCGGTGAGGATCTGGCGGTCGGTGTTGGGGAACAGGCAGCAGGACATGTACGAGGTGTGCGTGGCCACCGTACGCTTGCGGGCCCAGGGCTCCTCCTCCCCTCCCCCTCCTCCACCAAGAGGAAACACCGTGACCTTGTTGTCGAGTCCGCCGGCGGCCACCATGGTGCCGGAGGGAGCGTAAGCGCACGCCATCACCCACGTGCTCGGCATTGCGATCGTCAGCTCCTTCGTTGCCGTGAACGCATCCCACACTATCACCTTGCCGTCCTGCATGGATTTCCAACAGACTCTTATGATCAAACATTTGGGCGATTCCAAAGATATATCTAGAGTCTATTGAATTTAATAGATATGGAAGTCACCTGAACTCACACATGAAACTGACTGCAAAATGGTTGTTTAAGGGTCAGTGCAATACTGACAGAAGATTTGTCAAGCGTCTTATGGAAGTATGCAATAAAATTTTATTATTTCTGACATCTCGTGACCATGAGATGCGACGTATCTTCTGTCCAATATGCACACATACGCACTCCCGGTGCGACACTGTCACTTATGCAAAAATTTAGTTTTTCAGGAGAAGAGTTTTAAACTCTGTCACCTCACAAAACAATGACTTTAGAAGATACAGATGAGATGAATCATACGGAACATAGTTCCGTATGATTCATCTACAAAAGTAACATTATCGCACCAAGTAAAGGGGGCTTTAGGACAATTATTACATATTTAACTAATTTTTGTATTTTTTGCAAAAGTGACAGTGTCGCACCGGGGGTGCGATATGTTAAATTATGATAATTTCTTCTTTTTATATAATAATATATTTTGAATATTTTATATATATTCCAAAAAAATGCCCGATTCTTATTACGGAATCAAGCATTTTTTTGGAAGTATTTAAAAAAAAAGAAAGAACCTAAAAGCACCACACTAGATGGTGACTCTAGCAAAAATTGGTTTTTGAAATTTATAAATTTGACAAACTGAAATTTATAAAGTTCAAAACTTAGACATTAATACAAATACGAAAAAGTACAAATAGAATATGAATTATTTATTAAGTTTTGAAAATTAATTAACTTTTATACATGAAAGAAAACCAGAAGGGTTGTCATGAAGAATTCAAGAAAGTAGCAACATCTAGTTTGATTTCGGGAACTAATATATATTTTTGATACTTCCTCATTGTGGTTTTAGGCTACAAATCAGACAACAGGGTTGAAAATCACTGACACAAATTTGTCATTTTGTGGAACATGTGGTGATCATTACTAAATTAACCTGTGATGATGATACTATGTGACGTTTGTCTGGGGACCAGTCTGAACACAACACTTTGGCTTGATGACCCTTCAGCACACGGCGCAGCTTTAGGTTGGGGAAGTTGATTGTCTCCAACCTCTCTGCCACACATGATACTGTAACAAATGCAATCAAAAAAGTATGTAGATAGGATTTAAAGAGCATTTGGTAATGTAATTAGTATCTTACTAATATTTAATAAAGAATTTAAAAAGCCTATTTAGAATAAGCTAGAATTTAAAATAAGCAAAAGCCTATAAACTATAAACAAAAGGTGTAACGCTTATATAATCGTGAATCAATACATTCATATTTAAGTGATTCTTTAGAAGAAGAACCCCGAAATCGGGGTTCTTCTTCTACCCCAGTCCTCCTGAGCTTCGTGGATCTTCGGTGCTGCTGACCAGAGCTGACGACGGGTCTACACTCTTGTCAGCCTCTGCCCGGCCCGTGACGCTGAACCCGCGAACTCGTCACTAAATCCCCTACAAAACTTAAACTAAGTCCTCACCTCATAATACCAGATACAAGAACCATAGCAAGCAAATATCTTTACCTACCCCCTTATTTACTTTACTTTATTTTTAGTTTTATTCTTTATACCTGAAGCCTGGGGCGTGCTTCTCACCCTCCATCTACAACTCAAAGTTTCAAAGGCTAACAATGTTTTATATTTTCTTACATGAGCAGATCCCTCTATCCCAAGGGTACAATAGGCACGTGCCCAGTGCCCAAGATTCAACTCAAGATTGAACAGTTTGTGGCAAATTTTAATAGAAAGTGATATGACTCGAAACACAAATTTTGAAAGCGTGATTATCGATTTTGCTAAATTATAATCCATCAGCATAGATATATGAGCAAGGACTAATTGTGGATGCTCATTACTTAGTGTGGATTACATTATATTATTATCTATTCATCATAATATCTGGTGTTACTATAAGGACAAGGCAAATTTTAACTTTATTTTGAAGCTAGAATTCTGCATATGTTATTCTTTACCTATTCTGACAAAATAGTACTATTTTATGGTCAAGGGGCCCCATAAAATAGTGCTCAGGGCCTCTAATAGGTGAAAATTTGAAAATAGGCTGTGATGTACACAGCCTATTTTCAGAGAGAGAGAATATTATTAAGTAGACAAGATTATGAAAACCTACAAAATTAAGATAATAATTAATATAAACTGTAAAATAATTAAGATAAACTGAAAATTAACCAAAATGAACATAATAAATTAAACTTCAAATTTAAAGTGAATTATCATATTATATTGATGATGCCAAAAAATCGCAGATAGTTTATTGACCTTGGGTTCTCCAATAATCATGTGATGTTTTAGTTTTATACAATAACTGCCTAAATATAAGGAATTTGTGTTAGCATAATATCTTTAATTATATTACCAAAATTTATTAGATAATGAAAAAATAAAATAGATAACTTTATGCATTATAGCTTATAACTAAGAGCTGGTAAAACTAATTAAAAATATTTAGTCTAATGGTAATGTTTACTCTAAATAACAGAGTACCTATCTTACTATTCTAAAACAAATTTGATAGTAGTAAAATGCACTGTTAGCTATTTTAATTAATTATATATAAAAAAATAATTGATCAGCAAAATAACTAACATATTTAAAAACAAATGACATAATAACTGTTCAGCTTATGTACATCCAAAGTAATTAATATAGGAGTTCTGTAAAGAAAATACTAAATGAGGCTCTAATTTGTGTGGAAACTTACGTGTGACGTCATTGAGTTTCTGGCGCTCTTCCTCGAGCTTCTGCTTGAGCGCCTCCGCCTCCCGCAGCAGCGACTCCAGGGTCTCTTCCGCAGTAGGAGCCACCGCCGTGTCAGCCGCCATCGCGCTGCCCTACCGTGTTCTTACCACCTCATTCTGAACAAAGAGACGAACGCCTTAAGCACAACTTGCAGAGAAATTATATGGATTTCTGTGCTCACAAAACTGATAAAAAGAAAAGAACAGACATTAAAGTTCTCTTTGGTCTGTGCACGGAAAGGAATCGATAACACTTCAGAGTTGCCAGCATCTGAAAATTTTTGGCCCCAAAATGAAGAATATCAGTGGCGATGGCGTGGTGTCACGTAGAGTTTGGCAAGCGAAACGTGACACCACCTATTTTTCCGTTTTCATATGGCAACAACATAGAACTGTCAGTTTGACACTACGTTAGACAATTCAAGAATATTGAATTTTGTTGTTTTTGCGAATTTGAACTTGTGTTTTTGGTTAAAAATTATGTCGAAGCCGATAAAAAGTTCATCGAGGAAACTTCTTTCCATCATGATTGACAAGTTTACTGAAGTGAAAACTGAATTAAATAAAAATTTCATGGAGAAATTACAACGATTAGATAAAGTTGTATCTTTTTTAGGTTAGTTTTGTATTATAATTTTGATACTTTCGTTTTAATTTTCTGTAATTAACTAAACAGATATTTTTTATAAAATATTGCTCTATTTCAGATAACTGTGATGGTGATATTCAACCAATAATGGAGGAGATAAATGCAATAAAAACTTTAGAAAAACAAGAAATGCTGAATTCGGAAACGCAGTACTTACAAAAAATTTCTTCAATGACAGGTCTCTTTTCTTGTTTTGATTTAAGATAGATTGATAGTATTCCTATAATATTTACATAGGTTTTTTATGATGTATTGGTTTTTATTGTTGACATCCAATGATGTCATAAGAATGTTTTGTTTAACAAGGAAATTCACAGAATTCATGAAACTAATCAAACCATGTAATTGTTATACATGCTAAATATGCACATAAACTTAACTAAATTAAACATAAATTGCATTCATAGTTGAATAGGTATTTAAATTATTTTGATGTATGTGTCTATCATTATTTGCTTTTAAATACATTTAACATATCTTTGTTTCAAAGTGTTTAATCTTTTATAGATGTAAGTATAAGGACACTAAGAAGGATAAAAAATGAAGCATTAATTAATAAAGGAAAATGGGACACTCCTGGGAAAAAACGACCTCATCAACCAACAGTGTCTGCTTTAGATAATTTTGATTTAAGTGCAATTCGGAATAAAGTAAATGAATTTTACTGTGTGAAAAAAATTGTTCCAACATTAAGAAGCCTTCACAATGAATTAAAAGATGCAATAGGATTCAGTGGTAGCCGTGAGACTTTACGAAAAATTATGCTTAAGAATGGATTTTCTTTTAAAAGCAATGAAAATGAACGTTCTATGCTTATAGAAAAATACCAGATTTCTGCATGGAGGCACAAGTATTTGAGAGAAATAAATATAAAACGAAACGAAGGAAAGCAAATTGTGTACCTTGATGAAACTTATGTACATCAGAATTATAAAGTTAAAAAGTCTTGGCAAGGACCTTCAACAACTGGTGTCACTACAAAGATATCCTCTGGAAAACGGCATATTGTTGTGCATGCTGGATCTGAGGAAGGTTTTGTGCCTGGTGCATTATTAGTGTTCAGTAGTAAATCCAAATCTGCTGATTATCATGATGATATGAACTCATCGAACTTTATGAAATGGGTCAGAGAAAAATTAATACCAAATTTAAGTAAGCCCAGTGTAATTGTTATGGATAATGCCAGCTACCATATAAAACAAATCAATAAACCGCCTATAATGTCTAATACCAAAGCAGATATCCGTAAATGGCTTGTAAATAATGGAATACATTTTGAGGAATATCAGACAAAGGCAGAGTTAATGTGTTTGGTTAATGATAAGAAAACATTGCCTGTATATGAAGCTGAAGAGATTTTAAAAGAACATAATCATGAACTTTTATTGCTGCCACCGTATCATTGTGACTTAAACCCAATAGAGATGGTTTGGAGTCAAGCAAAAAGAAAAATTGCAAGCAGAAACATTGGAATACCAGGAAAGGAAATGGAAAACTTAATAATAGAGTGTTTTAACTTAATTACCCCTAGTGACTGGAAGAAATACACTGATCATGTTTTAAATGTCGAAAATGATTACAAATTAAAAGATGGCATTGTTGAAAACGAACTTGAAAAATTTATTATATCTGTTGGTGCAGACAGTAGTGAAGAGAGTGACTCTGATGATTCCTTGTCATTGTTATCAGGTGTAGAATATTTAGAAACAGATTTTGACTATGAATCAGACTAAAGTATTTTTAGTCTGATTCATAGTCAAAATCTTATCTTAAATTTTCTATTGTGATTAACATGATGATTTTGTGACACCTGTATTATGTAATTTATCCATGGCACTTAATTGTAACAAAAATAAATGTTTTTTTTTATTGTAATCTGGTGTTTATATTGACTAATTTAATTTGATAGATAGTGGTTCTGGATCAGAGCAAAAGGTTGTGATGAAAATCCCTTAGGAGACATGTATGTGTTATGAACACATTATAAATATAAGGGCCAGAAATCAAAATTGGCTAACATCACATTTATTAAAAAAATGTGGCCAGAGTCGCCCATATTCATTACAAAAAAACAAAGAAGTCGTTGCAAAAAACACCCTTTTAATTAATGACAAATATGAATTTTTAATATTATAAGTGCTGTTAGCCAATAGGTATAACGAATGGGTTAAAAAAAAGATTCGATTTAGTCCGTCAGTCAGATAATAGAAAAATATTGGATACGTATTTTTTTTCGCTTTAATTTAACAACAAATGGCTTAAGAGGTACTATGCGACGACTTCAAATATGCTTTGCAACAATGTTACTTTAATACAGTTTATCGATACGAAATCAAGTGTCAAAATGGAGTCCAGTGGAGAATGCCGATATTGACATTTCGAAATTGCTCATCATTGATAGAGAATACGAAATAGTGATTTTGACACAATCAAAGTGTCTATTTTTTACGGTGATGACGATTCTTGGTTGTCAGTTGAGTTAGTGAATAGGCCTACTGATATGCTGTTAACTGTACAATTAAGAACAGTCACGCTTTAGTCAAATGTTCCAAAACAAATAATTTTAATTGATATCTAAATGTTAAGATCAAATATAATTAATAAAAGTATCAAAATTATTTTGCAGTACTACATTCAGTGTTTACTGCTTAAGAATTTTTGAAATTGCCGCCCTTTTCTTGTGACACGTTTCGCTTGCCAGACTCTAGTGGAGCGGTCCACCCCGTCGACTCTTTGTAGGGGACCTCAAAATATCATCATAAACATATGAGTGAACTTGTACTACCATAAAACATCAGTGGAACATAATTAAAAAGCATATTTATGATGATTGAACTAGAAATGCTAACTTGTCTTATGAAGCTGTTTTCTTCTTAGTATTTTTAAGTATTTACTGGTATTAACGAACATGATTTCAAACCTTCGAACTTGCTGTTAATACAAACACACTGCTATAGGGCAGCTGTATCGAAGGTGTAAATTGTCATAATGATTGCCAAACTGTATAAACGGTTGGCACACACAAAAGAAAAAAAATATTAATAATCATTTATTCATATGTTTTATTTCTTCTCATGTATATGACTGAAAAATGATCGTTTACGCACAAAGAGTACTTTATGTTACGCACATCATCACGGATTTCGTGAGGTTGGAGGGAAATTGCATGCCTAAGGCGTCTGGCAGCACTGTTAGTTTCTTGTCAATGTCAAAATGGTAAACGTCACAGATCTTTGACATGATAAGTAGTCCCTAAGTCTTTAAATATAAAGTGCGTAGTTATTATATCGATTAAAGTTATCTACTATAAATAAAATCGAATTAAAAAATATTAAAAATTGACTTTCCCTTTAAAATTTAGAACTGAAGCAATTGAATGGAAAAATTACTCACTAACATTTTAAAATTAAAAACTAAAAGAATTAAACATTTACCATTGTATAATTATAGCAAGTAGTTCAAAATAAAAGAAATATACACACTCAATATGTATGTGCTCGTGTAGGTATGAGGTCACCGTACACATACGAAATCTGTGCTCGTTCGGGCTCTGTCAATTAAGGATTGTGGTCAAGAATGCTCCACGTTTCCGTGATATTGTGTTTACTTGCCGATTGCCGCGATATTTAGAGAGAAAGTGTGAGTTGAGTGAAGAAGTTTATACGTTATTGTTCTATGTTTAGCTATATGAAGATTGTAGAAGAGAATACAGATATTTGTTTTTATTTCATACCTACTGAAAAGAAAACCTATTATTTTTAATACAATATGTAATTTATTTTTGGTGACTTGAAAATGATTAATTTTTCAGACTGATTTTTAATTATGAACGAGAGAAGGTTTTGTGAAAAGAAACAATGAAAAGATGTAGGCGTGATGTTACTTTACTTTAGATATGTACTTAAACTGTTGTTGAAATGATACGATTTTTCATATGATTATCCAGACATACTATTCGATATGAACTTAGATCTGTCGATCACATTGTCTTTGTCAATTTTCTAAAAAAAATTGATTCAGATCGGACATCCCTAGTCATGTCAAATTGTCATTTTTAGTAACAGTTGATTTTCGTTTTTTTGAATCATAGGAAAATTATTGTTATTTTTTTCGTTGATAATTACGAAATCTATGATAGATGTGCAAGTTTAAAGTGCTATTTAATGAAGAACCGTGTGCTGTTTAACTGAAATAAATATCAAGGTATTTGCATATTGACAACATAGTAATTTTCGGTTAAATATGAATTTCCCTCTTCATATTGAAGTGGTACAGAAAAGACAAAGTCGAGTGTCTAAAGACCACGTGAAGGAAATTGTTCACTCTTATTTATCTAATTTCGCGTGTTTGACTCCCGGAGCTATAATATCCACGGACGAGATCGATGAAAGTTTGGATTTACGAGATCACGTACAGTCCATTGCGATATGCGATGTGGACTATGAAACTGAAGTGCAAATGACAAACGTAGAATTAGATTATCATGTATACAAATTGGACAATTTTGGTGCCGAGACCGACACGATGACGGACGCTACCTCCGGGGACGAACTCGCCGCCGCGGACGTGTGGGCTCTGCCCTCGGAAGAGTTTCACGGTCTCTGGGAAAGTTTGGTGTACGACTCGAAACTAAAAGAAGACACTCTTCGATTCGCCGAAACCGCGTTCGAGTTTGCCGATCGAGGAGTCGATCAGACAGTCGTCGGCTGCAACCGGGTAATCCTGCTGCACGGGCCTCCCGGAACAGGCAAGACAAGCCTGTGCCGGGCGCTCGCCCAGAAGCTGGCCGTGCGCCTTGGCGATCGATTTCCACGGGCTCGTCTCCTCGAAATCAATGCGCACGGTCTATTCTCAAAGTGGTTCTCGGAGAGCGGTAAACTCGTTGCTCGCCTGTTTGACCGCGTGCGCGATATCCTTGACGACCCTCGTTTACTCGCGTGCGTGCTTGTCGACGAGGTCGAATCGCTGGCGCACGCGCGCAGGTCGGCGCTCGCCGGCCTCGAACCGTCCGACTCTATCCGAGCAGTAAATGCGATTCTAACGCAGCTCGACCGACTACGTCGGTACCCGAACGCGCTCGTGCTCGCGACCTCAAATGTGACCGGTGCGATCGATGCCGCGTTCGTCGACCGCGCGGACGTGAAACGGTTCGTGGGACCGCCGTCGGCGCGCGCCGCCTACGAAATTTTGCGAGGTTGCTGTGGTGAACTGGTAGCACGCGGTGTGGTGACGGGCGGTGAGCGCGCATTTCCTCTACGCGCGCTGGAGGGCTCGCGTTTCGCCGAAAGCGCCGCGTCTCGCTGTAGCCTGCGGCTGTGGGACGCGGCGCGTGAGGCGGCGGCAGCGGGGGCGTCAGCGCGGGCGCTGCGGCGGCTTCCACTGCTGGCGCGCGCGTTACACTGCCCCTCCCCGCGGAAGGCGCCGGACCTCACTCAGTTCGTGGAGGCGCTCCACGCGGCGCTCCGGCAGCACCTTGCTGATGCTGCGCACCTCGATGCGCCTGCTCACTGACCCTCCCTGACGCCATTCCCAAAATGTACAGTAGTTTTAAGTGTAACGTCTTGAGTGACTCTTGAATTGTTTACTTTACAGTGATGTTGCCATGTGAGTTTCTGAGAAACCTCATTAAAGAAAGGATCTAATAAATATTTTACTACTTTATTAAGTGTATAGTCATATGGACTGAAAATAAATTTTAATTAATATTGACCTATCTTTTACTCATTTAGTAGTGTATCATCAGCTTTCTTTTGTTTGTTCAGTGTTCATTTCAATGACAAGAACATGTGCCAGGAATGATGATTATAATTTGTCAGAGTATCACTCTGGACTTATTTTAACTTTTCCTTATGTACTGCCTTTTGTGGATTTCTGACAAAACTATCATACTCTAGGACAGCCTTACTTATAGGGACCACTCACAATATAGATAGTAGGCCACAAACACAATTCAGTCATGGTGATAGGGGAAATGCAAAAATTATTGAGGCTTATTAAAAATAACTTGCTAAAAAACTTTTAAATACAATGTAATTTTTGATTTTAATTTATAACATTTAAATGCAGTTTATGATACTATAAACACCCAAAAGTTTTAAGTTTAATATGTTACTATTTAATCACACAAAAACAACGCAATTGAGAAGGATATATTGATCTTTTAAATTTCTAAGAATAAATGAGTTTTATTCATTTAGTTTTTAGTTACAACTGTTAAGTTTTATTTATATTTCCATATAATTGTTTATTTTATCCATTACATTTTAACACACAAAACTTGCTTTATTCTGATTGATTATCAGTTTGGTCTCCATCAAATTTTTAGAGTGAAAATTTTTATTAATGTTCTCTTTCATCACAAGGTATCATAGCATTTTTTCACAATATGGTAGTCTTGATTTATTTATCTTGTTTAATTAGGTTATAATTTCACTTCTATCGAGACTTTTCCTTTTTTTTATCAGTTGGTACTTTGATTATCCGCTGCAATGTGATTACAACCCAGCTGAATCCCAACCATCTGGCAAATCTAATGCGAGTGGGGATTGCTGGATGTTCTTCTTTTTGGTCGCTGTCTTCATTTCTGAAGGTTGTGTCCCTTATGAAAGTTACGTTGACATCCCTGAAGCCTTGATGATTTGCTTCCACACTACCCTATCCTCTGCTTGGCGTAGAGCGGCCGGTACGTTGAGTCCAGTTGCCGTTTTTTAAGATCAGACCATCGGGTAGGTGAACGACCTCGTGGTGGATGTTAATGACTGCCAAAGTAGATGAACTTGGCATTGATAATTTAACCTGCATTCATAACAGTCGCATGGCAGATCGAGCACTCTGACCACTGCACCATCAGCTCCAATAATAGGTAAACATAGATTACTAACTACATACATTAATTTTGACTTCGCCTAATTCTTAATAACTTCGCTGTTACTTGCGATCCCCTCTTAATAACAGAGATGTCAATTTAAGATGTGACTTTTCCGTTATTTATCGTCTTCCTTTATTTATTGGGCTTTGAAGGAATATGAACAAGGTACAAGTAGCTTCCATAACATGGACTATTTCGTCACTTCTTAGTAAGTCGATTTGTAAACGTGAAAAGAATGGGTTCGAATCTATGGTAAAACGTAAGACCTACGTCGCGGGTAGAAGCCACCTAATTTGTAATAATATCTCTTAGTGCCTGTTTTTTGCCTGTTTGATTCTAAGCGTGGTTTGATACTACCAGTTTTTTACTTACATGAACTATCAGCTTTCATATTAAGGAAAAATGTATCTAGTTTATAGGATATATATAAGTTTGACGAGGGCTTAAAGGTATTATAGTTTTGTTTTAAAATAGATCTAATAAATAATTGAATAAAGCACTCTCTACGTCTATTTAGTTAAAACCAACTGAACGAAAATTCATGGAAAGCACTACTGAGCTAGTGAAAATATTTATTCTCGAAAACCGACTAAGCAAATAAATAAAATAACAGAGTGGAATAAAATAACGATATCTTGTCAATTTAAGAAAAATTAAAATCTAATTTTTCTGGGAATAAAACAACTAGCGACATCTTTCATACTATTATTATTTATTTATCTATGATTATGTATATAAGAAGATACATGGGCAAATGAAAAAAAGTCAACCTTCTATGTAATGAAACTTTATTTTTTTACTTACAATTAGCGTTTTATAATTTTACGACTTAACTGTACAAACTATTAATTACTTAAAACGACACTGTAGCTTATATAATAGGTATAACCGAAATAAGAACCGGTTAGTTATTTAAAAAGTCAGTCTCATGACTACAAATTCAGAAATGTAAATAAAAAAATACACGACTGTTTATTGAATCACATTTCATAATGAAACAAGTTCAGATTACTTAATCTGACAGATAGGGTCTGGTAGATTGCATTGTCCAATTTTAAAATCTATCACCATCCCTTTCAATTCAATATTTGAAAGATATTCACGAACGTCACGCTACAACTATTTGACATGTGATAGAGATTGTGAAATTATTTTTCAAAGATATTAAATGAACGATATCGTTGATATGATCTTAATAGGGATGATGACTAAATTTTGTTTGTTTGTCCGTCAGGTAGTGTTAAAAAATATTAAACACGTATTTTTTTCGTAATCATAAAATTACGGCGTTACATTGAGTTGAAATTTCGCATGAGTACGTTTTCTACTCAACTGTGACGTAGCGAGCCCCCACTCCTCAACTTTAATGCCTGTTACCTAAGCTATTTCTTGTTAAATTGAAGTAAAAAAAATACGTATCTAATATTTTTCTATTATTAGACTGACGGACTAAATAGAATTGCAATTTTTTCACCCAGTCATCATCCCTATTGTAATTGTTTGAGCAAAGCGAAAAATGCTTGAAAGCTACTGAGAAACGTCAAACGAAAGAGTTAAATGTTTACTGCAATCTTTCGACGTGTTTAACTAAGTTTTGGTTGTTTCCTGATCACATTCAAATCATCATTAATTCCAAAAACTTCATAAATCGCTAGCACAATCGCTTCAATTTGAAAGGGATTTCGATAAATTTTTAAAATTAGTTAGCCCACAGGTTGGTTTTGTTGTTTGTTGATAAATCACCGGCCGATTATCCACAACATGTTGAGGCCGGCCTTCCCGAGATGTAGACGCTTGAGGGCGGGTGGATCGTGGCGCGCGCACACCGCCACGAACACGAGTAACACGTGCAGAAGATTGTTCCTGCCGGCGCCCACCTTTACAACACAACATCATTGTTATTTACAGTATCATCTATACATAGTATAAAACAAAGTCACTGTACGCTGAGATTTTTTAATATACACAATGTATTTTTTAACACCTTTGCTCGTAAAGCTGATGTAATTCCACCGGTTTTAAATATGTAAAGCGGGTCATAAAAAACGCGTGTGTTACCAAAGCAAATAGTTAAGTTATAGTCCATACAAATTCCATAACATTATTATTTGCAATTTCGCGCGCTGTTGCTATTCAAATTTCGAACTAATCGCCGCGCGGCGCCAGTCAGTAGGCAGCGCTAGCGCGCTGTTAAAATGGCGGGAAAGCAACAGTGTACATTCACAGATTGAGTTTATTTAAGGTTTTTTTTTTCTCTTTCCTCGCAAATGTGTTAAAAATGTCGTACGATATTATAACATGTTATAAATATTATAACATGCTCGGCTCAATTACGCCCTCGCCTTCGGCTCGGGCTGAAATTCCGCCTCGCATGATATAACCATCATAACGCACTAATATCGTAATGTACTATTAACACAGTTTTAATATACAGAGTGATTCAAGAGGAAGATTCCACTGGCGGAAAACTAGTTGCTAATAAATCAAATAAAAAGTATTTTTTTAGTTTGAGTACCGCCACCAGCCAGTCTAACTGCGAGTATGGAGTTCCTTTATACAGTTGAATGTGCGTCGACTTATACAAAAAAAAAAACATGTTTACACAAATATGTTTTGGAACACTCTTTGTTCTTTGTGTGTGTGTTAGACAATATAACTTGTACGAATTAACATGACACCTGAGCGCCTATTCCATTTGTTCTCGAACGAATATTCGAGTGTTCTTATAATTTTGTTTAAATTTTACCCGTGAAGATTATCTGTGTATCAGAGGCAGTGTCAGGTCCTAACCCCGTTGCATCCATTTTGTTAATAGACGAAATTTCGATTAAATAGAATAAATATACCGGGTGTTACAAAAATACCCGTTATAGCTGAAGGGTGTTGAAGTATATCATATAAACAGTACTCTGCCAAAGGACAATGCCAAGCTTCCATAGAAACTTCGGCCAGAACCGACAGACATGAGTGATATACCATAAGAAAGGGCAAAAAATATAGAAAATTATATGCACATTATATCTTTAATAAAAGTTCACCAAAAAAAGTTATATTCAAAAAAGTTTTTGTTTTTTTCAACATTTTTCTACATAGTTTTTCATTAAAACAGCATATTAATATACATTTATGGATATTAGGTAAAGGACGAAACCTTTTAAGGCATAAAAAAGGATATGTAAATTAAAAAACATGTAAAGATTAATATTTTTTATTATCAGTTGTATCAATTTTTTGTTGTAAAAAATTATCTAAAAATTGTGCTGGCTTCCATATTTGACTGATATCTAGCCCATCCTAAATACCAAATGATCGTCATTATGTGAGCACAGCAACATATAGTTCTACGCCCCACCAAAATTATTGTAGGTACACTTGCAAGTATGTTCCCCGGAATTCGAGACTGATATAATGTTATCATCATTAGAGTGCTCCAGCTCATGAATTAGCAATTCTTGAGAATATGTATCTGGAACACTTGATGCAGCTTGCAAATGATGAAGATGGTGCAGTATAATTTACAGATAAACTATTACACCTTTGCCAACAAGGGTGACAAATTCTGTCTGATGACTGGAGCTGAAAAGATATAAAATCATTAGAAATATTGTTACATAATCATTTCTTTCAATGTTTATAGCATTTATTATAGATAAAATATAGTTTAGATTTTAATTTCGAGCCAGGTAAAAACCCAATTAAAATCGAAATACATAATATTCGTGACAACTCATCACAATTATTTAGTGGAAAACTAAGAATGCTCATACTATGACAACTAAATAATACATAGAATACATAAATATGGAACACATAGAATACAGAGGTCATCATTTGGGTTTGGTTTACAGACACCATCCTATTAGTTTTAAAATACTATCTATAGTTAATTACAAGCTCGGTTTGTTTAGATGTGTTGTATTCCATACAAAGCATAATATAATGGTAAATTATAATTGTCAAATAATTGACTTATTATTATTACTTTAACTTATTTATTATAATTAAATAAATGTTGTTTCTACTTACTTGTTGTGGCATAATCCTTTTCACAACAACAAATCTTTTGTCAGTATTGTTGTTTAACATACAAGTTCTCATACAATATTAAACATCTTCCACAATGTATACATACATTTTCATTACCAATACATGATTGACTTATTTCAGGAACTTAATTTATAGTAACAACCAACACTCATGACACACCACACTGTTGCTTGGTATCTGTAGGTAAAATGTAAGGGTTGATATTAATGTTTTCAGTGATCTATGTTGATATATAAATACCCATAGCATTTTAGTCGTACATACATTGAAATACTTACATCTGACGGAGAATTTCCTTGTTGGATTTCATATCGGATGTTTACAGACAAATACTCTGTTGAGTGTCTAATTCTAATTCGAGTGACATTCAGGCCACAGTTGATACATCGCAGCATGATTCCAAATCCGTGAGAATAAGCCGAGTCGACGAGAATAACAGGTTCAGTCCAAGTTAAAAGCCGAGTCAACATGTAAAACAGATTCTGGTCATAGTTAAAAGCCGGGTCAATAATTAAGAAGTTTCAGATTCAAGTTCGAAGCTGGGTAAATAGATAGAATAAAAACGAAAACAACAGAAAGCACTGAAGAACAAAGCGAACGAATTGTACCGCAAATATAATGTTTATTATTGACTATGACAATTAAAAAAAGTGTTGCCATTATTGGACGTTAAATTGGTTTCCATCGATTAATATCGATTGTTAATAAATAATCAATTATATGTTATACTATGATTATTATATCTTTACTGATTACAGTTATGTAAAAAAATAAGGAAAAATATTTTTGTGTAGTACCAAAGAGAAAAATATTATAACATGGCGTATTTATTGTATTTTTATTCACTTTCACAACTATTGATTAATTCATAACGATTATCGATTTTCGACAGATTAGGCATTTTAACTTTGTACTGGCAATTTTTTTGTAAATGGCGTACTTTTCATGTAATAGTCGTTGATTAACTTTACGAAAATTACTCGTAACGGTGTGCTTTTTTTAAATCTATTAATAGTTGATAATTTAAAGTATTATAAAATATAAGTTGCTATGATAATGAATTTACTGTCGGCGACAAGCCGTATTTTGGCATTCTCCTTTTCAAAACCTTTGCATTAACTTTTAACTTTCAGTAAAAAGGCTAATTTTTAATAATTAATAAATACATCGAGTGTGCTATGTCACATCACTATTTTAGGTAATGACCTTACCAGGAGTAATGGCACACTACCTATCTCCTATGTTTTCTAATTTTTTTTTTCTATTCTCCTAGTACACACCCACACATACACACTAAGAATGAGAGAGAAAATATACTTAAAAACACGTCTGCGTTTGCCAGTTTACACAGTAAATACTTAACCTATTTCGGTCGAAAATAAAATGAAAAGAAATTAAATCATTGGCAAAATGGTATGGTAACCGACGCTGTTCAGCCGGTAGTCTAATTTCAGTAAAAAAAATTATAATACATATTATTATCAACGCGCACATCATTTCATAGCATCGTTTCCGACTCAGCTGTTTCTGAATTACAGATCAAACACCATTTTAAGTAGTACCTATTTATGATAGATAGGTAAAATTTATTTAAACACTGATATACGAGTCTAACTTTTAGTTCATACTTTAATGGTCCGACAAATCTGATTGATATTACGATAATAAAAAAAAAATGATATGCGACATAATTCACAAACGATTTTGGCGTATTTAAAAATAAATATTTGCGAATTACTATTTGTACTTTACCTTTTCACTTCCTTATTCACTGTTTAAGCATTACTTGTGAGGTTCACTCACCTACACTTTATTAGGCACTTAATTTTATTCCACAAGAAAAAACTAAAGATCGCGGCCAACCTCTGGTTCACTGACGTTTCAGTATAATTACATCTTTTCAAAATAGTCTCAATTTATATCAATACAACACTGCATCCCATGTAACACTGATAAAAGCACTTTTCATAGAACTCGGAATTAGAGAACACGGACATTTTCGAAACGTGATCACATCGACGACGTATGAACAACTGAATAAAGAAAAGTGATAAAAAGGGAAAGCCGCCAATTTGAGTCCTTTATTATAAGCCGCTGCATAGTGTGCGGCATGTCAAAGGCGCACAGAAAGGTACCTATAGTTCCGCAATTAAATCTGAGAAGTAGCGGGATAGGGTTGCCATCTTCTCTTATTAGATCGGAAATTTTGTCCTTAAAGCCGGACTAAGTCAAATCTCTCGCGAAGCCGTAAAACAATATTACCGTAGTAGACAGTAATATTAGTTCACGGCTTCGCGAGGGTTACTGCCTAGTTATTCAGAGGGTGCGTTAAGCAAAAATCACTAACTTTCAATTGATTTTGTAGTAAGACGTAACATACAAATAAGCGGTAATTAAAGATAAGATAACTACATCATAATTTTAACGCTTTTATCACAGCCAAAACGTGAATTCATAAAATAAGGCTTGATCGTAACATCAAAACTGCACAACCTATTTTGAAAAAGGTTTTTTTTATAAAGTAATTTCGGAGACTATACGATGCAAACAAACTAACGATTTGTATTCAAATTTCGCAAATGCCCGTGCAACACTGCGTCTTTTTGGGTATTTGGGTATTTGACGTTTTTCGAATTTGTGTGTATTCATAGTTTATTTGATATAGCTTCGGCACAGGTATACCAAAAACCTATGAAAACTATACCGCCGGACATGTGACATTAACATTTAGCTGCACACAATCTAAAAAGTCAAACATGTCCCGCTAAAGACGGATAGATGACAACCCTAGACAGGCGGCAATGTTAAAGTTTGAGCCTAAACTTCTAGTTGCCTAGTACCGAGGTGATCAACATTTTATTGTACAAATTAAAAAAATCGTCGCAGGACATTGTTGCAACTAATTTTTTTACATACGTACGTAAGTACATAATACGTTACGTATTATGAACGTTACGTATTAGGAATTGTTAATTGACAAAGATTTTGTAAATTTTTATTGTTGTTGATAAGATAGTACATGGTTGTATTTTTAGTATTTACAAATTTAAACGTTGGTAATGTTTGGTAAAGACTAGTTTAAGTGAGAAATGTGATAATTTCACGCTGCACCTGCAAAAGAGCATGCTTGGCTCAGTCTGTAGAGAGGAAGTAGCATCGACTATCATAAGACATCGCTAAATAAATAAATTAATGTATTTCGTGGGCCGTAGTAATCTGCACACAATCGACACACCTGTTTAAAATTTTAACTCATACGCCTTCTCTATTTAAACTATTTTTCAAATAAATGACCATTTGTTTGTTAGCTGTGTCGGTCGTTTTAGGGCTTTTTCTATTTAAGGAAATAGGTAAACAGTACATAATAAAACGTCTCATTCATTTTCATTTCTTACAGCATTAAAATAGTGAATCCTATACTCTGATTCTAAAATTCAGTTGCATAGCCCACAGTAATAAAATAGATAATAAATTAAAATCCGTACCAAATGTTTACTACTACCGTATCTAGCGTCAAGTAGTCACTCGCGCGCGACATCACACAAACACGAACGATAATGTTTCGTTTCTTTCTCTCTCTCTCTTTCCCTCCCTCTCTATCTCTATCTTACGTCATTGTACACTCGGGGGAATAAGTGAATTTGTTTTAGGCTCGATTTTACCGATTATGTATTGATTTGTCTTACGTATTTAAATACCTAAACAATAAAAATATTTTTAAGAGTTAAGCTAATGAAGTTATTTCTTAGCACCGGATACAACCCTTCCTGCGCGAGTCCAACTCTCACGTGGCCGGTTTTTTTTTTATAATTAGTTGTTAGCAGTTTGATAAAACTAGGACTTTTGACTAGTGAAATATAAAAAAACTTCAGTTATTGAGAATATTCAGTTGAGATTTTGTACTTTTCTCAATTCAGAAAGCGGCTCTTTGTCGACATTTTTTCTTGTCAGACGCTTTTAAGATACCTAAGTGTAGTGCATATCATTAACTCTAAGGTAGCAATCCATTTTATTTGAAACAATTTACATGTAGTAAGAGTAAGTGGTTGAAACCATAATCGGGAATGATCATATTCCCGATTAAGGTTCATATTCCATTTTAAGTCTGATATTTTTATTGTAAAAATATTAGAAAAGAAATAAATTGACCATAAACACAATTGAAATATGTACACGAATATTGATCAATGTTTCAATTTGTTCCCCGACTGTATCTGCGCTGACGTCATATTAGGTTTACTTTCGTAACAGAAGATTGTAGGTACGAGTACCAGGTTATCATGATTTAAAGACACGATGTGTAAAAATTCTGGTTCAAAGATGAAGCAGCTACAGATAGACAAAGTTACCTGGAAGACACTCAGTGATATACGTCGCCTACTTTCATAATATTGTAATTATTTCCATAAAAATGAAACTACCTAATTATGAAAAAAAATTGTTCGTGCAATAACGAATATTCTACTTATCTAGAGATCGCGATATTTCTTCTTCCTCTGCTTCTCTATTTGTTTAGATTAGATGAAATTGATTTTATGAGTACATTATTGAGTGGACGTGTCGTAGCATTAATTATAAAGATTATTATTTTGGATGGACCGTCTACAGTTCGTAAAGAGATATTGTACGAGCATTTCAGGCGAAAGTATTTAATCCAGTGCAGTGACTATAGCGTACTGTTTATTGTTTGTTTCCGTGCCTGATATGTTCGTAGCACGGGCATAGTAATATGGCAAGGTATATTGGAAAGGGAGCTCTAATCTGAATAAAAACGAATTTTGGAAATAGTTTTAAAATAATGTTTTCGTGTAATATTTTGCATGTTCGAATATTTGCGTATGTACACATAACTAGATAAATTATTTCGCTGTACTGTGACGTAGGCACTAAATACCAGTAGATATAACCAGTCTGGCAAAATAATAGTCTTTGATTTAGAAGTCAATGAACTGAAACAGCTGATCATAATGTCGGTGTGCTTCGATAAATGGTATCGAAAATTTTGCTAAACTTCGATATTGTTTTTTTCAATAAATACAATGGCTACGATATAAAGGACAGCGTCCATTATCTCAGTTTTATGTATACTCAATGCCATTTTCGGGGTAACGGGTTTTTTTGTAACACGCGGTATATAATAATTTCGGTTAAACAGATGTTATGGTATTATACGAGTAGTATGTGTAAACGTTACCTCTAGTGTCTCGTCTCCGCAGGCGAGCACGTAGTGTGGCGGCGAGCGAGACACCTGATGTATGGCGAGCACGCCCTTACCACGCGGCGGCGCCCCCCCACGAGACAAGTGACACGACGAGAACACTCCCCCTGCACCTCCCCCACCCCCACCCTAACGCAACGACAAAAAAAAGCATTCAAAACACATAGATTTCTTAGTTCGTATGTAATCCAACTGCATACTTAATATTTGTCGAATTAAATATTTTTTTAAATTCTTCAATATATAGATAGTTTCATACGTTTTTAACAACTAACACTCCAGGAAAAACACGATGACAAGCTTTTTTTCCTTAACCAATTGTTATAAATAATTGCGGCAGGGACTCTTAAAATTCATTAAACCGATTTGTGAATTAAAATATCGATTATATATCCGTTAACGAGCTAGTGAAACTGAAAAAAAGAATTCGACGGCCATTTTATTTTATACAGAGTTGCCACACAGAAAAATAATTTAGTATATATGTCGCAGCCAAGTTGTATAATCAGCCGAATAATTGGGCGACTAGCCCTTAAATTGAATGGTGCCAATCAATTCATTGAAGGTCTAGCCGCCCAATAGGTTGACTGATTATACCACATGGTTGCGACATGTTAATAACATGACACGAATCCAAATTTTGATATTTAGGTAGTTGCTAGTCCACGTGGCTAGGTACATACCTCGGCGGGGAGCTGCTTGTCCATGTAGGTGGCGAAGGCGTGCAGGATCAACTCTGCATCGGTGGGGCGAGACTCGTCCCACCCCTCCCCGCCCCCGCACCACCGGTACTCGCTCAGGCACCCGCCCGCCGCCAACTCTGACCACACAACATCGTCACAACATTACAACATGACAACCACAACGACCGACTTTACTTAACACAAGAAAAACAGATAACGAGGTAATGCACAAAATAGAAAGGCGAATTATTATTTATCACTCAAACGAATCATTACCAACAATAGATGGACAATGTTTTAGTGTATAAACTGACCCTGTGTCTCCTGACCACGTACCTCTGTACAGATGGACAGTAATATAGTGTGATAGTGTGTGCACTGACCCCTGTATCTGCTGACGCTGTATCTCTGTACAGATGGACAGTAATATAGAGTGTTAGTGTGCAGATTGACCCCTGTATCTGTTGACGACGTATCAGTATACAGATGGACAGTAATATTGTGAGTAGATCCCTGTATCTGCTGGCAAAGTATCTTTATACAGTCATGTAGTGTGACAGTGTGTGTTTTAACCCCTCTATCTGCTGACGAAATGGACAATTTGGACTCTGTACAAATGGACAGTTATATAGTGAGATAGTGTGTAGACTGACCCCTATATCTCCTGACGACGTATCTTTGGTCGGGGAAGGGTGCCAGGAACGGCACTAGCTCCGCCCCACCGCACACCGCCCGCAACCGCTCCACGCCCACCTTACATAAACGCACATTCAATTCAACTATACCATTAAAAAAAACATCTTTATATAATATAAAACCAAACTTCACGGAGCATGTTGGGGTAAAGATTTCTTGGAATGGTTAAAAATATCGTAGATCCGGTCAAACATTTTTAAACTTTAAGTGTATTACTCTAAACACTAAAATACTATATCTAAACAATGTGATTCAACCATTATTTTAACATTATGTATATTCCTGAATATACTTTATAAATATATTTTAGTAAGATAAAAGATAAATACCTTTTAATTTTGAAATGGTAATCCTCCACCTCTGTTCAAAATACGTATAGAGAATGCTAAAATGATAAAAATTACCATTCCAATATTTTTAAATTTAGAAATCTCACGTAAGTAAGTAAGTAAGTATTTTTATTGACCTTCACATTACACTTTACAATTATAAACAAAAATAAATAAATAATAAAAAGTGATACAGAATATAGAAGACAGTAATATACATATTTCAATCCATCATACATATGTGATGTGGTCAATCAGGACACTACCTCAGCTTGTGCTGTTGCAGTGAGAATCAACTCACGCAACAGCGCTGATATTCTGGCAGAGCCTGTGGGTAGTGACATTTGATATAATTTTAAACAATAAAAATAATGTATGTGCTTATAAATACTAAGTATCCGTTACATTCCTGAACGCGAATAACGAGTTGTCAGTATACAACACTTCACCCCGCGACACAACCATCTGACAGAAAGTTTCGCCTTATTAGTCTGTGACCTTGAAACGAGGTCACACGTGGTCGAGAGCCTTCAGATATACTCTGCTTTAGATAAACATAGACGAATTACTTATAACAAAAATAACATTATTTTTAGTGTTATTAAGTGTTGTACCGAATTTTGGTGCAGATATCTCAAAATAATAATATAGTCCAGGGAAGTCTCCGTTACATGTCTATGTTCTTCTTTTGAAATTTATATATCCCTATCACTGCTCATAACTTTTTGTTGAGTGTACCAATTTTTATATAATTAATATTCATGTGGATGAACAGAGTATTGGTAACTCTGGTAGTAAAAGATCAGGTAGCTGTAGTATATGTGTGAGTGTGTGGTGAGTGCATTATGTACTCACTTAGTATATGTGTGAGTGCATTATCTACTCACTTGTCCGAGGGAGGTGGCGGGCATCCCGTGCGCGGCGAGCGCGGCATCCAACGCGTCCATCTCACGCACCACGCGCTCCAGGATCGTCACCTGCAGCCACTGTAATACCGCCCAGCAGATATCACTATATACTCACATATTATGCATCACGCACATACCGTCACGCACACATCACTACATACTCACATCACACGCACCAGGCACATACCGCCCTGCACACATCACTATATACACACATTGGAGTTGGGGCACTTATATGAGAGAAATCTATGTATCGGTCAGTTGCGCAACCGTCCATTAAGGTTTAATGACGCCTTAAAGCACTAATGAATGTCAAGTTTGTATGGGTAATCTCGCTTTAAACTAATGACATAAGGGACGTTTGTGCAACTAACTGGCTATATGTCTATTTCTTTTTAATTTTCTTGAAAAAGCAATGAATAGTTTCAATATTTTAATACACTATTTTGCATCAATAGGGGAAAAAATACAAATAGGATTATTTATTTGGCTGAGGAGTTTGAGGTATCATTTCATTGTGGTAAGGGAGACTCACGCCATAAATAGTTTGTGAATCACGTTCAAAAATGTATCCAATAGACAAGCGCGTGCCCGGCAGAGGGCGCGTGTTTGTGATGTGTAGGATGCAAAAAACTTACCAGTCTCAGGTTGAGGTTGAACTGCGTGAGACGGCGTGGGTCCAGCTGCAACCGCCGCCACATCTGCGGCGACCCTGCGACTCCACCCACGCCCACGCCTGCGCCCCCGCCCACGCCCTCACTACCCTCCTCGCCCTCTACAGTACGAATGCCCTTCAAACTATAAATCGTACGTATGAATATGACACCTAACGGCCTATTTGTACTCGAAAGAAATCGGGAAAATTTCGAATCTTTCTTATAATTTTGTTTAAATCATATTAGTGAAGATTATGATTATCTGTGCATCTGAGGTCCTACTTCCGTTTCATCATAAATTATCGAAATATGCGTTTCTTTGGAGTCGTATTAGCATTTCGAAAATAGACGGAATTTCATTTCCGCAGAATAGGCCTTCAGGTGTTATGTTTATTCCTACGAGTAGTATATCTTATAAGGTCCCTCCGACCGGTCCAAGCGTATAAAGGCTTCGCCAAACACATTTGCATCAGCGTTATGTCAGAATGTTAACCTGACGTCGCGCTATAGCGTCGCATTATGTTGTATTACGACAGTAGTATCCTGTCAAACAGAGCGTCGTCACCGAATCTAGCAAGACGCAACTTCTGATGCGACTAGAAAATGCTATCGACGTAGAGCACTGTATTTAATTAAAAAAATTGTTTTAGCTACGAATACATGCAATTTATGTTAAATTTCCAACCGTGTTTCCGGTATTATAACAATTTACTATAGTTTGAGAGAATAAAATTATAAGGACTATCAAATTCTGCATCTGCGATCAGTTGAATATTGAAAAATAGGGTATTTGACACTTTTCTAAAAACTATTTAAAATGGTTGTTTGGTACATTTTAAACATAATGTCAATATATTTTATGGGAATCTTTTTTAATTTCGATGAAAATAATTGTTAAAGTTATATTGTTAATAATGAAACTGAAATTAGCAGCTACCAGCTGACAGCCGCAGGGACGAAACGTAGAAAAAAAGACCCGGGCCTACAACTGTATTTAAAAAAAAATCATGATTGACTATTCCCCGGATAATAAGTTCAAGAAAAAGAGAAAAATAAATTCAGGACGGATAATAATAACCACGAAAAAAAAACTCCACCCCTTCTCTATTTTTCAGTTATTTTTATCAATAAAGATAGACTTTTTGAGATGTGAAAAATAATATCTTTAGTTCTAGCCAACAGATTCTAATAAAACTTGGTCTGTAACTTCATTATGATTTAAGGAAAAAGTAGTGTCGAGGGCAAGAGGGATACTCTGCTTCTTCTTTAATTTCCAGCAATTTTTATCAATAAAGATTGACTTTTTGAGATGTGGAAAATTATATCTTTATTTCTAGCCAACAGATTCTGATAAAACTTGGTCTGTTACTTCATTATGATAAGGGAAAAGTAGTGTCGAGGGCAAGAGGGATACTCTGCTCCTTCTTTTTATTCCAGCAATTTTTATTAATAAAAATTGACTTTTTGAGATGTAAAAAATCATATCTTTATTTCTAGCTAACAGATTCTAATAAAACTTGGTCTGTTACTTCATTATGATGTAAGAGAAAAGTAGTGTCGAGGGCAAGAGGGATACTCTGCTTCTTCTTTAATTTCCAGCAATTTTTATCAATAAAGATTGACTTTTTGAGATGTGAAAAATTATATTTTTATTTCTAGCCAACAGATTCTAATAAAACTTGGTCTGTAACTTCATTATGATGTAAGGAAAAAGAAGTGTCGAGGGCAAGAGGGATACTCTGCTCCTTCTTTAATTTCCAGCAATTTTTATCAATAAAGATAGACTTTTTGAGATGTGAAAAATAATATCTTTAGTTCTAGCCAACAGATTCTAATAAAACTTGGTCTGTAACTTCATTATGATTTAAGGAAAAAGTAGTGTCGAGGGCAAGAGGGATACTCTGCTTCTTCTTTAATTTCCAGCAATTTTTATCAATAAAGATTGACTTTTTGAGATGTGGAAAATTATATCTTTATTTCTAGCCAACAGATTCTGATAAAACTTGGTCTGTTACTTCATTATGATGTAAGGGAAAAGTAGTGTCGAGGGCAAGAGGGATACTCTGCTCCTTCTTTTTATTCCAGCAATTTTTATTAATAAAAATTGACTTTTTGAGATGTAAAAAATCATATCTTTATTTCTAGCTAACAGATTCTAATAAAACTTGGTCTGTTACTTCATTATGATGTAAGAGAAAAGTAGTGTCGAGGGCAAGAGGGATACTCTGCTTCTTCTTTAATTTCCAGCAATTTTTATCAATAAAGATTGACTTTTTGAGATGTGAAAAATTATATTTTTATTTCTAGCCAACAGATTCTAATAAAACTTGGTCTGTAACTTCATTATGATGTAAGGAAAAAGAAGTGTCGAGGGCAAGAGGGATACTCTGCTCCTTCTTTAATTTCCAGCAATTTTTATCAATAAAGATTGACTTTTTGAGATGCGAAAAATCATATCTTTATTTCTAGCCAACATATTCTAATAAAACTTGGTCTGTAACTTCATTATGATGTAAGGAATAAGAAGTATCGAGGGCAAGAGGGATACTCTGCTTCTTCTTTAATTTCCAGCAATTTTTAACAATAAAGATTGACTTTTGAGATGTGAAAAATGATATCTTTATTTCTAGCCAACAGATTCTAATAAAACTTTGTCTGTTACTTCATTATGATGTAAGGAAAAAGAAGTGTCGAGGGCAAGAGGGATACTCTGCTTCGTCTTTAATTTCCAGCCAACAGATTAATTATTAATTACAAACTTAATTAAAATAACATAAATATATAATAGTACAAAGAATAAGGATAAAAAATACTTAAGAAAAAGAAAAATAGTTAAAACCTGGATAAAAAAAAATATTTTACAAAAATACAAATAAGACTTCAGCAGCGAAATATTATAAGATTGATGAATGAAGAAAAAAAGGTTTTGTTATCTAAATTTTATGGATTTCTAGCTTATACCGACGGGGTTACAACCCAAAAAATCATAAGAACTATTGAGTAGTTAATAAAAATCGCAATAAAAAACAAAAAGAAACGAGTTTCCTTCGTGCCAATTTTCTCCCTTCCTTCTTGCATCATAACATAGTTCTGAATCAAATTTTATTAATATCTGATGGTAAGGAACAAAGTTATGACTTTTTTCATGGTCAAAAGTTGCTATTAATTAATAAAAATTATTAGAAAAAATGGAAGTGATCGAGTATCCCTTTCGTAACTTTGTCATCACTCGTATTGCATCATAACATAGTTCTGAATCAAATTTTATTAATATCTGATGGTAAGGAACAAAGTTATGACTTTTTTCGTGGTCAAAAGTTGCTTTTAATTAATAAAAAGTATTAGAAAAAATGGAAGTGATCGAGTATCCCTTTTGTAACTTTGTCATCACTCGTATTGCATCATAACATAGTTCTGAATTGAATTTTATTGATATCTGACGGTAAGGAACAAAGTTATGACCTTTTTCATGGTCAAAAGTGGCTTTTAATTAATAAAAAGTATTAGAAAAAATGGAAGTGATCGAGTATCCCTTTTGTAACTTTGTCATCACTCGTATTGCATCATAACATAGTTCTGAATTGAATTTTATTGATATCTGATGGTAAGGAACAAAGTTATGACTTTTTTCATGGTCAAAAGTGGCTTTTAATTCATAAAAATTATCAGAGAAAATGGAAGGAATCGAGTATCCCTTTTGTAACTTTGTCATCGCTATGATTGCATCATAACATAGTTCTGAATGAAATTTTATTAATATCTGATGATAAGGAACAAAGTTATGACTTTTTTCATGGTCAAAAGTGGCTTTTAATTAATGAAAATTATTAGAAAAAATGGAAGGAATCGAGTATCCCTTATGTAACTTTGTCAACACTGTAATTGCATCATAACATAGTTCTGAATTGAATTTTATTAATATCTGATGGTAAGGAAAAAAGTTATGACTTTTTCATGGTCAAAAGTGGCTTTTAATTAATAAAAATTATCAGAGAAAATGGAAGGAATCGAGTATCCCTTTTGTAACTTTGTCAACACTATAATTGCATCATAACATAGTTCTGGATTAAATTTTATTAATATCTGATGGTAAGGAACAAAGTTATGACTTTTTTTATGGTCAAAAGTGGCTTTTAATTAATAAAAATTATCAGAAAAAATGGAAGGAATCGAGTATCCCTTTTGTAACTTTGTCAACACTATAATTGCATCATAACATAGTTCTGAATGAAATTTTATTAAGATCTGATGATAAGGAACAAAGTTATGACTTTTTTCATGGTCAAAAGTGGCTTTTAATTAATAAAAATTATCAGAGAAAATGGAAGGAATCGAGTATCCCTTTTGTAACTTTGTCAACACTATAATTGCATCATAACATAGTTCTGAATTGAATTTTATTAATATCTGATGGTAAGGAACAAAGTTACGACTTCTTACATTTCAAAACCATGTCTTTGAATAAAATTTGTTGCATAAATTTGGAGATGAATGGGTCTCTTTTGTTTATAATTTTTTATGCTCATCTTCTCTTTATTATCCACTTTGTAAGTAGTTATTGATATTTTAAAATTTTATCGGGGGCGCGGGCCCCACTCCGCGTGTCGTCCCTGGCCTTGATCACCGCGTAGCTGCTAGTTTCAGCTTCATTGTTAATAGCCTAAACCTCGCTAAACTAGCTGCTCTATGTAATGGCGCTGATCACGTGGTATTTGTGACGTCACAACCCGGTAAATATCTCAAGGCGATATAACCTATTCATTAATTATTTATTTACGAAGTAAACAAACAGTATTACAGAAAAGCAATTGAAGATATATTTTATGTTTTGTATTTGTATCTACTCTGGTTTTGTTTATAAAAATGAGCTGCAAATTGTATGTCTAAATAAAAATTTTGCGTGTTGTGCTTCCCGTTTACGTGTGACGTCACATGCCGGTAAACAGAAACTGTTATAGAAACTGTTGGTTGCGACGACAACCAATTACAGTGAGTTTTCGTCGTTCATTAAATTCCTAAAAATGTTGCATTTTTCTTTACGTTATTTTACTAAAGCTAAAGATATTTTGTCTGCAGATTCTAAGAAATAAACTTTATTAGATTATAGCCTAACAGGATGACCACAACACGCTTATTTTTAATAGTATCAAATACCCTATTACTATCAGTCCAGCAGATTGACGTGAAGATGACTTATCTAATAATAATTGTGTACATTTTATGTTGTTATTTCTGTTGTGGGGCTTCTAAACGGGCAATATTTTTCTGCAATACAGTGGCGGGCAATATTCAAAGATAAATTAGCCAGACTATGTAATATTACAGTTATATCCCAGCCATATAGCCAACATATTTAGTGTAATTACCGACATTGCTTTGATAGGTTGCCGAACTAAAAATGTGACACGAATGTAATATTGATTACAAGTTATTATTTGTGTAACCTGTATCGAGGGCAGCCAGCTGATAGACGGGCGGCTGTCCAGTGGCCGCTCCCGCTCCCGCCCCCGTGCACGCACCTGACCACGACCACGCCCCCTCACCTACACGAGACTCGCTCTCTTCACGCCTCCTGACAAATAAATTTATTTATCTACACTCAAATCGAAAAATTCGAATTACGAATTCAAAGATGATTCTATAAATACGCACTTTATAAACGCATAAACTTAAAATTAAAAATAAAACTCATTATAGTACCGACAACTGTATCATAATAGTTATTTAAGATACGAGTGCGGAAAGTAAGGTTTTACGAATAAGGGCCAAATTGAAAACACTCGCTACGCTCGTTTTCATTGGCATGAATTCGAAAAACCTTTTACGCTCAAGTTTCTTACAACATTTTTCAATGCTTTTTGCGAGGAAATAAAACAAATATATGGGTTAATAAAACTAAGTATGTATAAAGGTAAAAATTATTTGTTAAAATTAAACGTGATATTTGAACATGTTTTCGTGTCATACATTTTTATTTGAAAATATTCGTTCTAGGCTCCTTGAAAACAATTAATGCAATGCATTGCATTACAATGCACTGCATTGAAAAACTCATTATAGTACCGCTATCTTTTTTTATTCATGGAACTAGTCTATGGTTTTAGGCTGAATATGAAAAAAATGGCGCACACATGCGTAGTTTGAACTTAATTTCCCGCGCTTCCCATATAATTTTTTGCCGATCGTGTTTTTGTATTCGGGATTCCAAAAAACACAGAACAGATAAAAAGGTTAGAATGATAACGTACTAACATTAGTACTAGGACCGCGCGTGCCAGATATCACACAGACATAAAACTTCACCTATTCAGCTCACAAAGAGAGCGATGCTTCCATTGGCTACAAAAGTTTCAGCAAAATTAGTATATATTAGCCTATTAATACAGGTTATTTTACAGTAATACACAAAATGTATGGCTAGCTATAATAAAAATTTGCACAATTACTTTTGTTAGTTCTAAATATTATATTTTGTGAGCGGATAATAAATTAGTTAATGTGTAAACATTTGAAATACATGTTTCATTACATAAAAATGTTATTGTACGACGTATCTGCATTAAAACAATTTTTCAAAATATAATGCAAAGAATTTTACGCTTCTGTCAACACTGAAATAGTGAAGTGCCCTGTGATTCACAATTTGATATCGATAATCAGAAAATCATTGATATATTGGGTTAATATAATAAAATAATTTATTTTATTATATTATATAACATTTCGCATATTCACGAAAAATAAACCAATGAAAATAAATACCATATGTATGTAATCACTTCACAATGATTGTAATCAACTTTCACTTGAAACGGCTCGATCAATTAGACCAATTCCTATCTTGCTAAAGTAGCAATGTAACTGCGATTTATGTCAGTTTTAATTAGAAGTAGGCTGCAGCGGGGTCCATATCAAGAGCAGGTGACAGTGATGATAATTTGGCCCTTTGGGGGCTAGATTTTTATAATTTGAATTAGCCTTTTTTCTATTATATAGTCATAGTTTTATTTTTTGATACCTAGCTAATTTTTTTTTGTATATTTAATTACCCATATTTTTTTTACTAACTAGGTATTATATGAAGCACAATATATTAAGAATGGAAAATAATAACAAAGATGTCTCATTGAAACTATATTTCAATAATATCCCAATATAACATTTAATTTGACAATATAATCAGAAAATTAGATGTAATACATAATATTTCGTTATAAATTTGTAAGTAATTTCTCATTTTATTTAATATTAATGAAATCATTTATAGAAAAATATGTTGAACAAATGTAACTAGTTTTAGAAGGAAACTATTGACCATTTCTATCACGCGTCAATCCACTTTTCTTTTATGTCGGGGTTTCTAGGAAAACTGAAACATACAAGACAAAACTCTTTATTGTTCACATTACAAAATGAATTATAAAATTTAATAGTAAATTAACACTATTATGTAACAAATTAACACTATTATGTAGCAAAAACATACAAATCTCTAAAAAATTCTGTTAACTATTTATCTTAATAGATTTAATGTTATAATTGCATGTAAATTGATTGCCATTCATAATATTAGGGTTAAGTACTATCGATAGCATTTTATCGATATCTGCAAGCACTATGTTAACAACTGACACAATCTCACGGAAAAAAAAATGTGATTATATCTCGATATACTGTTATATAACCAATATTTTTTACTTACCGATGAAATGAAATTTCTCCTTTTTTCAGAATTACATTTTCATTACGCAAACGACTCGTAATAACGGCACTATTCGGCATATTTTCGTATTTTTCGACGCACCATAGACCACTATGACATTGTGCAAATAATAAACTGGAAATTTGAGTAACATGATGTTCATATGACCGTTTTGGGCATATGGATGGTCGCACGACCCCGCCCACTTAATCGTTCTACCTTTTTATCTGTTCTGTGCCAAAAAATTACTTTCTTGTAACCTACCTACTTTGTTTAATTTAAATTTTTCCTATGAGTGAAGATAAAATAGTGTATGAAACTGCATATAACTTAGGTATTAAAACACTCGAGTCAACCTATTATCGATAAACAGACTCTCGTGTTTTAATACCCCTTCTTATATGACAGTTGCATAAACTACTATTTTTATAATCTTACGACTACGAGGCAGGTGTAAAATGCAGTTTTACGAGTTACCTCAAATAATCAGCGAGAGCTTGATGGTCCGCAATGAACTCATCACGGTCGAGGCGCGCGGGTGACGAGTAGGGTGAGTGTTGTGGGGAGGAGGGAGAAGGGGGCGGCGACGTCCCCGTCCCCGCACCCGACCCTGCCCCGCCCCACGACCGAGCCCGAGCGAGGGGCGACAATTCTAATTCATCACTTCCCCCTGACGTGTGTGGACGCACCTCAGCTTCTGGACTCACTTCACGGAACGACGAATCTACACGGTAAGCAACCGAAACATCACATTATTTCTCTTTAACCTTTGTAGGTAACTCTTATTAACACCGGTAATACATTACGACAAAAACGTACAATCGACGAAAAGTCAGATCCCAAATTTATCAAATGGGTCTTAATTTTAATTCATTGAGAATAGCTATCCATATCAATATTTCGCTTGCTCACGGAATAGACTATTGTATAGACAATATAAGTTCTATTGACTTGTTAATTATAATGATTATGAAAACGCGAGCTATGCTATGCTATATAAATATAATTGAGATTGATTTAAAATCTAAGCTAGGCAAGTTACAAGCTTGCTTGTACAACAATTAATAACAACATTGTGTACAACCTAGTTTAGTGGCTTGTAGTCCGAGCAGACGTCGCTGTGCGGGCGTGAGCGGGAGAGGCGTGCGTCGCGCGGGCAACGTGCGCGCCACGTGCTGCAGCAGGTTGGCAGCCGCCACGCCACACGCACCAGCCTCCACATAGTGCAACACACCCAGCCCGCACTCGCATCCGCACCATCTACATATATACAGTCATACATCCTACATTCAATAAACTATTCTATCATACACTAATGTGTTCATAAAAAAAACATCATTATTATTCAAGATATATTAAAGATCCCCCCACACCATTTTCCACACACAGATAGTACTTTCCAGGTTATCATTTAATTCCCTATTTATCAACCTAGGAATCAACAATGACATTTCGCTTAAAGTTAATATTTATAGAGCTATTTAGGAAACATTGTGGGACTGTTGGACTGATGATATGCCAGCAGCGCTACGGTATATCTTCTTAACTTAGCACTTTGGAAGCCTATTCTTTGTACTCATAAATTTAATAAAAACCATTTAAACTTTATTTTTGATTGATTTATAGTTTTATGTTAGGAACTCCTAAGAAAGGAAAATCTGAAAAACTTCAAGGACTGGTAGAGTCCCCAAGATGACAGAATCTAATTAAATTTTAAGATAATGTGTTAACACTCAACTTTTGACACCTCTTGCGCAACCGTAACTAGATTTTTTTTCCCATACATGGACGGGACACACTTATGATGATACCATTTAGAGCAATGGGCGGACAAGTGAAACATGAACAGACTTTGCTTCATTCACCTTAATGTGAAATTTTTTACCCAAGATTAGGCTATCAAGTCTCGCCTGGAGTATTTTAATGGCTGTATTAGCATCATTGTTCACAGCAAGAAGTGCAGTATCACGTTCCTACATTTACCCCGGTAGTAGTTGGTAAATCTGCAGTGAATAGAAGATAATATTGGGCCTAGGACATTACCCTGAGGAACTCCAGCAAGCATCTCTTGGAGGTAAGAAATATCCCCGCCACATCTAACAAAGAAGTGAGATCCGTCTACATATGATTTCAATAAATAAAAATATGAAGACAAAATAACAAGTAATTTCAGCAAAGACAAAAATTTACCAAATCTTCTGAAATAGTAAATCTTTTTAATAATTTATAGTGTGTGTTAACTTTTGAAAAAGGTACTCTACTATCCTTAAAATATAACTTGATCTCTGTGACAGACAAAGTAACTGTATACTCACAAATCATATGCAAATATTAGGAAAAATATGCTGTTCACCACGATCCATTTGAAGGAATTAGATCGTTTTTTATTTGTATAGTTAAGCTCAATTGTCCTCAGCAACAAGCTCGAGTCTGGACTAGAAGACCTAAAATTAAAAAATAGAGAAAAACGTTTTATGCATAATAGAAACTAAAACATAAGAATAATGATATTAAGTCATTTATTTCCTCAACACATTATTACATCAACTTACATATTGTGATTCGGCCACTTAGTAGATTTATTAAAAATTTATCATTTTATTCTTATTTCAGGAAGATATGAGAAAAATAAGTTAAACACAACTATGATAAGAGCGTGTTTAGGAATAAAAGTCGGCGAAGTATCTACAAATCCTACACTTTATTGAAACTATTTTAAGGTAAGATAAAGAACTTTAAAAATTAATGCAGTGAAGAAAATATGTTAAAAATGAAACACGAGTAACACTTGAATTTAATAAACCTTTTGTAACCTTATTATTTTGATTTTGCGGCTTGCCACAGACCAAAGAGTACAGTAATAATGCGGAAACCACAGACAGTAGTAGGCATCGGCTTGCATTGCGGCAAAGAGTAAAGTACAATTCAAAGAGTGGTAACTATTATTAAAAGGAATGTAACAATATGTCGGAAACCTATATATCAACGTCAAAAAATATTGATCTAGAGTGAGGAAGTATTTAAAAAAACGAAAGCACTAAAAAAGCACCTACACTAGATGCTGACTGTAGCAAAAGTTGATTTTTGCAGGATACGAATGGACCAAAGATTGTCATTTCCGTTCGTTTTGTCTAACATATTAAAAACTGAAATTTGCAAAGTACGAAACTTAGATGTCAATACAAATACGAAAAAGTTCAAATAGAATGTGAGTTGTTTATTGAGTTTTTAAAATTAATTTACTTTTTTTATACACGAAAGAAAATCGGAAGAGAAGTTATGGGGAAATCAAGAAAGTACTGTAGCGACATTTAGTTTGATTTCAGGAATTGTGTTTTTTTAAATACTTCCTCATTGGCATTTAGATTCTATAATTTATGCTTCCATCTACTGACATAATTTTCTGTAGATTTTTTATTTTTTTTTTTTAATAATTCCTTATTATATGAGAGACATAAGATATATTTCTTATTAGTGAAATTATGAGAAATATTGTGAAAATCATAATCACTTTAGTTTTATTAGTCAACCATAACAAGTAAACTTAACAATTACATTCGAAACCAACAAATACATAAAAAAATGATGTGTGATGTCAAAACAATCCAACTCAATAAGTGTACTCGTGTTAATTAATGATACTGATTTTTGAACGCAATATGTCATCAAATAATTAACTATTATTAAACAAGGTTTCATTTTCATTTTACATGTAAAAATTAATTTATTTACTTGACATTGGCAGAATTGTGCGACATGCGCAGATAAGCCATTAATAAAAAAAGAAGAAGAAACAAAGTTTAGCGTCCGAGGAAATTCCCCCTAAAATTGCAATTTTAGTAGTAATCCAAATTCATACTATATGAAAGAAAGAAAGACCTACTACCTTCTAGGAGTAAATATTACTCCCGTAGAACCTCGTACTAGGTTAACATTTGCTAATTCATACTACTAGACCGCATTTGGTATTAGTCTATAAAATTTTGAGTAATAACAAGTGCAGTATCAGTTTAAATTTACTCCCTTACGTTAAAACTTGTTTATTAATAACACTGCTAGAGTTCGTTTCACGAAAAAAGTACCTTGGATTACAACGTTTTCAGTTATATTACAAAGTATTATGGTTTATGCTAAGGGAACTCTTTCAGTTGAAAAGCGAGCTGAGAGAGATGCGTACTACAGAGGCTTATTATCTTTTTCTAACAGGATGATAATAACATATTCTTTAAGTGAAACTTTTCGAATGGTAGACTAGTTACCATAGATTTACTATATTTATAGTAATTTAAGGTGCTTTTTTAAATGCCTTAAGTACAATCATTCAGCAAAAGCTTGAAGAGGAGTTCGAAATTGTTCTTCATGTGCAGGACAACATTCATATAAGGAATGTGATGTAGAAGAATATGTAATATGTATAAATTACAGCAGCAACCATTTAGCCATTTCCAGGGGCTGTACCATAAAGAAGAAAATGATTGAAAAGAGAAGAAGTATACTCAACGATCATATCCCACTGCTGTGAGTACACCACTTAATGACATACATTTCTTTTCTTTGCCAAAAAAATTTGAATAGAGTAATGTACAGTTAAAAGAAGAACAAATTCTGAATAATGACATAATTATTAATGCCAAAGTAAAATCATTAGCAGCTTTAGGCAATAATGATAGTTGTACAGCAATTATATCTAAAATATTATGAGACACATTTTATCCAATTTAATTTGATGCATGATTATTTACATTTATTACAATATAATATCAAAGCTTACATAAAAAAGCTTTATTACAAAATTCATTGAATGACAAAAATATAAAATTCTCTTCTATCTCTTCACTTAATGAGACATGGTTGAAATCTAAAAGTGAAATCTCACATTTTCCGCCATATAATTTCATTCACAAGAAATCTCAAAATTCTCATAATGGGGTAGGTGTGTTAATTAAATGTGGACTTAAGTACAGTTTTTTAAATACAGTATTTATTATTCCATCCTGAACATATGTATTTTATTACAATCTGGTCTCAAATCTATACTTTGTATATATTGCCCACCAAGTAATAATTATAATCGATGTGACTGTAATAAATTAAATACACTCATTAACTCCACACTTAAATCAAGCATAATTATGGAAGATTTCAATGCTCATTATGTAGCTTTTAGATGTCACAGTGACAGCAATAGAGGCAGGTCTTTATACACTATAATAGATGGTTGTGATCTGTGCATTATTAAATTTACGATATAAATGATGGTACACCAACAACTGTTCCATATCTTAATGAATAGCTTCAGCAATAGAATTGGCTCTTGTTAGTTCTCTCTTAGGTTGCTCATTTATGTGAATGGCATTGCAAAATGTTCTATTGGGTAGCTATCACCTCCCGAATTTTCGATGTGAATGTTCAACCTTCTTCATATGATGTGACTCTTGTAGACGAGAAATATATTTACAGTAAAGCGAAATGGAACTCCCTATCGGAAACTCCTTTTTCTCAAATACATTGTAGCAACGAGAGTCCTTTTTATTTGTATATTAATTTGGTTGAAATTTTAAATAATTTGCGGGGTAAAACCATGCCAAAACAAGAAAATCAATACCTTGGTGGAATTAAAAATGTACAAATACTGTAAATCAATCAAAACAAATATTAAAAGTACACCGTTCTACATCGACTATAGAAAATTGGATAAATTATAAAAAAATTGGTGCTTAATAAATTGTAAAAGAGAAATCCAAAGAATCGTGGCATAAATTAGTAGGTAGGTTTCATCAGGTTAACGCCAGTATATAGAACGCGGGGTTACCTTTAAAAATTTTAAACGTATAGAAAGTAGTAATTGGAATTACCCAATATTTTTAAATAATTTATCAGATTCCACACAAGTTGATAAAGATATAGTAAACAAGTTTTTTGAAACAGCTACAGAAAAGAGTCTAATTTTGTTTCTCAATAATCACTTTACTAAAGAAGAGTTACAAACTTCACTGTAAAATAGAAAATACATTTCACCAGATTTAACAAAATATACCGTATTTCTTATTTATAAAATTACATTTTAATAGACAAATCACATTGCTCAACATTTATAACAGACTATGGCACGATCTGGCCATACCTGAGTCATGCAAAATCCAATATGTCATTCCAATACTAAGACCTGACCAACCAGAAAACATAGCATTCTCATACAGACCCCTCTCTTTATTATCTTGTCTGGGTAAAATATTTGCAAACATGTTAAAGTCACTTTTAGATTATTTTGCTGAATCAAATCATTTAATTTTACCTATTTTAACAACATAATTGCATTTTGTATGATATCTTAAACGTAATAACACAGAATTAGATAGCAACAATATTAATGTATAATTTGTATGGGTGCTCTCACACAGTGGCATAGAAGGGAATGAGATAGCTGACAGTCTTACTCTTAAGGAAAATGATGAAGATTATAGCAATAGTCCATTTACAGATTAATACAGCTACTTTAATGGAAAACACAAGAACGCTATGGAACTCGTACTGGGAACTGACAATACAGACTAAAGGCAAGTGGTTTACTGAAATATAAAGAGATTTACCCATCAAGCCTTGGTATGAAAAGTCCAAGTCATACTCGAATAGGAAATTTATCACAGCCTTATCCCTAAAGTGCAATCCACACGGTAGATGGTCGGAGCTCCAACCACCGACCATCTGATGGCCAACTGTGTGGACGGCTGTTCGACCAACTCCGACATTGCCTTCAACTCCCTTGGTAAGAATTACGCACAATTACGGAATTTATTTCGAAGGGATAAACATTGATTATACGAGGGTCAAACTGAAAGTTCTTAGAACTGGCCACTTATAAACAATATAATAAAAAAATAATTCTAAAATTTGAAAATATAACTCTTTGCCAATATTACTGAGTATATATTTCATTCATTTGTCATTTGTTTTACGATTTGGCGGCAAATTGAAAATTGTCTGTGTCACGTCATCATGAATTTAACACGAGAAAATTTTCGTGCAATGATTTTTTATGACTTTCGATGTCATTTAAGTCAACAAGAAAGTTATGATAGACTACGATTGGCCTTTCACGATGAAGCCCCATCTCGTGCGACTGTTTACAACTGGTTTAATGAGTTTAAACGTGGTCGCACTAATCTCACTGATGATTTACGTGAGGGACGGCCTTCTACGGCGACGACTGAAGATAACATCTGTGTTGTGCGGCGTATGATAGAGACTGACAAAAGAGTGACCTATCAACAGATTCGGACAAGCTTAGGCATCGGTATGAGTCAAGTGCACAAAATCCTCCACGAACATTTAGCGGTCAGGAAGCTTTGCGCCCGGTGGATACCTCATAATTTGACTGAGGCTCAAAAACTCCATCGTGTGGATTGGTGTCGTAAAATGATTGAAAGATTTAACGGAGGTGACTCAAATGCTGTGTTCGACATACTAACAGGTGACGAAAGCTGGATTTACTGTTATGATCCTAAAACCAAAAGACAATCTGCTCAGTGGGTGTTTCCTTTCGAGGAGTTGCCAACTAAAGTGAAGAGAGATCGAAGTGCGGGAAAAAAAATGGTGGCCTCGTTCTTTGGAAGGATAGGTCATTTTGCAACAATTGTGTTAGAGGATCAAAAAACAGTTTCTGCAGAATGGTACACTACCAATTGTTTGCCACTTGTCTTGGAAAAAGTTCGAGAGAAACGACCTCGCAGTAGGATCCTCCTTCACCACGACAACGCCTCGTCGCACACCGCCAAGCGAACGATCGACTATTTGGCGACATCAAACGTTGAATTACTGGGTCACCCGCCGTATAGCCCCGACCTCGCGCCTTGT